GGAGGTTAATTTTTGAAACATTGATGCATCAGTAACATATTAGACATAGACAAGGAGTTGAAAATCAGGACAAAGCATTTAAATTTTAGTGAAATTCTCATTAGTAATTAAAAAGAGTTCAAATTCTAAAAAAGAGGGATCAAGTTATCTTAAATCATCGGCAGAATAAATTCAACGTACGTATTAAGATTTTTTACTCTAGTTCCCATAAAAAGGGACAAACAAATTAACTGACATAAATTTGGAAAAGAAACAACATCCATCGATTAATTATTGTACGACTCCATCAAGTGGGTTATGCAAAGAAGCCGTCTCAATGGTATTTCGTTTTCAATATTATCGGCTGGCCAAATTATATACAGAACTTTCAAATGGATGCAACATACCAACATTGATGATAAGTATGTATTAGTTCTATTCAAGGTATTGATTGCCTATAAAACGGGACAAATCAATACTTTTTTGTAATCTTTGATATTCTTAAAGAAAAAAAAACGTTAAAAAAAGGGAAAAGATTAATCAGGATTTCCTTCCCTTTAAAAAAAGCATTCCAATTTTGCTAGTGAACAACAAATTAGGTCTAAATTCAAAGTGAATAGCTTTTGATAGTTTTTGAGAAATGTACTTAAACAAAAGGTTAAACAAGAAGTTGAACAAGCAAATTCGTTGAATTGATATCCAGCGCCGAATGATACAAATCACTTGATTAAAGCTTCTTTGTATTACCTCAGTAATTCCCACACAAAAATACAACATAAACCCTTCATAGAGCAATAACTACAATAGTATACCTTTGGTAGTTATAATTTTTGTACACAGCACTATATCTTATTAAGGCCTATCCATTAAAGAAGTTTCAAGTTGATAATTATCTCATTGGACAATATTATAAAACAAGATTGCATTTGAGAAAAATGCTATGCCACCGCATTAATACAACACTAAATAGTAGTGTAGGAACAGATTTTCTTTGTTTCTATACAATTTTGAAGATTGTCATAATGCATAGATCCCTGACCTATCTAATTCTTATTATCAGATGAGTTAAATCTGTTGTTAACTCAATAAAAGATCAGAGTAGGAATATATCAATGCACTTGAGTCTAGTGAATTTGGTGTTGAAGGTCATATTTCACACAGCCTAAATTTCATGACCACATCAAAGGACAACATAGTAAGACACTTTGTCAAAATCTAGGTCAGCTGAAATCAAAGTTCACTTAACATCTTAATCTGTACACATGGTTCAAATTTCATAGCTGTACATCAAAGGACAAGAAAGTAGGTCACATCATCAAAATCTAGTTCACCTGATATCAAAGTTCAATTTTACAACTAAAACTGTGCACATGGTCAAAATTTCATTGCTGTACATCAAAGGACAAGAAAGTAGGTCACTGTCCCCTTGGGCAAGGCAAAATTTTGGACCCAAGGGTTTAATTCAAAACAATCTTGATACAGGTCCACCAAACAACATTTCAAGTCAAATATCTAAGCTGTAGCTTTCTCCTATTCAGAAAAGATTTGTTTTATTTTCTGTTTTTACTATGTGAACATAATGAGAATCACTGCCCCTGGGCAGGGCCAATTTAACACTAGGGGCATAATTTAAAACAACTTTAGTAGAGAACCCATAGAATATATTATAGAGCAAACATCAAAGCTCTATGCCTTGTACCTTCAGACAAAAATATTTCTTTTTTTTTTTACTATATGTACATAGTGAAAATCAATGACTCCTGGGGTGGGGCCAATTTTGACCCCAGGGCTATAATGTGTACAATCTTGTTACAGGTTCACTACATAATGTTTCATGCAAAATATCTTAACTCTAGCCTTTGTAAATTTAGAGAAGATGTTTTTTTAAGTTTTTACTATATATACATATAAGGAAAACCTATGGCCCATGGGGCGGGTCTTATTTTGACACAATCTGAGGCAAAATTTGAACAACTTTGGTAGAGTAACTATAGATGATATCATTTAACAAATATTCAAGCTCTAAGCCTTGTACCTTCAGACAATACGATTTTTTTATTTTTTACTATATGTATATATTGAAAATCAATGACCCCGGGGCAGGGGCAATTTTGACCCCAGGGCTATAATTTGAACAATCTTGCTAGAAGTTCACTTCACAATGTTTCATGCAAAATATCTAACCTCTAGCATTTGCTAGAAGAAATTATTTTACTATAAAGTTTTTACTATATACATATAAGGAAAACCAATGACCCCCGGGGCAGGGCCGATTTTGACCCCAGGGCTATAATTTGAACAATCTGAGTAGAGGTCTACCAGACAATGCCTTATGCAAAATATCTAAGCTCACAGCCTTTTGGGTCTTTACAAGAAGGTATTTTAAGTTTTTACTATATGTACATATAGTGAAAATCAATGACCCCCGGGGCGGGGCCGATTTTGACCCCAGGGCTATAATTTGAACAATCTTGGTAAGGGTCTATCAGACAATGCCTTATGCAAAATATCTAAGCTCTAGGCCTTTTGGGTCTTTACAAGAAGTTATTTTAAGTTTTACTACATGTACATATAGTGAAAATCAATGACCCCCGGGCGGGGCCGATTTTGACCCCAGGGTTAAAATTTGATTAAATCTTGGTAGACCTCTACCAGACAATGCCTTATGCAAAATATCTAAGCTCTAGGCCTTTTGGGTCTTTACAAGAAGGTATTTTAAGTTTTTACTATATGTACATATAGTGAAAATCAATGACCCCCGGGGCGGGCCGATTTTGACACCAGGGTTATAATTGAACAATCTCGGTAGAGGTCTACCAGACAATGCCTTATGCAAAATATCTAAGCTCTAGGCCTTTTGGGTCTTTACAAGAAGATTTTTTAAATTTATTCTTATAATTCCTTTTGGTTGCCATGGCAACCAGATTTCTGCATGGAATGAAATTCTTTGAACAACTTTGGAAGCCCTTCACCCAAGGATCAATCCTGCCAAGTTTGGTTGAAATTGGACAAGTGGTTTTTCACAAGAAGATTTTTTAAGTTCACTATATAATCTATATAACACACACACACACAAACAAACACACACACAGGTGAATCGCTATATGCCACCGCATCGCAGATGCTGCGGTGGCATAAAAAATCAAAGGGCAAAAGGAGTTAAAATGGACATTGGCACTTCTTCCCAGTGATATGTAACCATTTATGAATAGTTTAGTTTTATGCTTCAGTTAAAGTGTAATGGACTGACAACAGATGGAAGGGCTGAAGGACAATTGTCCAGACAGCCCATTCCAAATGTGTTGCCTTTTGGATAAAAAGGAGCATGACTGAGCAAAAATTAATTTCAGGTTAATTGGCCTTTTTAAGATTCATTCTAATTTTGACAGTGAATAAGTATTTCAAGTTTAAATTGAATACATTTAACAGTTTTTGAGAAATGCACCTTAAAAAAAGGGTAATAGGGCAAACAATGTTAATAAAACAAAAGGTTAAACTTTGCCGAATTTTGGGGGGTTAAAAATATTACAAGTTTGGGGTGAATAGCCTTGATATTTTCTACGAAAATCGACATTAACAAAAATGTTAACTAACGCCAATGCAAATGAAAGGGTCATAACAATTGGTCTAAATTTTGCCTTTGTGGGGCTAAAAGATGTATAACTTTTTTATAGTTTCATCTCTGGTGACCCCTAAAACTGGCCAATAATATTATCTAATATAAGCAATTTGCATTCATATTTGTTTAACACAGATACTTTGAAGAATGTCCGACTAGTAGTTTCAGAGATCATTGTTGAAACTGGAAGAACCACACCTTAACATCGACCCTTTCATACTAATTTATTTTATTACTACTAATTCACCATTCTATTGGGCTTATTAATGTAGCTGCTAAGATGTATCACTTTGGGTATTGAAGAAGAACAAGGTTGAAGAATATCACACTGCACAGAAACTTTAACCTAAAATCTTGATGCAGATGTAGGCAGATGTTGATGCTGTGATGAGTAGGATAGCATTCCATACACACACTACCGCTTTAATTGACAGTTTGACTATCAAATGATGTGTTTTGTTGACAAAAAAGGATGGTACAAGGATGCAGTAAACTAACTTTTGTTAGTTTTGATATATCCATTTATTTATGAAAAAGGTGTCATTCCATTACAGGGAGCACTATGTTTGACACTGTAAGATGGTAAAATTGGCCAAGAATAGTGTAATCAAAACATTCTTTGGTGATGATCCTTCCAATAGTTCATAAAGTTTTACAATGTTTTTCTAATTTCAGCTTGAATTGCTCCTATGATAGGCTGGGGATTTGAAAATGTAGAAACATGAAAAGATACCACTACATATATAAGTTTATCACACACCCGTGCCGTTTTTGCGACTCCGTAAATATGGTATTGCACGGCCGTGCATATATTTTGACGTGACGTCATTAGCGTTATACAAACATAGTGTAATGACGCGCTAAATGTTAGCGTTATACTATAGGCGCGTCAATGAAAAATGACTCTTATTTCTCTTTAAACGGTCTTTATTTTTGGTATGTGATAAATAGAATATTAAATTCGTGTAAGTTCATTACTGAATTTATTGCACTCGTTGAATAAAATAATATTATGCTCGCCAGAGGCTCGCATAATATAATTTTATTCAACACATTGCAATAAATTCAGTATTGAACTTACACTCATTCAATATCCTCTATATATGTTTGTATCAAAAAAATTAATCTCACCAGCAGTTTCAACGAGAAACTGATAAATGTCAGTATTGTCCATCCATCTTGTCTTTACAGCTTACCTTGTTCCTTTCTATATTTTATGCTAACAAACTAGCTACAATCGAAATACATACTAAATAGTATTATATAAAATCTGGCCATTATGTATTATAAAAAGCATTCAATAAAAAGCACAGGAACAAGGACTCTCTGTTAGCAAAGCAAATATTAAGGCCATTCTTCCTTTTCTAGCAGTTATATAATAACATTTAAACAAACAAAAAAGTCAAAGCAACAACAAGTTTATTTAACATCAGACATTTTATTGTTAGACTCACTACATGTACACATATGATGTTCAAAGTATAAATTTTCAAAGTCTTACTCAATAATGTTGCCCATATATATTCTCGGAAATTCATTTTGTTTTCAATGACACACCCAAAATTGATTTTACCCAAAGTTTAAATAATTTAAAGAAAAAATAGAAGAAAACTGTTCTTAATATGTTAATAAGATAAAGTCAAATTCTGATTACATAGGGAATAATAAACTTTGAGGTATTAGTGCAAAATTTCTTTTTAAAGTTCGAAAACTGAAATTTTCCCCTAAAAACCATCAAAGATATAATAAGAGTCAAAAATATAGAAAATATTATGCATCAGAAAAACAGTGTACCTTGTGAAAATGGTAAATAATAATCATCTAACAATTTAACATTTATCACAGAATTGAGCAAGAAAATTAAAAAGAAAGTAAAATAAAAAAAAACCCTTGGACAGGATTGTTTGACAATAATAATACTACCTTTGAAATAGAAAAATACTGTTTTGTGTACCGTTACATTCAAAATACCGTGAATTTCATCATCACACACAAAATGTAGCAAGGAACTGTTTGTACACAGACCTCGACCATTTCAAAGATGATGGTACAATATTTGACAACAAAGTAAAACTTGGGACGGATATCATGATTAATCTAATATGTAAAACACGACATTTATGTATGTAATGATAAAAAGCAAAAAAACTTTGTATAAGTATATATATATAAATATTTGTTTAAAAGAAAAGTAATTATAAATCAACCTGTGTAAAAAAAGAACCTAAATAATATGCATCTTTATATCTACATGTATTTTAAGCTATGTAATACTAGGTTGCATTAATGATTGAAATTAAACGTGTAATACAAAACCAACATTTTATGTAAAATAAGAATAACAATGTGTAATACTTTCAAAAATACTAGACGCTTGTACGTAATGCTGATTAAATTCCCTGCTAGAATTTTACTGTGTTATATATCTGTGCCAAAAAGAGTTCTAAAATAAGAATAATGAGTACGCGAAACACTATATACGTTATATAATATACGATATATCTAAAAATGAAAAAATATATTTTACAATAGTATCAAAAACTCACACAATCTCTCAAATTTCTGACATCTAATATCCATTTATAAAATAATACTTTTGTGGGAAAAGTTGACAGCTCTGTGTTTAACGGCAATTATTCCATATCATTGTCATGGGCTGCGATCAAATACTGGCGTGTTAAACCATATCACAGATGCCTTACTTTACAGTATAATACTTTAGATAAATATCTTTATAAAAACATTCATAAATAAAAGCAGACTTGACTTACTAACAAAAAAAAATCTGTAATTTGTTCTTTAAAAACATGATTCATAAACAAATATTTCTTAAAATTCCCTCAAAAAGCATTAACAAATACTGCATTAACTAAACTGTGTTGCAATTTATTTTAGCAATTTCAATGTTATATTTCCTTTATTATTCATTAGCCATAGTTAAAAAAAATTCCAAGAAAAAGGTTATTTTTGTAGCAGATAAGGGAAATAAATGTAAACAAATGCAAAACTTCTACAATAATTTGCAACACTCCTACTGTTAAAATACTCAGCAACATATATATAAACCCAAGCATTCTAGACATTCTGTCATTTATTAGAAAATGCAAGCATTACAGCAAAAAAATAATATTTGATCACTCCATGAATAATGTCTTAACAAGATAAATATAACATATATAATCTAATGTACAAATTTTGAAAGAATGAACATCAATTTCCTCTTTTGTTATAAATAACCAGTGTTATCACCAAAACTTGTTTAAATATAAATGTCAGTTGATTCTAAAATTTAGAAACATTTTAATCTTGAACATCAATAATCAAAGGAGCCATATATTGGGTGTGACGGATTCCGAAGCTGGGCTGAGGGGCTTGTCGCTTATGTAAAGAAACCTGAAACATATAATTTTAGCTCATGGAGACACATATCTATAAAACACTAGCTTCTATACTGTTTTCTTTATAACATCTACATAAAAATTTCTTCTTTTCCAGCTAGCTATTATTAAGAAAATAACATTCTGGTTGTTATGCAACTCTACTGAAAGCATAGCAACCAATGATATAAAGTCCTATAAAAAAAACCCATAAAACATTCAAATATTTTTTTTTCAATATAAAATAATTCAATAAATTATTTGATTTCCATTCAGTCCATGTTGCTAGTCAACCAAAAATAAATCTGATTAACATAACTTGATCAATTTCCATATAAGTTTCTTAAATATATCTAGCTGGAAAAACAAGAACAGTTTCTGTTAAATCTTTGTTGCAATTAGTTAAATTAGCAACATGTAAATAAAAAAGCAGCAATAAGTAAACAATACTGAAAATCATACAGTTAGGGCATAAATAACTATAACATTTTTTTAGCCATTCAAAACACTTTTTATAGCCTAAAACACACAGGAAAAGAAACTCAAGTTTTCCCATTTATATTTATAATGCACATAAAGACAACAGGATTACAGCATGCAATTCACTTTACATTTATTATGTTGTCATCATGCAAATGGGTGTTACATCATGTCGGAGCTTTGTTATAATTGAAGCTTTACCAAACATTATCTCCCTTTTAGTTTTAAACATTTTGATTCTTAAGACGCTCCACAACAGAAAGTAACACTTGATGTAAATGGCACAAGATAAAACAGCATGTTACCATTACATACGTTGAAAAATGGTTCCGTTAATCGCAATCTTGTTGCACTATAAGAGGTGCAGTGTACTGAGAGTGCCTGATTCCAAAACTAAACTTTGGTGCAAATCTCTTATGGGTAACTACCTGTAAATGCAGTAAATTTTCAAAACATCAAAATAAATGCTTGTTCTAGTTGTACAATGATTGTTCTAATAATAATTTAAAGTATTTGAAAATTATTCCTTTTTTTTTTTTTTTTTATCTCTGTTAATTTGATAATATCTGCATAAGAAATCTAAAACTTTAATATCATAAAGTTTTCTTCTTGAAGAAATTGATACTTTTTATTCTCCTTCTGAAGTTATTAAACTACTTTGACTTTAATTTTTTAAGAAATTAATATCAAACTTGCAAAGTTTTCTTGATAAAATAAGTTAAGAACTTATAATAGTTATTGAATCTACTAGAAAGAAATACTATTTGGTTTAATGATTATTTTTTATAAAGATAACCATACCCTAATCTAAATGCACTAATATATATGCTGCTCTATAACTGAATTACAAATAGTGGGACTGCATTAAGCTTATATTATAATGAATCTATGTTGTTTTAGTAGAGTATTTTTATTTTTTTTCTATGAATAATTACTGTTCTATAAATAGAATGCATGCATAAAATATATATAGATTAAATAATACTAATACAAGAAGATAGTTATATTTGCATGCTGTGAGTTGCATACATATGTTAGCATGTATTTAGGAAGTTGGCATAATGAGGTTCTTACACAATACAAAGTTGTTATATGGGTGATGTATCGATAACGAGGTATAAATGGTAAATATTTTGTCTTTTTTTTTTTCAAAACAAAATTCAACTTGTTCTATTGTGGCAGACGTGACACATGAATTCAACAACATGACTACATACCCCCAAATATAAAACTTGAATACTGATTTCAGTACCAGAAATTCAAGTAGAATAATGGTTGAGAATCATTTTATATTTAAAATTTTATGAACCCAGAGAGCACCATCATCGCAGAGTGAACATCAGTGTAAGATCTACACCAAAGACTTAAAAGATTTGTCTTCCGTTGTGTAATTATATAAATATGATTCTTGACCCAGTTGTCTATTCAAGATAGGTGTTTAGTTGAAATGTTAACATTTTACCAAACTTAATACTTAAATACATCCTGGATGATGATGATTATGTAAATGTGTCTTCAGGGCAGCTATTTATATTTACAGTGAACCATGCACAAGGTCAATTTAACAAAGTGAACCTATTCACAAGGTCACTGATACAGTCACAGAGAACCATGCACAAGGTCACTGATAGTCAAGGTGAACCATGCACAAGGTCACTGGTACAGTCAATGTGAGCCATTCACAAGGTCACTGATACAGTCACAGTGAACCATGCACAAGGTCACTGATAGTCAAGGTAAACCATGCACAAGGTCACTGGTACAGTCAAAGTGAGCCATGCGCAAGGTCACTGATACAGTCACAGTGAACCATGCACAAGGTCACTGATACAGTTAAGGTGAACCATGCACAAGGTCACTGGTTAGTCACAGTGAACCATGCACAAGGTCACTGGTACAGTCACAGTGAACCATGCACAAGGTCACTGATAGTCAAGGTGCTGGTACAGTCACAGTGAACCATGCACAAGGTCACTGATAGTCAAGGTGAACCATGCACAAGGTCACTGGTACAGTCACGTTGAACCATGCACAAGATCACTGATACAGTCACAGTGAACCATGCACAAGGTCACTGGTAAGTCACAGTGAACCATGCACAAGGTCACTGGTACAGTCACAGTGAACCATGCACAAGGCCACCGATACAGTCAAAGTGAACCATGCACAAGGTCACTGATAGTCAAGGTGAACCATGCACAAGGTCACTGGTACAGTCAATGTGAACCATGCGCAAGGTCACTGATACAGTCACTGTGAACCATGCACAAAGTCACTGATACAGTTAAGATGAACCATGCACAAGGTCACTGGTAAGTCACAGTGAACCATGCACAAGATCACTGGAACAGTCACAGTGAACCATGCACAAGGTCACTGATAGTCAAGGTGAACCATGCACAAGGTCACTGGTACAGTCAATGTGAGCCATGCACAAGGTCACTGATACAGTCACAGTGAACCATGCACAAGGTCACTGATAGTCAAGGTGAACCATGCACAAGGTCACTGGTACAGTCAATGTGAGCCATGCACAAGGTCACTGATACAGTCAAGGAGAACCATGCACAAGGTCACTGGTACAGTCAATGTGAACCATGCACAAGTTCACTGATACAGTTAAGGTGAACCATGCACAAGGTCGCTGGTACAGTCAATGTTAACCATGCAAAACGTCACTGGTAAGTCACAGTGATCCATGCAGGTCACTGATAGTCATTGTGAACCATGCACAAGGTCACCGATATAGTAACAGTGAACCATGCACAAGGTGACTGGTACAGTCAAGGTGAACCATGCACAAGATCATTGGTACAGTCAATGTGAACCATGCACAAGGTCACTGGTACAGTCAATGTGAACCATGCACAAGGTCACTGATACAGTCAAGGTGAACCATGCACAAGGTCACTGTGGTACAGTCAAGGTGAACCATGCACAAGGTGACTTCACTGATACAGTTGCATCAAATGAATCATGCATAAGCTCACATATAAAGTGATAGTATACTATGCACAAGGTCACCCAACAGATGCACCAGGTGACTCAAGATATAGTAGCAGTGAATAAATCATGCACAAGCTCACATATAAGGTGAAAGTGAACTATGTACATGGTTAGTTCACTGACACAGTGAAATTGAATCATGCACAAGGTTACATATACAGAGACTGTAGGAAAACAACAATATAGAAGGAGAAGAGTGTATAGCTTGAGAAAGATGGAGATGTCCTGATTTCATATCATAAGTCAATTTTAGTAAAATGACAATCTTAAAGAAAACTCAATTAAAATGAACTTTTTTCATTAACATATTTAAGATAATTGCTGACAGATTAACTTTATTTACTGATTTACAATACTGTCTACAAACAGCAATGTACAGATTTTTTATTTAAATCCTTTATTCGCTTTATTCTTAGACTAGACAAAATATTATTGTTGAAATGATATGATTGGTAGTTGAAGTAGCGAGGACATGATAAAGATAAAGCTGTGTTTATACGATCATTATAAAAGCAAAGACGTGCCTGGATTTGAAATGATTGATACATGTTCTGCAGACTTTACTATGACAACAACACTAAAAGAAGGATGCTGTCTTGATGTGCATTATAATATAATAGCGTGAGATACAACTGAATTCTTTGCCTTTCTTCCCTCAGAATTAATATATAAGCCATATAACAATTTTACATTTTTTTAAGCTTTGCATTTATACAAACACACTTTCAAATAAAGAAGTAGTTAAGCATAGCACAGTAGCCATTATGTAAACAAACAATATTTTAATTTAAACTTAAGAATATTTAAAATCAAAATTAAGATTGTTTTAACTTGAGTCATAATTGCAACACAAAGCATTCTTCTTATTATAAATAATTTAGACCATAAAATGGTCAGACTACAAGGATGTGAAGGCTGGCATAACTCTATATTGGTCGCAAAGGTAAATTACTTTTAGTTCCATTAAGGTGGGGTTGACTTTAGTTCGTCAGTCAAATGATCAAACTTATAAACAGGAATCCTGTTTATGAACTGGACTATAAAAGATGAAACAGCCTATAAACCAAATGTTCATACAGCTAGACATTTTAATGATAACATGTCACTAAAACTTGTTTTTCAGCCAAGTGCAATTCTGTAATTTGTTTACTGTTTGTCTACATCTCGACATTACTGTGCAATACCTCTCATTTAATTTGTTCTGAATGTAAAATTGTTATATTCTATGGTGTTAGTTAAGCGACATTATTTGAAGCTCTTATGTATGCAAAAACAACTCCTCTGGAACAATACTGACAAGGTGTTTTTTTTAGTACTGATAACAAAATCTATGCTTTTGCAACTTATTTTATGAAAATAATAATGTCTGCTATTTACATTTTATATCTGAATCAGATACATTTTATCTCCTTTTCTAAAGCAAAAAAGAAATAAAACTGTGTATATACATTCTTTTTTTAAAGAATTTACTTCATCAATAATAGATATTTTTATAAAAACTTTTATTAACCTTCTTCATTTATAATGACTAGAAAAAAACAAACTAAGTATGTATACTTGTTCACATTAAAAACCCTTGTCAGTCATGCAAGTCCCAAGAGTTATGTAACACTGAAAAACAAAACTGTTAGATTCTGGCAAATAAAATCTACATATAACATCAAAAAGTAAAAGAAAATCTGGTATGCGAGTATATGACTGTGTACGTACGTTTTCTGGTGAGTGGGCACCTGGGCCTGGTTTCTGGGTCGTGTCACCTGGCATCACATTTCGACTGGTCATACTGAATTGAGGTGATTTGTCCTTGTAAATCTGGGGTTCTGTTGTGTTGTATGTACCTGGACCTGGAGTCTGCATAGCAAAAACACATCATACAAGTTATGAGTTTATTTGTAGATAATATGACCCTTGGTCATAAAAATTTTCCCTATCAAATGTCTTACAGTATAGAAAGAATACAGTCCTATCATACACGTACTTTATCTAATCAATTTTACAATTTGTAGTCTACTTGGAATTAACCATAAAGTTATCTTGTTGTCTCCTATACACATCAAAGAAACATTTTAATTCTTTAAAAAGGAAATAAAAGATTTTATATATGCCTGTTAAATTATCAGTGCTATGTTACTATATTTGAAGGTTGAAGCATATTCAGGCCCTAAGACTTAAATATTGTTATTTATTGTCCAGTCAACTGTAATCCCAACATATACCAGAAGACATTATCCTCCAACTTCCTCACATATATGAGTTAACAGTGGTGGAGAATAAATGTTGATCAACATAGTGTCTTTAAATCAAATTGTTACAAAATAAACAATTGGTTTTAAATGGAAAATCTATACTCTATCTTTATTGAGCTTATCAGTAAAGTTTATTGCATAATAAAGGAAAAAATAATAAAACATAAAAGTGCATGCATATTCTCATAAAATACTCAATTCAATAGTTATAAAATAGTTATAAAATTTTAAACTTGAAGAAAACACAAATAAGTAAGCACACAAATACATATACATTGCTTTCATTATATAAATCGCAATACACATTGTAAAAAAAGAAATAGGAAATTAAATATGGTTATATATCAGGGCTCATCCGGAAGGGCGATTCAGGCGAAAACTTCGCCGTGTATATTCCAATTTCGCTCTCCCGATTGATCAAAGAGAAGTCAACATCGCCGATAAAATCTCAATTCCCAAATAGTAATTACTTAGCGATGTAAAGAGCAGAGATTGTATCCGCCCATATGACGACCGCTAATTATCATTATCCAATCAGAGCGTCGCTTTATACTACCCTTCTACCTGTAAGCAAAGCGATAGACCGCCTACTCTAAACAGTAAATAATGAGAGCATCGGCCCGAAACGGTATAATTGTGTGATAGTTTTGCGAGTTTAATACGGGATTTGGCGATAATTATAGATTGTTTTTTCCCGATTATCTAAACATGTGCAATCTTCCCTAATTGATATACACGATGCACTTCGATGGCGGGTTTTTAACCCGAGTAAAGGCGATGTGCAATGGATTTTTCACGGCTATCACAAAACTGTTAGTCAATTAAAAATAATCAATTTCATTAATGATCAGCGACCGGATTAAAAACTTAATCATAGTCTTGAATGATTTCAGTCTGTTAACATCAATTTTTACTGTAAAATTGTTATGTCGCTCACGTCATGGCTACAAGGCGAAATGCCGAAACCGAGCAACTTAAGAAAGTTACTGATTCTGATAGTTACACCTACGCGAAAATTTAAGAAAGCCAATTCGCAAAAATCTTGCGATTCAATGTTATGTTGTAGACAGTGGGGCTGTTTGGCATTAAATGCCAAATTTGACACAGTTTACGCACGTGGGCACGACATCCCGGCTAAACTACATATCGGTCGTATATCATGTAACGTATATAACAACAAAATTTGTCAGGAAAGAAGTGTTCTTTTTGTTTCAATATATATTTGTTTTAATGTCGTAAATATGACGCTCAGATTAAGATTATCAATATTGTAAATGTTAAAAAGCATTATTCTAATATAAAGATATTACCGAATTTAACATTTCATGAAAATAAAGGGAGGTAATTAGAAATTAATTTTCTACAATTTCTCAGTCAAATTTTTCAATAAGAAATGAATGTTTGTAATTTTAGTGATCAAATATAATGTGCACAAATGTTTGCAGTAATATTTTACATATTCTTTGATGTTTGAAAATTGTTTTATAAGCATAATAATATGCATATAAATGTGACATTACAACATTTAAGAATTTGAAAGAAATTTTCTGTAACCAGAACAGAATAGAACAGATATTATTAATCAATATCCAATGTGACTTCATCTTCTATTAAAAGTGAGGAAAGTAAAAAATATAAAAATGATTTTATCATCATATCTTTTCTTACACATTATTATCAACAAATCTACATGAAAATATATAAACACATATTTAGAGAAAGCTTATAAATAGCTGATCAATAGATATCAAAAATATTTTTTTTTATTCATATTTGCAGCTCAAAAACATTTAGATGTCATTGCCAGATCTACTATTAATTAATCTACTATTAATTAATAAACTGGAGAAATATTATATGTGATGTTAATTGTATTTATATTATAATTAAAGGATGTATAGCCATGCATGTTAATGCATACACATTGGGTTGTTTCCATTCTCCCTAATTTTCGCGAGGAAGTCACTTCTCCCTAAAATTTCCCCCCAGGATGAGCCCTGAATATATTATTAGTTATAAAGATTTTTTATGGGTTATATGGCCCTATATAAATGGTTGCTTTTACATATAACCAATTAGTCTCTAAATATATATGTATTAATAAGCTGTTGTTATTGTTATAACCTTTACCCCTGACCAGAATCCTATAATTTCTTAAATAATATGATCACCTTAATACAAGTTAAGTAACTTATATCTATAAAAATTTAACATATCTATTCAAGTCATTAAATACAAAATTCTTATGAAATGTTGTAGGATTTTTCAGCTTTGAAAAAACATTTATTTGTACTAGTTTTTTGTTCTAAACTACTATCAATTTAAGAATAATAAAAAAAGTTTGCATGCAATACAATATGTATCAGTAAAAGAAGAAGAAATGCATAGATTTTAATTCTTTTTTTTTTTAAATCTTTTTTTCTCCATAACATGCAGGATAGGGTTTCCAAAAAACAACAACAATTTTCTGGAAAATTTAACCTTCCATAACGGATGGACTTAAGGACTATGCAACAAATGGTTCCACATAGGTCTTAACCATAAAATTGACTCTAAATTATTTTAATGTACTTAATGATGCATTCAGTCAGCTCTATTCATTTGGACTGGGCAGTTTGAAGTTACTAATCATATACAATATGCAACATTAACCTGAGCACTTTTCAACAATACCTTTATGTACTTATTCTGATCACAAGACCCTCATAAAAGGTCTGCACATTTAATAATATCTCTTTAGAACTGAGGTAGCTTGAATATCGTAAATTCTTTGACAAAGTACCGGTCTTGCTGAAAAAACAGCTGACTAGTATTATAAAATGAAACCACACAATTAGTGTTAATTTTAAAGTTAAAGAACAATTCTCAAAATGTTAACACAATGTGCATTAGTCAATGCTCATTGGTTATTATAATTTCATTGAAATTTCGCAAATAAAAAAAAAATCACTGCAAGCTGACATATAAAATATGTCTTAATGCACAACTTGTTTATTACTATACCTTGGCCAAATCCTCGCTAAATGCTCCTACTTTTGAGCGGCCAGTTAAAGAGTAGCACGGGGCCTGTTGTTTACTGCTTTGGGCTGTTTTACCGATCATGTGTGGTAAAGTGTAACTATTGGCAGCTGTAATAAACCATTCCAACAATAAGCGTAAATAAAAAATAAAGCAAAGAGAAGTGGAGATAAGAGACCACTAAAAACCAAGTTATGCTCACACATTATTACATTATGCAATATTATAACATACATTCATTTTTATTTTTAGTCTTTTCACTTAAAATGTTCTTCACAAGTTATATAATATATTGTTCCAAAAGTGTGCAATGTTTCATGACAATTGTTCAGACGCAAACAAAATCTAAGCAAAAAGTGATAAGAATTGCAATAAAGACTTTGCCTCTTGATTGATTTCTTCTTCAGATTTTGATTCATCTTCAAACCTGTTTTAATATATTGCATATTTTTATTGGTGTGAGCATAAGTTGACTAAATGGTAAATTTACATAGATAAGGGAAGCCATTCTGATTGATATCTATCTCAATTATTCATGATTATAAAAGGGTTATAATCAATATACTTTGAATTCAGTGTCTAACTAGGCAAAATGTATTTTAATTAAATATTTCTGAAATAAGGTGTGATGTTTTTCAAATGAATTTTTTTCCAAAATTTGCGAATAATCATCAAAATGGCTGTCAACTATATCAACTTTTTTGACTCCCTGTACAGGAGAGATGATAGCAGTAACAAACACAGCTACAATCTCAGATCAGTTTGCATAAAAGTCAATGTCTATAGGGTGCGTATACAATGATTATAATATATTATATTGTTGGTGTTGACAAACCTTGGCCAGGTCTTCATGGAAACTATTGACATTATTACGTCCTGGCAGGGAGTAGCAAGGTGCTTGCCTTTTACTACTCTGAACAGTTTTACTGATCATGCCAGGTAGTGTGTATGAATTTGCAGCTGAAATGTAAATTTGTATACAACAATTCATGTTACACAGTCTTCCTGGCATTGTTTCATACTTCCAGCTCACAGGCAGTTGGTGCGTGGTTCTTTTAATGTTATCCATATAAACTATAAATGAGCCATGTCACGACAAAACCAACATAATGGGTTTGCGAGCAGCATGCATCCAGACCAGCCTGCGCATCCGCGCAGTCTGATCAGGATCCATGCTGTTCACATAAAAACCCTAAAACAAGTAGAGAAACTGATAGTGAACAGCATAGATCCTGATCAGACTGCGCGGATGTGCAGGCTGATCTGGATCCATGCTGGTCGCAAATGCACTATGTTGGTTTTGTCATGACACAGCTCAAATAAAGACTTTTTTTATAAATTATGTAATTAAGAGTACCATGCACCGACTGACTGTGTTCCAAATGTAGCTTTGACACTATAGAAAATAATGTAAACCAGAAGAGTTCAATATTACCTTGGTTGGTAAAAATGTCAAATATTGATAAGGAACAACTGTATACGAGTATAAAAAATACTTTCTGAAAACATTCTAAACTCATTGTTTTTTTAAAAAAAATTGATGCTTAAGAGTGTTTAAACTTGAAAAAATACAGGCTTGCTAGTTAGAAGAGACTGCTCCATTAAAATCAATACAATAGTCATACTATATTCCTGCCACAGTTCTAATGCAGAATAGTAAAATCAAGGACAGTATGATCAATAAATGACTATAAACATGCATTATAAATGAGATACAGGATGTGATTAGTACAAACCACCTGTTATTGCATGTCAGCATGAGATCAGAACATACAATAGAATTAAACAGTTGATGTCACATTCTCCATGTTTGAACCACTGACAAATTGAAAATTCTCTTGATAATGATTTCTTGTTGGTGCATCCACATAGTCTATCAAATATGAATGAATTATTATCTATGATTTTATAGCCTTTACAGGTTATTCTTGTTCCTGATTTTCATAATTATGCTCCTATTTAATTTATTGTATCTATTATATAATATGAAAATGCAATTGTCAATAATTTGTGGTTTAAATATAAACTACCGTAAAATTCCTAATAAACACCCCTCCCCTAACTAGAACTCCCTGAGTCGGATGTGTCGCTATGTGAAAAATATAGTTTAGGAGAAATGGCCACGACAAAAATGAAATTTGAAAATCAACAAAGGGCAATAACTGAAAAAATAAGAAATGCAGAGAAGCAGTCTCTGTGCACTGCACTTTTCTCTTAATGAGATCTATCATCCTATGATTTAGTTTCAAGTCCATAGTTTTTATACTTTAGGAGAAATGGCCCGGACAAAAATAAAGTATGAAAATTAACAAAGGGCAATAACTCAAAAATAAGAAATGCAGAGTACCAGTTCTTGTGCACTGCACTTCTTCTTAATGAGATCTATCATCCTATGAAGTTTCGAGTCCATAGATTTCATACTTAAGGAGTAATGGTCCGGACAAAAATAAAGTATGAAAATTAACAAAGGGCAATAACTAAAAAAATAAGAAGTGCAGAGTACCCGTTCTTGTGCACTGCACTTCGGGTCATTATAAGAAGCATGCATACCAAGTTTGATTATTTAGTCAATCCAACTGATAATGACTGACTTATGCTCCGGACAAGCTTTAAGGGACGCTGAGAACGCCGCCACCGCCCACAAAACAACCCCTATATGTTATGTCGCCCCCCCCCCCCCAGGCTTTTTGATATGGCAAAAAATCTGCTTGCTCTGAGTGGTGAACTCTTTAATAAATCCGTCATTTTCATATCCTTCAGAATCCATTTTATTTCATAGTAAACACAAAAATGTATCACATGAACTTTAAAATCTTAACACATTTTAATGTTATAACCAACCAATGTTACACTAAAGTTTTTTCAATGACTTATGGATTTAGGAAAAACGTGTTGAAATAAAAGCCCCCCTTTTGGAAAATGTTTAGCCCCAGGGGGCGTTTAATAGGAATTTTACAGTATTTTGAGAAATAATCTTAATATATAAAAGTTTAATTTCAAGTGGCACACAAAAAACTATTTCAGAAAATACCTGGTGTGTTATCAGTCCTTCGGTGTCTGTGTCTGATTCCAAAAATAAAAGCTGGATGTTTAAAATGGGTTGTCTGGCCGGCTGCCTCTGGGGAGTAGGTACCTGGTCCGGGTACTTTGAAAGCCATTTGATCCTTTGTTCTGGAGTACAGAGAGTAATGTGGGGTACCATCAGGGCCAGTCCTTGAATATTTTGGGGAAGGGTAGTAGCACGGTCCCGGGCTACAGTCGTCCTTGAATTTACCGTGACGGACACCAAATGGGTATGCTGGTTGTTTGGTATGTTCACTTCTAGGGTCGTGAGTTTTCTGTCCCACAAGTCCTGGTAAGGCGTAACATGGGCCTGGGCTGCTGTACATGGCAGCAATTGGCCCTCTTGGCTTAGTATAATTGTACACCATGATTGTAACTTTCGTAACTTAACTAATCCTAAACACTCCCTGAAATCAGAAGAAAAAAAACCCAACATAAGTAAATAGTGCAGTTCATGGATATTATGGTCATTCATAACTTTTAATTCAAATTGAATACAAATATATGCTCAAACATGAACTGTAAAGTTCATATTTTATCTTTTTGATAACCTTTTTTGTCTACTTCAAAAATTGCTGACCAGTCTACATATTTTCCTTTCCTTTTGGTCTGTTTTAAAAAGATCAATCAGACAATATAAAGTTTAGACAGTGTGGACTATGTACAGATTTTGTTCTTGCCTTTGACAGTTTTAAGCTTGTCATTCACTACTGTATTAAAGATAAATGTACATCCTAATACTCGTGCTGTTATTTAAATAAATATTTCAAAGTGGATCATTAATGGACCGCTATCTTTACTTATCTACTAAGATCAATAATGAAATATAAATGTTGGCTACTATGGTGGGTGATAATATACACAAATACTTATTAAAACCATCCATCAGTCTATTTGCTATTTCCCACTTATTTTAACTTGTCTTACACTATCTGGGGTTTGTTTATTCAGATATACAGAAAAATGTAGGCAAATATTGACTGACAGTCGCCTTTTCTTACTTCTTTAAAACCCATAAGCAGTGTTGTCAAGCAGTTATTGCGTAACTTTATCTTAAATCAATACGAAGAATATTGACATGAGAAATAAATAGAAATTAGACCTCCAAACACATTAGCAATATAATTCTAATTACAACACTTTTATAGCAACACAATATCCTGGTAATTAATAAAACTTCTAGGTCACAAAGATAATAAAAAATTGCTATTGAAATTTTTTTCCTATTCATGTTTTCTTTGTGAAAAAATGTTTTCTTTGGAAAATAAACAACAAGTTTTCAACTTGTACCATTAATTTGCTATTACAATCCAGGAGAACTTTCCTTAAAGTTTTAATCTTGTATTGTTACATATATCTTTTGTGTCATGCATGTGAAAAATATCTCAAGATTATTACAAGGTATTATTTCGCCCTGCCCCCCCCCCCACCCCTCGAAACATTCTAATATAGTGTTGTAATTTAACATCAACAATGTTTTTATGGCTCTTTACTATTTAAGAGTATTCAATAAATATTATGATTATGAAACAAATAAGGAAAAGCTGTAAACATGAAGCCCTTATCTGTGGTAAAACAGTGAAGAGGTAGAAAAACAAATATCTTCAGAGAAAAGATTATAAAATTTGTTTTAATAAAACATTCTTAATTCTAAACACTGATTATACCCTTCACATTCTCTCTTTTATACATGAACAATATTATCAGAGGCACTCTTAACTATGTTTTGGAGCCTGGAGCAAAAGTCTTGCGTGCTATTAATTAATTTTATCAAATATTTGCTTATCAATCATTAATTCCATAAATAAAGAAGTATTGTTTATTTAACAGTGAAATTGCAGATAAATAAGTTTTCCAAATACAGTAATCGGTCAGATATCTCCATCGTAAAAGCTTTGTATAATCCTACTAGAAGCTTCTGTCAACAACACACAGATAGATTATCAATAATTCTCTATAAAACCCGATGTTCTATTATTTCTTCCTTTACAAATATTGTTCAGTTTGACACTGATAATAATGGAATTATGAAAACCTGCACAGTGTTTGTTTTCAGATTAAAGCACATTGTATATTTACCTATAACCCTATCAGTTCAATATATTCACCTATGATATTTCTCCGCATAAGTCACTTTGTATGTAACAAATGCGCAATTTTATTACAGATTGAAATATTTTTTTTGACATTTAATCATTTATGTTAACATGTAACATTTTCACAATGTTAGTTAACTTGGAGCAGTTTTGTCACTAAGTCCTTTAAACAACTATAAAATATATCATTGAAGTAAGACATACAGTAATAGTGTTAATATCTATTCATGATACTGATAATCTATAATTTAAATCAAGATATAGCACTGGCTAACCCCAACCACCACAAAAAAGAAAAAGAAACTACCTTTTAAAGTAATACGTATTTCCTTAAAAAACTATCTGCATTTACAAAACACAATTCAACAACAGCAAATTCCTTATCAACCTATAACAATATTATTAATGAAAGACTTTATTTGTTGATTCCATTTAGAATAATTTTAATTTAAATCAATTAAAAAAAAACATTTAAAGACTATTCCTTCATTTGTCATGCAATAAGTGTATAACTATGAATGCAAACTTCTTCTTTCTGAGACACAAGATTAATGTACGTTTATAATTTGCTTGGTGAAAATAAACAAAAATGTTTTTCACAAGTTATTAAAAAATTAAGAAAGTTTGTAACTTAAGATTAAGACTGTGAAAAACTGTATAATATAGTTCCAACATGACAGGTTTAAACCTGCCTGATAAGTCAATGCACACTATCAACTTACACATTTTAATTCTCCATTAAAGTCCAATACTACATGTATGTTTAAGAAAAATGTCCTTAGATAAGAAAGTTTTTAATTTATAGTTTACCTTAAATTCAAACATAAAATTTAAAAAAAGGAAATTAAAACAGTACATAAAACTTTACCAGGGAGTTTACCTATTACATCATGTATCAAATATGAATTAATTTCTTCATTGATTGATTCAAAATGGCCGTAACTTGTTTATTTCAATTCACATTAATCTTTTTCATGAAAGTTTCAAATAATCTAAAATATACTGCTGTTAAACAAAACTAAAATATATATATATTCATAAATCAAATTAAAATATCCCACTTACTGTTTAACACACACAGTATCCAATTTTTTTTTAAAACTCCCTATATCTAAATGAATAAATAATAAAATGGTTTTAACTTGTGTGTTTGAATAGTTTAATCTGTTTGTATTATATTGTTTAGGTTCATGGTTCTAAGCAACCATGCTTCGATACAACGCAATTCAATAGCTCTTGTGTATAGAATACCTATATTGAATGTGTATAAATGAAAATCCTTCTTTATTGACTGACCTATTCAGGCTATTATATTTTTACATTGATCTACATGTTTAACTTGGACAAGAATAAAAAAAGGTTTAATTTCGTTGTGTATCGCCATAAAAACCAAATTGAATGGATAACAATCTCTCATGAATGATTCACTCAAAGAAAATAAAAGTAATTTATTGTCACATTAAATAAATCATGCTTCACGTTTTTAGGTGTAAACAATCATGGACTCGCCTTTTGTTGTGTGTTTTTTATTGTTTATTCTTGTATATTGTGTAAAATTCATAATAAACGTAAAGAAGTATGTTATTTTACATTATAATGCTGCTGAGGAATATCAATACTGAAAGTACTTAAGAAATTTTAATTTAATTTATAATAGCCTTTAAAGTGCTTAACTTCAATTTATTTGTCCTTTCTATCAATCTGAACTAAATCATTCACCTTTTTTAGGGTAAATTTCAAAATATGTACTATCAGGGATTTTTCATCTTACAAAACAGAGGCCTACAAAAGGGTTCCTCCCAATGGATATTTTCCTTAAAATCATGCAGTTCTTCCAAAGCCACAAATTAGCAATTCCTGTGGTAATTTTTCCCAAAATCAAGAGGCCAATGACTTCCAAATTAAGATGTATATTGAACAGTAGAATCGGTTTACAGCCAGGGTACTAAGGTACTTAGGCTGGCATAAAAAATCATATCAAAGTCATTTTACCTGTACAGTCCAAAATGATATAACAAAATTCCACAGACTTGATTTTATATAGTATTAAAGAAAAATTTGTAGCATACAATATGAACAACATATAAACAGTAACTCTTTAATGGTGGCTAGTTCCCCTCTCTTTAAGAGAAAATTTAAGCATTATAATTGACAATTACCTTCACTTTGGTTGAAAATAAGTAAAAAACAACATTCATTTTGATATTTAAAAAAAACACTGCAGAAAGTACTGAGAATTTTTATTCATTCCTTTGAAGTGAGTAGGGGAAACTAGAAACAACACAGATACCACTATGTTTCACTGTTTTGTCAGTCTACTGTCAGACTGACAGGCAGACAAGTGCAAATCTATAAAACTATATATTTGGTAAAATGTTAATCATTTGCCAATTACCTTAACCATCTTTTGTTTCAGGCAATAAGTAAAAATATGTTATTTTATACTTTTGTACAAAAGTCAAAATATTTCTTTGTTTAAATTTTTATACTTTTAAGACAAATAATTCAACATCGAGTGCTAGTTTTTTTAGGTGATATAAGCGCCCAAAATGCTTGTTTTAAAACTTATGTTTGCCCTTTCTGATGAAGGAAAAATGTTTCATTTCTGAGGCTTAATATGCCTTTAATTAGATAGTACAATGTTAAATATATGGTAAAAAAGAAAAGGGGTTAATTTGGAATGATGACAATCAAATTTTTGTGTACAATCTATTTGCTTTAGTGAGTTTTAAATTTGTTGTTATTCTTAAAAAAGTTTCTTTCTATAAAAGCATAGGTCATACATCTTTGTAATATTTACACAACAGTTTTTTTCTCTTCTATATCTACATACAACTACTATATCTTAAAAGATAACATAAAAGTATTCTTTATAAGATAATCTTAATCAATCTTTACTCTGTATCTTAAATTGTAGTTAAATTATACAGAATTGATATAAGTTATCTAATATGTACCACAGGACTGTTCGGTGCCTTGATTGGTCACTTCGCTAAAATAAACAAAATAAAATTTAAAAAATCACACATATATATTTTACTAAATATTTATGTCTGTTTTTCATTCTTTTTTGTAATATGTACATGCTACCAAATATGTATTGTCACAAAATGTGTGTACATATTATCAAACATGTATGTCATCAAATAATTGTATACACAAGGTATAACAAAAACTCTATTTACACATATTGATTTCATTTTTTTTTTTACTGTAAAGAAGTACAGTGTCTAATTTGACACCATTAAAAAATTAAACCTTATTGAATATTATATTGATTTTCAAGTATACAACACAGATTATGATATAGGATTATGATATTTGTCGGTAGATTAAATGTATATCTACAGCAATTGAAGACAATAGGTCCAATCATATGGCAAGATGGATTAAATGATTACAATTGGCACAGGAATATACATGATATCTTGAATTAAGGTTAATCTTTCAATATATTGTTGGAAAAATAATGTAAAATGTCTTCTTAAATATTAAATTAAAGTACATCAATTCTTTGTATTAATCAGTCAAACAGTCTATAACAAATACACAATTACCACCATAATATATACAGACACTGAAGTTATATTATAATGTGGTTTATTTAGATATATTGTTAAAAGCATTATATAATGTTTATTTTTTATGATAAACAAAATAATGTCCTCTGGAAACCAAGATTTCATGTTATTATCAGTCTTTAACCTGTGCAAGTTACTGCAAGTATTGCAATATTTAATTTACTTGAAGACAAGTTGCAGATTAAATTATGTATCATATTTTAACCAAATCAGCTTTCAATAAAAGTATATTTAATGGCAAAACATCTAGGTTTTAAAATCCCTGAGTTTTCATCATAAATCATTTTAAGAAAAAAGGAAAATTTATATGGAAAATCAACAAGTGTTCCCCGATTTTGTAAGAAAACCTGATATAAATCAATATGGAACTACAGTAGAATACGAAGATATTTAAATCTCTTCTGATGTTTAATTTATACCACATATATAAAAAAGTTTTCTTTACACAAACCTATATAACCTCACTGACTGGCAAAAATGCTAGTTAGCATCAAGTTATTATATAAAATTCTATAACAGTGAGGCCACTATGAATGATAAATAAAACATATTTGAGCCGCGTCACGACAAAACCAACGTTATGCGTTTGCGACCAGCATGGATCCAGACCAGCCTTCACATCCGCACAGTCTAATCAGGATCAATGTTGTTCGCTATTAGTTTCTCTACTTGTAATAGGGTTGGTAAGCGAACAGCATGGATCCTGATCAGACTGTGCAGATGTGCATTCTGGTCTGGATCCATGCTGGACGTAAACGCAATACTTTGTTTTTGTCATGACGCAGCTCATATTAATCTTTGCAACCATGGTCTCAAATAATATCAAATAATAACTGTAACAACATTATTTACATTAAATACTTAAACATCACATGTTTGTATATATATATATAAATATGTTCCATTTCCATATTTTTTACAAATGTTAAACGCATTTCAACATTTAATCATTCATATTAGAACATGAATAATTCTGCTTTCAGTAGTTTTCACATTTGAATTAATAAAAAAAAGGAGTGAATTTAATCTGCATCTTATTTCATAGCTTATGTACAATAAGGCATTGTTTGCATTTCATATTATGGATATTAAATTCAAGTTTACACTATAAGTCCACTGAACAGGAAAATTTCTGAATATTGAAATACAAAACAAGGCACAGAAAAATGCCCCCTACATCAGTATGTTACCCATATGTATTCAGTATGATTCAGAAAACTTGGAGAATAAAAGAGAACAATCAAGTACAGTAAATGTTTTGCTTAAAATTACTTAATTTGAACAAAGTCATTGTCTAAACAAAATAAAACTATGCTTTAAAAAGTCTTATTGACTTTCAAGACACTATACAAAACAATTCAGAAATAGTAGGAACTAACCATATATAGGCATATTAAAATAATTCAAAAAGTTCTAAACAGAATCTAAATCTAGTTTAGCAGACCCTAGGAATAATCAAGAAATTGCACTTGTTTCTGTTACTACAGTGTATTTGCTGTTACTCTATTACTACATAAAGGTACCATTCTAAATTTTAAGTAATTGTGTAAAAGAAGCAGGGATGTGGGGGTGGGGGGGGGGGTGCAGCAACTGCCAAAAAGCAAGTGTGCTAATATTGTTTATATGCAGGGTCCTCCAAAAAAGAATTCATAACATTCTTCTGTATAATCTAATAAAAGCTTATTATGAAAAATTTTCTACAAGTGGCCAAGTTTGATGCACTACATGTCTACTGTTGAATAATTCAAACTTAGATGTTGACAAAATTTTGCAGATACATATATAATTTAAACCTTACATTCACAAAAAGTGCAATTGCATTCCTTTTAACAGACATCTGTCAATACTTTTAGGGCATATACAGAAACAGTGTTGACTCTTTTTTTATTCTACCATATTTAAATTCATGTGTATACCACTGATATGATAGCTATATGTAAATGTCATAAACTAATAGATAAACATCTTGAGAAGAATGAAGATCTATTTAAATTAAAAAAATTAAAACAAAAAATATTCATACACAAACACATTCAATCATATTTATGACATCCTACTTTTTGTCTTACAACTATCAGTCACACATTTAGCACACAGTATGGTTAATTGTGAAAATTTAACCCCCATAGTCTTCATTTGCCAGAAGTCAACATTATTAAAAACTCAAGTGCTCGAGAATGATATTTAGAATAAATCATGATCTGCATGATATTTTATGACTGTCATAAAATTATCTCAAGTGTTTAATCATAAATGTCTATGGTCATCTCATACTTTTAGCATACAGATAAATCAAATCAGCAAACAATTAAGGACATGTGCAAATTTAATCAGTAAATTAAATGACTTGTTAACTTTTTGAAGAACTGAAAGAAAAGTTGGGTCTAGCGTTTCAAATGCCTGTAAAATATTTAAACGGAGAGAAAAAGTATTTAAAAACTACACTGTTAGTTAGAAATATATAAAATCTTCTTAACTCTTACCTTTATCTCGGAATAATTGACCAAGATCACAATTGGGAACAACTTTTTTACTGGAACCCCTTACCAAAAGGTTGTCAAACAAACATGGAGACGTCACTGCAGACACCACGTGAATCCAACTAACCAATCACAATACACAGATTTGTTGAAGTCGTTGTCAGCTTTTCCCTTAGTAACAAGGGACGCTACTCTAGCTTTACCTTGAATAAGACATTATTCGTACTCAGTATACTCGTATTCAGTCTTGATAATTTTTTTAGTAAATTTCTATTTGGGGTGGATACAAAAAAAATCAAAGTGTATGAAAAATATTAAATGAATGCTAAACCATTATCAAATTTTAGCAAAACAGTAATAGAAGTCACTTGACAAAATTATTTGATTTTTTTTTTAAATCTACAGTAAACTTGTAGCATGAAAACAACGGGTCCCAATAAATAAAAAAGAAAAGCATAGAAAAAAGAACAAAAATCAAAAACATTTCCCTCACTGAATGTTAATAAATACAGTACTTTACAACTTAAGGGTATTGTTGACACTTTGAGGCACTATTGCCATAATTATATATAGGGCCTACATATAATCATAGTACATGTATTATTATAGATAGCAGGTTGGTACATTTTTATAAGCCATGAAGGTAAAACCATAGAGCTAGTTATATAATACCTACATTTTCCATGAAAATAAAAACAAGAATGCAAAAGGGCCCTATACCGCTCACTTTAAGTGTGAGTTGATGTACCAGACATAATATTATAATGTTCAGATGAGCTAACAAGAGGGCCATGCTGGCCCTGAAGTCGCTCACCTGTATATAGGCCCCCTGAGTGGGGCCAGTTTAAACCCCAGGGCTTTTTTTTAACAAACTTGGTAGACACCCATTACAAGATGTTTCATGCTAAACATCTAAGGTCTAGCTCGTTGAGTTTTTTAAAAAATGATTTTTTAAGTTTTAACTATAATTATACACATATAGTTCAAAGCAATGACACCCCTAGGGCGGGGCCAGTTTTGCCCCCTGGGTTTTTTTTTAACAAACTTTGAAGGCACTCACTAGAAGATGTTTCATGCTTAATATATAAACTCTAGCTATTTGGTTTTTTTCAAAGAAGATTTTTAAGTTTTTGCTATACACATATAAGGAAAATCAATGTCCCCTGGGGCAGGGCCAATTTTGACCCTAGGGCTTTTATTTAAACAAACTTTGAAGCCACTAACTGGAAGATGTTTCATGCTTAATATATTAACTCTAGCAATTTGGGTTTTTTCAAAGAAGATTTTTTAATTTTTTGCTATACACATAAATAAAATCAATGACCCCCAGCGCAGGGCCAATTTTGACCCCAGGGCTCTTATTTGAACAAATTTGGTAGACACCCATTAGAACATGTTTCATGCTAAATATCTTAGCTCTGGCTCTTTGGGTTCTTTAAAAGAAGATTTTATAAGTTTTTACTATATGCATATAGGGAACATCAATGACCCCCTGGGGCGGGGCCAATTTTGACCCCAGGGCTTTTATTTGAACAAACTTGATAGACACTCATTAGAAGATGTTTCATGCTAAATATCTTAGCTCTAGCTCTTTGGGTTCTTTAAAAGAAGATTTTATAAGTTTTTACTATATGCATATTGGGAAAATCAATGACCCCCTGGGGCCGGGCCAATTTTGACCCAAGGGCTTTTATTTGAACAAACTTGGTAGCCACTCATTAGAAGATGTTTCATGCTAAATATTTTAGCTCTAGCTCTTTGGATTCTTTAAAAAGAAGATTTTTTAAGTTTTTACTATATTCATATAAGGAAAAACAATGACCCCCGGGGCGGGGGCAATTTTGACCCCAGGGCTTTTATTTGAATAAACTCCATAGACACTCACTAGAAGATGTTTCATGCCAAATATCTAAGCTCTACCTCTTTGGGTTTTTTAAAAGAAGATATTTTAAGTTTTTTCTATCGGTTGCCATGGCAACCAGAGCTCTGCATGGAATTAAATTCTTTGAACAATTTTTAAAGGTGACCGCCAAAGGAACATTCCTGTGAAGTTTGGATAAAAAATGGCTCAGTGGTTTATGAGGAGATGTCATTTAAAGTAAAAGTTTACGGATGGACGGACGCCGGACGAAAAGCGATCACAAAAGCTCACCCTGTCACTTTGTGACAGGTGAGCTAAAAAGTGTATCATTGGCTAAAAAAGGTCGGTTAACTGATATCAAAATTCAACTCCTCCTCTGAAACAGTGGGTATAGTCCAAATTTCATAGCTAAATTAAATTAGTAGGCATATATAATTATAAAGCTCTCAAAACAAAAAAGTCACAAGGTCACTGAGTCAAAATCTGAATCAGGATTTTTTTTAAAGATTTTACTATATAAATATTTGAAGAATATGGCAGGGTCATTTTTTACCCTAGGGCTATGATGTGAACTTAGTAGAGAACCACTACACAATGTTGATAGGATATTTGGTGTGTAGCATTGTCTTAAAGTGGGTCTCTAGCCCTTGTCAATGTTTTTATAAAAAAGTTTTCTTAGTTTACATGTACTAGTAACTATGTACATATAAGGAAAACCAATGACCCAAAGCATGGGCCAATTTTTTTCCAAGGGCTATAATTTCAACAAACTAGGTAGGGATCCACTAGACAATGTTTCATGCCAAATATTTAATCTCTGGCCTTAGTAGTTTCAGAGAAGAAATTTTAAGTGTATGTTTAAGTTATGGTAACCTTGGACTATGACACAGAAACCTCAAATCAATCAGCCATTTTTGTCAATACAGTATATCAAGTTTAAAGGTCTTGGGTTGATCATCAAGTTGTTGTGTTCTTTTCCTTTAACATACCCATGTCGCAGATATTGCAATATAAATGTATCTTAATATACTACTATTTTTTATCAAGAACCATTTTCTTAGTCAGTTACATCATATATCACCGTGCCTTTAAAGTTCTATTGTTACGTGTTTTATCAGCCACTTCAATGTTTTTCATGTGCATTTAGTAAATCTATTGTTTTAGTTCCCCCGACGGTGAATTATTGTACATGAGATATTTATGTTTTCATGTTTTACATGCTTTTCTTGCCATGCTTAATTGTAAACGGTTCTTAAGTCAAATAATTGGATTATATTTGTGACAATTAAAATGAAATTGTTTAAATGGATTAAAACTTGTTAAGTTAAATTAAATAAATAGAGGATATTGAATGAGTGTAAGTTCAATACTGAATTTATTGCACGAGTTGAATAAAATTATATTATGCGAGCCTCTGGCGAGCATAATATTATTTTATTCAACGAGTGCAATAAATTCAGTAATGAACTTACACGAATTTAATATTCTATTTATCACATAACCCAAAATAAAGACCGTTTAATAAGAGTCATTTTTCATTGACGCGCCTATAGTATAACGCTAACATTTAGCGCGTCTTTACACTATGTTTGTATAACGCTATTGACGTCACGTCAAAATATATGCACGGCCGTGCAACACATATTTATGGAGTAGCAAAATCGGCATGGGTGTGTGATAAAATAAATTAATATTAAAAAAGGAAATGTGTTCTTTCTTCCAATGTCTTGGATTATAAATTAAATTAAAAGGAAATTCACGACAACCCACACACAAAACTGGAATGATCTGCACATAAGCTCAACTATTTTATTATATTGAAAACAACAAAAAGTGTTTTACATAATATTTATTCTGGGAAAATAAAATATGAAAATAATAACAACATGCAAAATAACATGATAACATAACTGGTATGACAATTTTTTTTATTTCGCACAGTGTTATGCTTGTCAACAATTATAAAACAAGAGGGCCATGATGGCCCTGAGGTCGCTCACCTGTATATAGGCCCCCCACCCCCGGGCCAATTTTTACCCAAGGGCTTTTATTTGTTTATTTGAACAGACTTGGTAGACACCCATAAGAAGATGTTTCATGCTAAACATCTAAGTTCTAGCTCATTGGGTTTTTTAAAAGAAGATTTTTAAAGTTTTTACTATACACATATAGTTAAAAACAATGACACCCCTGGGGCAGGGCCAGTTTTGACCTCCGGGCTTTATTTGAACAAACTTAGTAGATATTTACTTAAAGATGTTTCATGCTTAATATCTAAACTCTAGCTATTTGGGATTTTTTCAAAGAAGATTTTTAAGTTTTTGCTATACACATATAAGGAAAATAAATGACCCCCCCCCCCCGGGCGGGGCCAGTTTTGACCCCAGGGCTTTTATTTGAACATACTTGGTAGACACCCATTAGAACATGTTTCATGCTAAATATCTTAGCTCTAGCTCTTTGAGTTCTTTAAAAGAAGATTTTTTAAGTTTTTACTATATGCATATAGGGAAAATCAATGACCCCCTGGGGCGGGGCCAATTTTGACCCCAGGGCTTTTATTTGAACAAACTTGGTAGACACTCATTAGAAGATGTTTCATGCTAAATATCTTAGCTCTAGCTCTTTGGGTTCTTTAAAAGAAGATTTTTTAAGTTTTTACTATATTCATATAGGGAAAATCTATGACCCCCTGGGGCAGGGCCAATTTTGTCCCCAGGGCTTTTATTTGAACAAACTTGGTAGACATTCACAAGAAGATGTTTCATGCCAAACATCTAAGCTCTAGCTCTTATGGTTCTTTAAAAGAAGATTTTTTAAGTTTTTACTATATGCATATAGGGAAAATCAATGACCCCCCGGGGTGGGGCCAATTTTGACCACAGGGCTTTAATTTGAACAAACTTGGTAGACACTCACTAGAAGATGTTTCATGCTTAATATCTTAGCTCTAGCTCTTTGGGTTCTTTAAAAGAAGATTTTTTAAGTTTTTACTATATGCATATAGGGAAAATCAATGACCCCCTGGGGCGGGGCCAATTTTGACCCCAGGGCTTTTATTTGAACAAACTTGGTAGACATTCACTAGAAGTTGTTTCATGCTTAATATCTAAGCTCTAGCTCTTACGATTCTTTAAAAGAAGATTTTTTAAGTTTTTACTATATGCATATAGGGAAAATCAATGACCCCCCGGGGCGGGGCCAGTTTTGACCCCAGGGCTTTTATTTGAACAAACTTGGTAGACACTCACTAGAAGATGTTTCATGCCAAATATCTTAGCTCTAGCTCTTTGGGTTCTTTAAAAGAAGATTTTTTAAGTTTTTACTATATGCATATAGGGAAAATCAATGACCCCCTGGGGCGGGGCCAATTTTGACCCCAGGGCTTTTATTTGAACAAACTTGGTAGACACTCATTAGAAGATGTTTCATGCCAAATATCTAAGCTCTAGCTCTTAGGGTTGTTTAAAAGAAGATATTTAAAGATTTTTCTTTCGGTTGCCAAGGCAACCAGAGTTCTGCATGGAATTAAATTCTTTGAACAATTTTTAAAGGTGACCACCAAAGGAACATTCCTGTGAAGTTTGGATGAAATTGGCTCAGTGGTTTATGAGGAGATGTCATTTAAAGCAAAAGTTTACGGACGGACGACGGACGGACGGACGGACGCCGGACGGACGCCGGACGAAAAGCGATCACAAAAGCTCACCCTGTCACTTTGTGACAGGTGAGCTAAAAACACTTGTTTTTGTTCATTGCATACATTATATAGTAAAATTTTGGGTTAACCTTGATAATTGTCCCTTTATTTCATATGTGTTGCAATCATTTTGCCAAAAACAAATGAAGAAATCAAATGCCAGTAATTCTCCTTTGCATTACTTTCCTTATCAATTAATAGACTGGGGTGCATAAATATGCACGCCATTCTACCTTTTTTAAGACCACTTTCAGCATTATACGAATTTTAGGCAACTCAAATATTTTGTATCTAATTATAATATAAAAAGTGAATATTTAAAAATATCTTTATTTTCCTTGTCACAATGTTTATCTTAATTGTAAAGGTCATACATTGCAAATTTTACAATAAACTTTAAAAAATCTGTACAATCATATTGCACAGTTATTATCATGGTCATACCTTACCACACTAAATATCTTAAATGGAAATGTGCATCTTTTAATCTGGACAAGCCATTCATCATTTTATTTTTAGAGAAAATTTCAAAATACATACAAAATGAATAGGGAAAAGTGCAGACCATGATTAGATCATGGTCTGCACTGTTCACATTGGTTGAATCAGTTGTTACAAGCAAGCTTATGGTTAAACAAAAATTGAATCTGTAATTAACATGAAAATCTAATAAAAAAGAGAAAAAAATGGCTATGAAGGAATAAATATTCAACTGCTATTTTAGTAGGTTAAGCGAGGGTTTAGGACGAGCACCACCTGATTCTTAGAAAATTTACAACAGATTTTTAAATGTAGGTAGATCTAGCTAATGATATTTATTAAGATACAAACTATTATTCTACTTATCATGGAAACTCAAATGGACCTTTCCAGGCTTTGCCTGCAAAAAATTAAGCCCCACCTTTTCAATTCATTGCTAGGTCAACTGCCCACAAAAAGTATCACAAACAATTAATCATGTTGTTCTTTTGTTTGATTTTACGGTGCAACACAATATAGGTCATATAGCGGTGAAACATGAAAAATGATTTTAGCTAACCTTGGGTGTTATAAACTTAAAGCAACACCAGGAATCAAAACCACATCACCTGCTGGAGCTAAGAGATGCATAGACTCCAGTAATTTCGAACCAATGTAGTCAACTCCTCCAATCATGCAGGGAAAAACAGTGGCAGCAATTCTGATGACTTGATCCTTAAAGACAACCCCTCAGCCCAAGGGGAACAAAGCCATGTGTTCTTTAGTGAATACCAGGTCAACCAGGGACTATATATAACCCCAGTGTTGCAACTGGATAGCCAGTCAACAAATTGGCATAGAACTGAAAACAATGGTGGCAGTGTTGGTAGTTTACCTTTCCCGATCATGGCAGTAAGCCACAAGGTACAATACAAATGACTGTATTAAGGATTTTATGATCAAACACAACAAAAGTGTCCAGCACACTCAAGAAATTGAACTCGGGGTCTCCTTTTCACAGTCCAAGGCTCTACCAATTAAGCTATCTGGACAGTTTGAAAACACTGGAAAGGTCTATTGGCTTTATATCCTTTCAACGGAATAGAAAGTAGCAATATAATTCATATTTTGTTTGTGATCAATAAATATACCTAAACTAATTAGAAAATGACAGTACAAATTGTATAATTCATGATAAAGCTTACATGTTAAACTTCTTTCACAATCAACTTTGCAATAGTAATTCTGTGGGATGTCTCAGACACCTAAAAATCACTGTGAATAATAACCATAAATGACACAAAACAAATAAATAAATAAATACAGAAATGATGGGAATGTTATGAGTATTATAATGTTTAAATTGTCTTTATTAAAAGCCTAAGACCAGCCTTAATAAATATCTTTGTTTCCCATCCTGCGGCACATGCTAATTTGGATAGGATAGGTAATATATCTTTTTTCTAAGACATCTTTTTTTTAATATAGAACATTATAATCTATATCGAAATTATATGGATTAAAAAAACAAAAACAAAAAAACAATGAAATTGTAAATGCTTAGCATCTGTGCAAATTTAGAACCAAATAGAATTTACAAATACAATGATGGTATTCTCATTGACAGACTCTGCTTCAATGTGTTATAAAAAAATTACATTCTTTTGTTATGTTTGGCAATAAAATAAAAAAAAAAATTGAGATAAGAGTGATTTTTGTGGGTACATAGCCGGAAGGGAAACAAAATTTTTTTATTTTAGGCCTAATAAGACAGGAAATTGCACAAAAAAATACATGTAAAAATATATAAATAGATGTAAGTTTAAAATCTGCATGTTCACAATATTGTACAAAACTTTTCTTCTAAATGTCAACTTTGCCATAATAACTGTACAGAGGAAGTTTCTTAATGTCAAGCAAATCATTCCGTAGAAATGAAAAAAAAATCTAAATATCTTAATGGTCATGGACTATTTAAGCTTAGCCTTAACCAATCAAAAAATACTAAGTTTGTGGAATTACATGTATGTGAAAACATTGATCTGGCGGTATTTAACAATTTGGCACATAACAGAAATAAAAATATTTAAAACAACAAAAGTACAAAATTTATTTAATATACAATCAGAAAAACTACATTACAAGATAGAATTTATTTTATTTTCCTACAATAACCTTAACCCAGCTAAATTTGCTTTTAGTTTTTAGCCACCCATTGCTAAATTTAGGGATTTCATTAATAAATATTAAAATCTGTCATTAATATTACATGAATATTATCAAAATGTAGTTGTCTTAAAACTAAATGTACAGACGGGCCTACCTCTATACTTTTAGCATATTTATTACTCTTACTATTTAAATTTTGTGTTTTTAAGTAGCACAGACACTGTTATCAAACATTGACCATCTTATGCAAATACATGTTTTATTGAAAAAAGTTAAAGAAATGAAAAACTGGAGGGCGTTAAAGACAATTTTTTACTTTTTTCTTCATGTAATTTATCAAATTTCAAAATGGTTAAAAACCATAAAATGTTGCATCACTGTATTCACATACTAAATCTGGTAAACTTGTCTAGGTAAATATTGTAAGCTGAAATAATGCCAAGCATAGTATTGGTTATATAATGACACATATATAATTGTATAATACTAAAAACATAGAGTGACATCTGTGACATCTTTCTTGCCATTATACATACAAGTATGCTTAGCTTATCTTACACAAGATTAAATATTTAAATACAATATTCCATACATTTGTACCATTATATTAGAATTGTACACTATAGCACCCATGTTAACAGTCTGGTACAGACTTCATTCTTAAATGTATATTATCAGAATAGTGATGTAATGTAATGTCCAGTTTTATACATTTGGCACAGATGTGATATGATACATGTTATAAATTAAAGACATACTATGCTCATCTTTGGGTAAAATATTTTTATTGCAGAATTTTCTTATCGAAAATCTAGGAAATCCTAGTGAATATGTCTACTGTGAATAAGAGAATGAATAAACTATGTTTGGGAAGCTGAATTTCACATTACTGGTCAAGTTAATTTGATCCTTTCTTAAAAAACTGCCAGTTTTTTTTTAATGTAACTAGTATGTATTTATATGATGTTTACCTTTAGTGTGAAAATTTTAAAACGTATCTTCTCTGTTTGTACTCAAAAGATGTTTATTTTACATCTGTATAGCAATTATCAATATTTTCAAATATCAAATTTGAGCATGATATATCTTTAACACAGATTAAATGTGGAGTTCTATATAGCACTTAAAAATATATGATGATGAATGATGAAATAATCCAACTTATAAAAGATAACAATTTCCCTAGTATGCCACTTACAAAGAAATGTCTAATTTGTCTATGTTTGCACATTAAAATAATTCAACTTGGACATGTTCTGTAATATTTCATCCTCTGTTGGTTCTTTGAGATTGGACCTAAGATAAAATATAACAGAAATACTGTAATTTAAATGTTTAAATTCTACACAATTTATTAATACAATAATATAGAAATGTGCTGAGGTAAAACAAACACATATACTTTCAATATTAATACCAGAAGATCTGACTATCTAAAAGCCACGAGGTCAACATACTGACCTGAAAAGTTTTGTTTTGTTTACTTTATTTAGCTAATTTGTACAGTGAAAAAGCCTTAAAAAAGAAATATTTTCTAAACTCTAGAAATAAACATTTTTTTCGAGAAATATTTAAAAATTGCACCTGTCATTATTAAATATGAAGACAAAGACATGATTTTTGATAAAGTTAACTTCTATAGTTAGAAAGTCATCATACAGACTATTGTCCAAGCACTTACTTGAATATATCATGGACTGTTAGAGTATTCATATTTAAAGAATTAGACCAAGTTCGTCTTCTCTGTACAGACTGTGCTGGTGTATAAAACTTATCCCACTTCATTATGAAATTCTGAAATAGAAAAAATTCATTTTGTGTTCATTTTATAAACTGCTACACAAGCCCTTACACACTGTTATACAGTAACAAAAAAATAACCATAAAATTTTCATTATTTCAGATTTAAGATAATTACAATGTATTACAGAGCAGAGCTAAACTAAAATATATATGTTCACACTATTTCAATATACACTACAGCCTCATTATAACGCTCATGTTGGGGTCCAATGTCTCAAAACCGCGTTCTAACGAGGCTCTCATTAGAACGCTCATTGCGAAATTACTGCATTACCCCACCCACCGCCTATACATACAACGCTGAAGATTTTTACTTACTTTTCAATGAATATCAACATTATCTTTTTCTAAAACAATTCAATAATGTAAACATATATTATATTCACAAATAATACTAATTATATTTAAAAGAAACAAAAAACTTTCAAAAGAAAAACATAAATCATAAATGTAGTGTAAACAGTTAGCCATTACAGTCCAGCTTTAGTTGTGTCCCCTAGTTAATCAAACGCCATTTACTTCCTGTCTGGGCCGTTCTATATACAGTGCAGGATTTTAAATTGATTTTGGGCTTGTGTGGGTTATTTAATTCAGTGAGGTTTGCATGTCACAGATATGTGTGTGAATTTTAGTTTATTTATACACACCACCGGCTGCTCATGTCACATAATTATGATATGAATTTGAGATTTTGGAAACAATATAATGCCTGACTGATCGATAGGTAAAACAACAAAAGAGCAGATAAACGCTAACCTGTGCATGTTTTTCACACCTGTAGCGCTCATAAATGTCCTAATTACATTGTTTATAGTACTTGACTGTCAAATTGAACAAGCGTTAAAGCGAATATGGTGCGCTATGAATCTAGATCTACATGAATTTTTTTTTTTTTTTTAGGGGAGCCAAGGTCTATGAGCGCTATACTGAGATAAGCGTTATAACGAACAGCGATTTATCGAGGCTACAGTGTACATTTGTAAAATTTTGAACAAGCAAATTTTCTAAAAATAATTTCTTCTAAAAATAATTTCTTAAAGTATTTCATCACTATACAGCAGTCTTGATATCATTTAAAAATCTAGCTTCTGATTTTAGGTATGGTACACCTATTATATTCATGCTGTTATACAGGTTGTTTAGGGTATCATTAACTTGGATTGTTGGTGCTACAGGGGTAAAATTTGCTTCACCTACCTCTAGAATAAGAGCTGTAAACAAATTAAGCACTATCACAACTGATGTTAGCCACCATACAATAAAATACAGATATGACCATCTGAAATAATACAACACGTCTTTATATATTATTAATAAATAGGAAACAAATTGTCTAATATGTTATTACTTTCGATGGCAGTGTTTAAAGTCTATAAAATTGCACTTGCAACTAGCAATGTGTCCATAAGACAGGGATGCCCCATATTCCACTGTTTAGTCAGTCTATGACTGTAGGACAGATGGACAACCCAGGGTAAATTTATATGTGATGTATATCCATACATAGTAAGGGCATAAATTCTTTAAAAATTCTTTGCAAGACAAAATAATGATATATACTACCAAGAGCTATTTACATGTAGATCCTACAAAGATACATCAGAAATGGGGTTACATTTTAAATATATCTTTCTAAGAAACTACATTTTAATGGTGCTATGACTACAAAATGTACAATTACAAAAAAAATCATATTCACAGGTACAATGACGAGAAAAGTAAAGGCTTACTTTGTGGTGTATTTAGCATAGGCATCTAGGAAAACAAACCAATTGTTTACAACCATTACATCCCACAGTACTACAATGGCTGCCTGAAATATTCATCATAAAATATGTTATATAGCATTAAAATAACTCTGTAAAAGCAATTTTCAGTTATACTATTTCGAATGTATGACCAAACATCTAGTACAACAGGATTTGCATATTTTAATATCTGTCTATTATGTGTAACATTACAAAGCATCTGTCTTTTTTGGGTTTTACATCACACCAACACAGTATAGGTCATATGGCTTCAATCTTAAGTTCCTTTCAAGTTTCGAACCCACAGCAGTGAGGGGCTTTACCGGTGCCCCTTTGTGCATTATTTCAGGCACAATTGAGCACCTGAGTAGAACCACTGACCTTCCTTAAACTAGCCAGATTGTTTCCTCTTAAAAAACTCTGAAGTCCCTGACAGGATTTGAACCTACATTGGTAAGGTGCAAGTGGTTTGAAATCAGCTATGTTAATCACATAACCACAGAGGCCCTGAAAAAAAGCATTATTCTGATGTATAGTGAAATAACCCAAAGAAAAATCTGTATTTGATATGACTTTCACATTGAATAAAAAATTCACATCACTTTGCGTTCTTTATCAAGTAAACTTAAAACACATTGTTTACCAATACATACTAAAGAAATATTCATGAAATACTTACTGAAAAATCATCAAAATTATTGGCCCAGTATTCCAGCTGCTCATATGTGCCACATTTACTTTCACTAAAATACAAAAATATACTTGCAAATTAAAGACATGTAATAGTATCACATAATTTGCTATAATTCAAATATCATGTAACTTACTTTGAATTTACACATTAAATTAGAAAAGTCTGAGAAAGAATTTCTGGAGAAGATCTGTTAAAAAACTTCTTTAGAGCATTTATGATCTAGTCACTGCTGTGTAGTGATAATTTTGTTTTGTTAAAAAAACATTGTACATGGGTAAATAAAATTTTTGCATTTTTTTCAACTTTGCAAATGTTATGATTAAGTATATACAATAAATGTGAATTTCTATCATATTTTCAGAAGAACACGTTAATAAGCCTGATAATAGAAAGCAGTATTTGAGCCGCGTCATGACAAAACCAACATAGTGGGTTTGCGACCAGCATGGATCCAGACCAGCCTGCGCATCCGCGCAGTCTGATCAGGATCCATGCTGTTCGCTATCAGTTTCTCTACTTGTAATAGGGTTTGTAAGCGAACAGCATGGATCCTGATAAACTGCGCGGATGCGCAGGCTGGTCTGGATCCATGCTGGTTGCAAACGCATTATGTTGGTTTTGTCATGGCGCGGCTCATTTTACTCTGGCATAAAAAAATATCTACAATGTATACATACCTGACATTGCCTTTTTGTGTGGGATATGTTATTTTATCTTGAAATAGCTCCATACCAAGCATAGCATAGAAATAATATATCACCTGAAAATAAACAAATACACATAGAACAATTCAACTTCTCTGTAACTTTATACATCGTTAAATTTAAAATGTGTACACCCTGCATTTCATTAATATCCTAGTATAGTATTTATTCATAACAATAGTCCCTATGATAAATTCATGCAGCAATTCATACTTAACACAAGTACATGTACTCAACTCATGAATCAAGGAAAAATCATGTTGTTTTTTTCATTGTCTAACACAAGCAGTATAATCTATGTTCACATTATTTCTAAATAACTAAACAGGATACTACATGTACTCATCTGTCAATCAGAAACAAAATATACAGAATTATAAAAAAGGAAGGAATACTCACAATTAAAATTCCTCCAAAAGATTTAAGATTCTTAACGAGATCTAGCAAAGTGTGTGCAACAATTGCCATAGTCTGAAAGAAATATAGAAAATACATTTTTAAAATTCATTAATGAATAACTCTTTTTAAACTCTACAATAAACAGGCCTTAAAAGACAAAGGACTTTTGTAACAAAATGTTAAGGAGCATTTGTCTACAAAAAGGTATAGAAAGTTTCTAATAAATATCACAATCTACCATTTTCCTTGAAATTAAAGCATACCTTATCTGGTTGAGACTGCATTTGTGACCTTAAAAATAATCTTTGTCCTTATTGACTTAATTGGATGCTAAAATGAAAACTTCATGTAAAACAGCTAACAATTATCAGTCTCTTTCCCCTTTGGTAATGGCCTGATTATCCCAATTTAAAACCATGGATATCTTTATAATCTAGATAGACTTCATAATGTTGTCTGCTTAATTTCTGTATATTGCTATAAAAACTCTCCCATTAACATTGGACAGTCCATTATAAATTTCAGTGTGTCTTGAGTTATTTAACATACCTTTATATGCCATATAATGCGTAGCAATCTAAACATGATGAGAATATTTATCACTCTGACAATATTCCACAGTGCAAAATTTCCATGTGTTTCTTTATTACTGAAATGTCAATTATATATTGTAAATATACATTTCTAAATTAACCTTTTTCCTGTGGAAACAAATAGTAACTAGCCTTTGCCACCAGTATAAGCCAGGCCAGCTTGCATTACCCTGCAATCTGGCTGGACTCTATACTGTTGGCTGACCAATTTAAGATTTTTATCTCGATATTGCCATCAATAATCATGGACAACTCGTAAATGGAAGCTGGACAAGTCCATTTAAGAAATTCAGCAGGTTATAGATTAAATGTAATATATCAACAATATCACTGCAAGAATAGTCATTTTAATACTTCCATTATAATAAATGTAAATATAACAGCAAAAAATATATGACTGAGGTTTATTTACTATGAACAGCATGTAACAGAAGTACTGTTTCTGACTAATTAGAAAACCAATATATAAGAATATTAATAACATTGTTACAATTTACAAACAAAAATCTCACCTGAAGAAAGGAAATCCATACAAGGAAACTGTGATCAGTTCAGAAAGCTGTTGCATAGAAAAGAAATACATGAAATTTAATCTAAATTTATACAATGTTAGTACAATACTTCAATGAAACAGATTTTTCTATGATCTTAAATCATGTGTGCTATCAATATACATATACACAAACTTATAGGTATTTCATTACACATCTGAAGAATATTCATGACATTTAATTTAACATACTTATAAGTCTTGGCAAGAAGCTAGAGTGATTCTGAATTCTACAGGTTGTAACACCTCAGTCTGTGCCAGTCATTTAACAAATTATCTTTTCACAATTTTTCACAATAAAACAATTTTTGCCTCATTTTTAAAAAAAGAAAACTAAGATTTTTTTCTTTACATACAAGCCCCATACAAAAATAGAGAGGTAATGAAAGTAAACTTGTCTGAACTAAAAACTATAAATTACTTACAAGAAGGATGACAACAATAGAACCATCATATAAGTTTGCCCAGCTATACCGATATCTTCTCCAGCCCATACACAATATAATCAAACTCTGTTCTACCACATAGTATATGATAAACAGAAAGTTTATTATCTGTAAATAAAACATGTGAACATTGAAACTGATTCTTCAAGCTGTAGATAAGTGCCAAAAGATAATACAATTGAGCCGCGTCACGACAAAACCAACATAGTGTGTTTGCGACCTGCATGGATCCAGACCAGCATTCGCGCAGTCTGATCAGGATCCATGCTGTTCGCTACCAGTTTCTTTACTTGTAATAGGGTTAGTAAGTGAACAGCATGGATCCTGATCAGACTGCGTTGATGCGCAGGCTGGTCTGGATCTGTGCTGGTCGCAAACCCATTATGTTGGTTTTGTCGTGACATGGCTCAATTTACATTTATCTATTTTACAGATCAAGTTTTATGTCAAGCACACAATGTTCATGCCACATGAGGACTTTGTATATTTACTAGTGAATAAATAACTACCCCAAACATTTCACACAGGTAACATAAAGATGCAAATTCATCAGAAAAATACCACCATGTCAGGAATTTGAACTTGTGACCAACAGCTTACAAGCAAATAAAGACATCACTATAGACCACAGACCCAATCAATTGATTCCCTTTATGCAGCTTTGAATACTTGTAAGTTGTATCTAGAGTTATTAGGGCAGGTTTACACATATACCTGAATATTTCATGTATAATTTACAGCATAAGCCAGCTTCGTTGTAGACAAACTGACCTTCAATATATCATATTATAAACAACATTTTACACTAATCATCCTTGTAATATATTCTTTCTTTTTATATAATGATTTTCAAAACTTTAAGCACATTTGTCTTCAGACTAGGTCAAGATGTACTAACACTTATACATACATATAAATTTATGAAGGCAGATTTTAACTATCAACAAGAGCTGTCGGTAGGACAGCAATGCTCGACTATTCTTAGTGCTTGATAGTAAAAAAAGCCTTGATAATGTAAAAAATTTTAAGTCAAGAAAAGGGTAAAATTTTTCTTTAAATCCATATAACAGATATAGGCCTTGGAGAGAGTCCAATTATGCTCTCAAAAAAAGAGTATAAAATTTCAACTTGTTTCAAAGCCATATGTCAATGGACTTTGAAAATATTTGAGGTATAGCAAGAACTTTAAAGTAAATTCTAAGTCGAAAAAGGGGCATAATTCTGTCAAAATGCTTGATACAGTTACCTTCCCCTGTCTACAGGTTGAGGTCATGATGGTAAACAAGTGTGCAAAGTTTCAAAGCCATATGTCAATTGACTTTGAAAATATTTGAAGTATTACAAAAACTTTAACATAAGTGGTTACGCCGACGCTCGGGTGACTACAATAGCTCTACTTATTCTTATTGAATAGTCAAGCTAAAAACTAATTACACTCACTCTTAAAGTTGATTGACTGGAGTTAAGAGACTTGTCATACTGTGTGGCCAACTCAAACTGCAAAGCAAACAGAACTTACATATTTAACATAAGATTAGAAATTAGAGAGTCATTGTTATAAATTAGAGATATGCATACTTATTTTCACAGGGATGCTATTTTAATATAATATGTAATTCAATTCAGTGCACTCGTATTCCTAATATTATTAATCTTCAATTAAGCAAATGCCTAAACAGTAAAGATAGTGTGGAAATATGGTTTTATGGATGTATTTAAATGTATTAATCTCAGGCAAATTTATGTATTGCGTTACGAACAATGATAAATAATTCACAGTCTGTTTTGAATAATTCATCATATGAAGTTAGATCTTTTCATTGGCATAAGTCTTGATTTACATGTACATAAAAGCACATAAAATGAATAGAATGAATAACACATAGGCTTTAGAAAAGTATGTAATTGCTATGTTCCCAAAAGAATTTGCAAGTCTATTTGCTCAGTTTTAAAGAAGGAATAAGCAAATAATCAGTCACATTTTTAATAAGGAAATTTGTCAAGATTTCTATAGCTGGTGGTAAAATTTCCACTTGGCTTATATAAGATCAAAATGTATACATTATAAATTCACTATGTGACAATTTGGACAAAATCTATGGCATACGTCTCCCTTTACTGTTATTAAATGTTTATTGAAAATACAGGCATTCAATCATATAACTCAATCGGCCTTTTGTACAGTACACATAGTATATGTTTGGGTGTGTTTTTTTTTTACTTTAAGCTTCAAATGGAGTATGAATGCTTGTATGTACATGTATAAGACAATTAAAAAGCTTAAAACACTTATGAAAATGAGACAAAAAGATGCAAATAACATCAAATGTTTTAACAACCTTGAAATTTAATGGTCACATTTGATTAGGACAAAGAAATTCACAATTTAAATATTTTTTTTTTTCAATCTTAAACCACTATCAATAATATTTTAAAGTCTGTATAAATTTAGAGATATAAAGAGAAGTGCTTCAATCAAATAGTATAAAAAAAACTCAGTGTTATAGTTTATACATAACGTAATAATAATGAGCAACTAATTTTTATGATACTAACAGCTAGCTAATTAGCAAACTGTTATAGGTATATACTATTGTAAAGACTAATTGAATAATGGTGATGCTGTAGGTATATATCATTGTAATGTCTAAAAGAGGAATGGTGTTGTTATACTTATAGGCATACATCATTGTAATGTCTAATAGACTAATGGTGATGTTATGGGCTTACCTGATCTTGAATTTTTAATATCTAATATACCATTGTAATGTCAAATATACTAAAAGTGATGTTTCGGGCATATAAAATTGTAATGTGTCCTATACTAATAGTGATGTTATAGGTATATATCATTGTAATGTCTAATACTTATAGTATTGTTAAGATAGCTATAATTTTAAAGTAATTGAACTGAATACAGGTACAGGTAAAAGTTGTATTGAAGATGAGTTAAAGGTTATTCTACAATATAAGGTTTTTATGAAATAAAATTGCATTTTCTACAAAAACAAGCAAATTCGTTGAATTTATATCCCCCGCAGAGTACTGGTTATTATTAACACAACAACTGAAGACATAAGGCTTTATTTATATATTAATCATGGCACAAACAGTAATATTCTTTGAACTTGATAAATGTTCAAGGCAATAACAGAGTCATAACTTTGTGTTAAATAGTAATATCTAGAAATGCCAATGAGATGTATGCATACCACATAACTAATAAAGGGCCATAAATCTGAATTATAAGTATCTGACCGGAACAAGGTGACTATATGCACATCTCCTCTTAGTATCCCATAAAGTTTCATTGAATTCCAGCCAGTAGTTACAGAGAAGTAGCACGGAAACGATTATTGCTCTGGTTGTATACTGCCTAAGTTATCAAGGGTCATAACTCTTAGTTAAAATGTCTGACACAAACAAGGCGACAATATGCGCATCTCCTCTTGGTATTGAAGGTTCCAATAAAGTTTCATTGAATTCCAGCCAGTAGTTGCAGAGAAGAAGTGAGGAAACAAATATTTTTCTATATGGATACTGAATAACTAATCAAGGGCCATAACTCTGTGTTAAAGTGTCTGACCGGAACAAGCCGACGATATGCGCATCTCCTCTTGGTATTGAAGGTTCCCATAAAGTTTCATTGAATTCCAGCCAGTAGTTGCAGAGAAGTAGCACAGAAACGATTTTTACTCCATATGCATACTGCATAACTAATCAAGGGCCATAACTCTAAGTTTAAGTGTCTGACCGGAACAAGCCGAGGATATGCACATTTCCTCTTGGTATTGAAGATTCCCATAAAGTTTCGTTGAATTCAAGGCAGTAGTTGCAGAGAAGTAGCACGGAAACGATTTTTACTCTATATGCATACTACATAACTAATCAAGGACCATAACTCTGAGTTAAAGGGTCTGACCGGAACAAGCTGACGATATGCGCATCTCCTCTTGATATTGATGATTCCCATAAAGTTTCGTTGAATTCCAGCCAGTAGTTGCAGAGAACTACTCCGGAAACGAAATGCGGACGGACGGATGGAAGGACGGAAGGACGGACGCCAAAGACGAACGCCAAAACTATATCCCCCTCCCGATTCCATCAGCGGGGGATAATAACCAAACAAATAACTGATAAAACTTTAAGAAATACATGTATTGTGAAGGACACTAAATTATAAAATATGATATTGCTTATTCTTAATATTATGGTTATATAAAGCTACAAATATAGAACATGTTTATTTTTCTTCCCAGTTTGATCATAGCTAACCCTTATCCTGATGGTGGTTACAGAATTTACCCTTGCTGCCAGTGCAGACCAAGATTAGACTGTTTGTCTGTGCCAGCTGATCATGGTCTGCACTGTTCATTGGTGTTTTATTTATTTTTTACTTTCCCTATAAACGATGAATGGTTTTGTCGCGACTTAAAGATAGACAAGTCTATTCAAGATATTTATTATGGTACTGGTTAAACATTGAAAGCAAGCAGAATTTTATAGAATTTCAAAACAAATGTTTTTATTCATGATTTTGATACTTTTGATGATAAAAACTTTTTGATATCATTTCAAATGTGTTAAATTCGTTATTAACCAATTATACAACTTCTACATCAGTACTAACCTGATGTTTGCTGGTTTCTGCCAATGATTTAAACGTTTCAGTACAGATGACTTATATTACAAGTGAAATAAGTCAAGTTGAAGTTAACATGTTCAATAAGAAAAGTTAGATAACACGAGTTCAACATCCCTACAGAATGAGGACCATAGGTTTAAAGGCAGACACACCATGCATTAGTTTACATACCTCCATAAAATACTGTAAGTAAATAATGGACAACTTATAAATGACCATTTTAATAAACATCAGTCATTATAGGTTTTAGAAGAAAAAAGATATCAGAATCTACATTGTGCGATTTTGCATGTACAGTAAATTCTGCTTATAACAAACTCACTGCAATATCATTATATCAGGAGTTTGAGATAAGCCTTTAGCCAATTTGTTTCTTATATCAAATGATTTAGTGGATAATTATAGGGAAAAACCTTAATGTTCAAGTAACCCACTATCATCAATACAGGTCAGCTCATATGCCAGCTAAATTTTAAGCTCATTCAAGATTTTAAAGCAACAAGATTGAATTAAAGGCGTAAGACCTATAAGTATCAAGCATCATATAAGTTTTTTTTTAACAGGTCTAGAAGCTAATTGTTCTATTAATTTTGGTATTACAGACACTAATGAGAATGTATGCCAACTGCCATAAAGGTACTTTCTTTTCAAATAATGATGTCAATGCTGAAAACACTCTGGTCATGTGACAAAAATGTACTAAAAGTAAATATATGAAAACTGTTGAATTAAAGAAAGAGCTGTGTCGATGGTTAATAAATATTACATGACATATTAGCCCATATTAATCAGTTCAATAGACTTCGTAATTCATAATTTTCACATGTAAAATGTTAATATATGAGACTTGCACATGCAGCTAACAATCTCTATTATTCCTGATCTCTACAAAATTAATATTGTGGTAAAAAAGTAGACACAACAAATATCACTGAATATTACAACTGCATGCATTTGGGTCTAGAAGCACTTTTTTCATAAAGCTTTCCAGTCAAAGACTATCAGGTAATTATGTCCTGGATTCTTACCAACACTAACCTGTCTATGTAACTGCCATTGGGTACACCATAAGCATCATACAAGCCATATCAAACTGATTGCATTAGACTTAATGTAACCAATTAAGTTACCATGAAAATAAACATAACCTGCACATTGGGCAAACATTCTGGTATCTGAAGTCTGTAAAGCCAATGTTGTACTGACCGAAGTTAGCAGGCATAATGTATCATACAACTTTCATTATTTTATGCGGGTAGCAAGCTGTGGGCATATAAGTTTGAAATACTTACAGATATGAGAATTACATTGATTAGTGCCATAAAGTTTCCATAGTAACTGAAGTATTTATGACAGATTATTTTCTGCAAGGCAACAAGATGTCTGTGATGCTGGAACCATCTTATGCTTGGTTTCTAAAATATATAGACATGTTATGCTTATAAAAAAAGGTTTTAGAAAAGAACAAACTAAATTCAATTAAAATAATATTTTCATATAATTATTATATAAAAAAAAGAAAACAATTTAAACAAGAGCTGTCAGTAGTACAGCAACGCTCGACTATTCTTAGTGCTTGATAGTAAAAAAAATGCTTGATACAGTTACCTGCCTCCTGTTTACAGGTTGGGGTCATGATGGTGAACAAGTGTGCAAAGTTTCAAAGCCATATGTCAATGGACTTTGAAAATATTTGAACTATTTACAAAACTTTAACATAAATTCTAAGTCGAAAAAGGGCATAATTCTGTCAAAATGCTTGATAGAGTTACCTCCTCCTGTTTACAGGTTGGGGTCATGATGTTTGAACAAGTGTGCAAAGTTTCAAAGCCATATGTCAATGGACTTTGAAAATATTCGAAACTATTACAAAAACTTTAACGTAAATTCTAAGTCGAAAAAGGGGCATAATTCTGTCAAAATGCTTGATAGAGTTACCTCCTCCTGTTTACAGGTTGGGGTCATGATGTTGAACAAGTGTGCAAAGTTTCAAAGCCATATGTCGATGGACTTTGAAAATATTTGAACTATTACAAAAACTTTAACGTAAATTCTAAGTCGAAAAAGGGGCATTATTCTGTCAAAATGCTTGATAGAGTTACCTCCTCCTGTCTACAGGTTGGGGTCATGATGGTGAACAAGTGTGCAAAGTTTCAAAGCCATATGTCTATGGACTTTGAAAATATTTGAACTATTACAAAAACTTTAACATAAGTGGTTACGCCGACGCGGACGCGGACGCGGACGCTCGGGTGACTGCAATAGCTCTACTTATTCTTATCGAATAGTCGAGCTAAAAATTGATGATGTGACGTCATGATGTGATGATGTCACAAAGAAGAATGCGCGACGTTACGCGGCAAAATCAGTAAAAAAATACTTAAAATCACTCAAAAAGCAAGAAATAAAAAGAAAATTTATTTGTTTTACATATAAGATTGAAATATATATTTCATTCGTGAACACCAGCTATTCTATTTTCACTCGTGGCTACGCCACTCGTGAAAATATTACATCTGGTGTTCACTCAGTGAAATTATATTTCAATCTTACATGCAAAACAAACAAATATCCTCTATATATAATTATTATGAAATGTATTTAAAGGGAGATAATGATTTCAGAACTATTTTTTTCAATATGATGAGTTACCTCCCTGTGGAGTTTTTCCATTTCCATCATACGGAGGACAGAGACAAAATTGTTCCAAGATAACATCTGGTCTTGTGTAAAACCTTGAGCAATTGTCTGAAAAATATATTTGTCAGTTTTAAGTTCACAAGAGACAGTTTGAAATTCACAGAGAGCAAGTGCATTTTAGAAAGAGGATTAAATATTCAGTTTTTCAGGCACCAGTGTAGCCACACCAAATGTTAGCTGTGTAATTTTTGTATTTTTATATTAATATTCACTACACTTTTTCTGCCTCCATACAGTACCACACATTTGTATGGCCATCTTCCGGATGTAAAGTATGATATCTGTATGTTATTGTTTTTTAACTTTTTCATAATTTTTATTTTAGGTTTTACTACTGTTAGGTTTCATAAAAGTGTGTTCATATAGTCTATATAATTATAGGCACCTATATTCTATAATACATTCCTGTAATTCTTCAAAAAGTCTGAGGAAAATAGCCTGTAATTATATTTACAGCTCTAGTAACTGAAAGGCTAAATTTACAATAGGCAGCTCTAAATTTAGAACAGGACACATGGATTACACAAGTTCAGGATGTATTATAACATCTGAAGTACAAATATATATATCAAATTGTACAATCATTATCACATATCCTATTGCCGTATTGCACTTTAATCAGCTTGAAGTGTTTATTAATTGTTTTCTACATTGCTTTGCACTTAACAAAACTGTACTTTAATGAAAGTATTTAAAAATTTATTTAAGGCAATTTATTTAAACACCTTATTTGTTTTTTTATGCCGATTTAAACACAGTTTTGTTCCTATCTCTGTGGTGAGTCCACCTGACCAGCTTTCCTGGATAACCAACCAGTAATTACCAATTTCTCAATTTCTGAAATGACTAATTACTAATCCCACATGATTTCTGAATCAGCAGTGAGAGCCAAATAACCATAAGACTCAATGTCTGAAAACAACTGTCACAATGTAATTTTATCTTACTCGAGGATCGATAATATGCTTTCCCTATTGAGCTAATTTCTTTTAAATCTTTAAAGGAAGCCACAAATTCAGTGGATTAAAGGGTTAATATTATTTTGTCAAAATATATAGAGACTCTTTATGATATTGCACGCTTTTCAATGGATAATTGTGACATTTACATATATACATGGCTGCTGTCAATTTATGAAGAAATCTCTTTTGTTTCTCTAAAAAGGAAGTTTCTGTATGATAAATTCATTATAAAGATTTTTGACAAGTTACATGGCCGTATATAAATGGTTCTTTGCAATATAAACCTCACCCCTTAATGAACACAACCATTTATATAGGGCCATATAGCCTGTCAAAATCTTTATAACAAGTAACATACATGGCTGCTGTCAATTTATGAAAAAATCTCACTTTTTTCTCAAAAGAATAAGTTTGCAGTATTATAAATTCATTATAAACATCTCTGACAGGTTATATGGCCGTATAAAAATGGTTATAACTAGTAATATATAATAACTTACATCAACAAGTATAACTTTCATTTCCTGCGATATTTTAGCTCTGGATACAACAAGTTTCAGATCCCTCACTGTAACACCATTGCTAATGATATAGAACAGATAATAATTTACTATATACAGTACAAAAACCAGAAATCTTTAAATAAACATAAAAGAGGTCAGAATGCAAAAAAAAAAAACAAGAAGCGCCACAATGCGACGAAAACCAGGTTTTCAACGACCAAATTTTGATGTGACAGCAATCAATAGGTCAAAGTACACTGAAGTTAATGAGTAGAAGCTGAAAATTCTATTGTAAGCAAATGACCTTGAACTTGCTCCCAGATATCAAAGTAGCAATCCAAAGCTGCCACTCAGCAAGTTTATTGTCAAAAAAGGTCAAAGCAAACTCAAGTTATAAAAGCAATGAAACCTAAATACATTACCTTGAATCCATCAGACACCTGGGTAGGCAATCCCAAGCTGGCCTCTTTTTATAATTTAAGCCTACCCATTCATTCAAGTTTTGGTGTCAAAAAGCGCCAAAGGCAAACTCGAGTTTTTTGAGGCGGAAACTGGGAATTTTTTCTTTTTTTTAGTAAACAGTGGACCTTTGGGACCTTTGGATCAACAGACACCTGGGTAGCAATCCCAAGCTGCCTCTTGATAATAAGCTATCCATACACCAAGTTTGGTGTCAATAGGCCAAGCAAACTCGAGTTATTGAGCAGAAACTGAATTTCTATTTTTAGTAACAGTGACCTTGACCTTGATCACAGACAACCTGGGTAGCAATCCCAAGCTTCCTCTTGATATAAGCTATCCATACACCAAGTTAGGTGTCAATAGGCCAAGCAAATCTCAAAGTTAAATTGAGCAGAAACTGAATTTCTTATTTACGTAATAACAGTGACCTTGACCTTGATCACAGAACACCTGGGTAGCAATCCCATGCTGCCTCTTGATATAAGCTATCCATACACCAAGTTTGGTGTCAATAGGCCGAAGCAAACTCACAGTTATTGAGCGGAAAACTGAATTTCTATTTTTAGAAAACAGTGACCTTGACCTTGATCACAGACACCTGGGTAGCAATCCATGCTGCCTCTTGATATAAGCTATCCATACACCAAGTTTTGGGTGTCAATAGGCCAAAGCAAACTCAAGTTATTGGAGCGGGAAACTGAATTTCTATTTTTTAGTAAACAGTGACTTGACCTTGATCACAGACAACTTGGTAGCAATCCCAAAGCTGCCTCTTGATATAAGCTATCCCATACACCAAGTTTGGTGTCCAATAGGCCAAAGGCAACTCAAGTTATTGAGCGGAAACTGAATTTCTATTTTTAGTAAACAGTGACCTTGACCTTGATCACAGACACCTGGGTAGCAATCCCAAGCTGCCTCTTGATATAAGCTATCCATACACCAAGTTTGGTGTCAATAGGTCAAAGCAAACTCAAGTTATTGAGCGGAAACTGAATTTCTATTTTTAGTAAAACAGTGACCTTGATCACAGACACCTGGGTAGCAATCCAAGCTGCCTCTTGATATAAGCTATCCATACACCAAGTTTTGGTGTCAATAGGTCAAAGCAAACTCAAGTTATTGAAGCGGAAACTGAATTTCTATTTTTTAGTAACAGTGACCTTGACCTTGATCACAGACACCTGGGTAGCAATCCCAAGCTGCCTCTTGATATAAGCTATCCATACACCAAGTTTGGTGTCAATAGGCCAAAGGCAAACTAAAGTTATTGAGCGGAAACTAAAAGTTGACGCCCGCCCGCGGCCCCCCCGCCCGCCGACTTCGGCCATTACAATAACCCGGTTTTCATTGAAAACCTGGTTAAAAACAACAATCACAAGTTCATTAAGCAAAGTCAGTATTGTAAAGAATGCATCACTTCTAGTTCCAATAAGCATTTATCCTTTATATAATTCAGCATGACAACTTTAAAGAAATGGCAATTATAAAAGACGAAAGCAAAAAGAACAAAATTTCTTGAGTACATTGCCAACTATTGATTTTTATAGAAGATTGTTTATCGGGCCCGATTTTTTGTTGAGAGTTTTAAAAGTGCCCTGTCCAAGTCTAAAGCCTCATTAAAAATGTCTGCATAGAACCTTGGGCAAAAGAATGGCAATAATAGAACTCTGACAATAGAATGGCAATAATAGAAATGGCAATCATTGAACTATGACAATAGAATGGCAATAATACAACTCTGACAATAAAATGACAATCATAAAACTAAGACAAATAAGTGACAATCATAGAACTCTGACAATAAAATGGCCATCACATAACACTGACAATGAAATGGCAATCATAAAACTCTGGCAATAGAATGGCAATAATAGAACTCTTGACAATAAAAGGCAACAATAGAACCCTGACAATAAAAAGACAATCATAAAACTAAGACAAATAAATGACAATCATAGAACTCTGACAATTAAATTGCAATCACATAACACCAACAATTAAATGGTAATCATAAAACTCTGGCAATAGAATGGCAATCACAGAACTCTGAAAATAGAATGACAATCATAGAACTCTGACAAAAAAATGGCAATCACATAACACTGACAATAAAATGGTAATCATAAAACTCTGACAATAGACTGGCAATCACATAACACTGACAATAAAATGGCAATCATAAAACTCTGACAATAGAATGGCAATCATAGAACTCTGGGAAATGGAATGGCAATTATAGAACTCTGGGAATAGAATGGCAATCATAGAAAACTAAGAATAGAATGGCAATCATAGAACACTGAGAATAGAATGGCAAACATAAATATAAACAACAGAACCGCAATCATAGAATTCTGACAATAGAATGGCAATTATAGAATTCTGACAATAGAATGACAAACATCTTACATTTCCAAAACCATGTGTCTTGTCTTAATTAACTGAAATAAACTCTAATACTTTCAGGGCATGATCATTCTTGCATTTATAAGCATATTAAGATTTTTTTCTATAATGAAATGAGTAAGCAATTTAAACTGATATGGCATATTTAATAGTTGATAAAAAGAGTCATTTTGCTGATGATTATCATGCAACTGGATGAAATTAAATAATAACTTTTTTTACTGTAAAAATTCTTAAAGATCATGTTTATAAATGATATTATGTAACAATCGTTATTACTTTACTGGATAATAAATACAAATAAACATCACATATTAGTATATTTTTAAATAATATGGCCAATGAAAATGTTTCCAAAGGTAAACGTGTTATCTTCTATGTACAAATGTTGCCAATTACAAAATTCTGTGTTTTTTCAAATTATTTGATAGCAAAATGTTACCTATCCTGCTATATGGTAGAGAAATTTGGGGTTTTAAAGAGTATTAAATGTCTTGCATGTAAAAAATACTTATGTGTCAATGAAAAAACATCTAACGCCTTTTCACTAGGCGAATGTGGGCGTTATCCTCTCTATTATATTCTTATGTACGGTGTTTGAAGTATTGGTTAAAAGTAATTAATATGCCCGATACAAAGTATGTAAAAAAAATGCTTTAATTTTCTATTGGACACAAATACAGATCGTCATTTTAATTGGGCCACAGAGATAAAACATTGTTGGATATTCATGGTTTTAGCTATATGTGGCACAATAATCAAAATTTAAACCACAATAAATTTATTTAAGAGTTTACTGAAAGGGTTAAATCCCAGTATTTGCAAAATTGGTATAGTGTTGGCGAATCATCATCAAAATTATCAGTATATACGGGTATAAAATTAAGTTATGAGCATGGTTATTACATAGATATTTTATTTGTATGTAAATTGAGACACTGTGATGCTCATATCAGAGCTGGCGCTTTAATTAATTAAAATTAGGCAGACATCAAGGTATTCTGAGAGAACAAAGACTGTGTAAATTATGCAATAGATCTAAAATCGATGACGAGTGACACTTAAATATAATTATAATGCATATTGTTAATCAGTAATATTATTATCATAATTATACTTCGTACATTTAAAGACAATAAAATAGGTAGGATTTAAATAACAACATATTGCTGACATCTTACTGATATGTTTTCTATTCAACAATTTACATGTAGTATGTTTACATCATATATTTACTCATCTTAAATTCAATGTATTTATTGTGTACACACCTAATGTTTCTGTATTGTACATCTATGTGTCAAGATTGTACATTTATGTGTCAAGGGCCAGTGGTCATATCACTTATATATGATTTAGCGCGGAGGAAGGTAGTCTAGTACAAGTGTAACTCTCCAGGAACGATGGTTAGGAAACTACCCGCCTATATGACTGAAATACTGTTGGGAAAAGGCGTAAAATGAAACAAACAAACAAACAAACAAACACTTATATATGAGTTGAGAGTATAACTTACCAGGAAATATCCTCTAAACTGATTATAAATGATAGCAGTCAACATGTTCATAAAACAATACAGACCTGTAAACAAAATAAGTGACATCACTTACTTACATGTGATAATATTAAGTTGTAAACTGGTTGTTATTAACACTTATAAATTTTTCTATGACAGACATAAACTATCTATCAGAGAAAACAAACAAACAGTCTGAATAGTGAGTTTAAACAGTGACTAAAAATGTTTGTGGCAGCCTGAATGGCTGAATGGTTAAGGTCACTTGTGCATAAAATCAGGGGTGAGGGGCACCATAGGTTTTCCTCTACCAGCACGTCTCCAGGATTTTTATGGGATATGTATGACTAAAGATTCATCCATAACTAATGAACAATTTTTAAACAACATGATTTTTGACTTTCATATAATAAAATGGCACCCCTAAAATGGGTTAAAACAATTCCTACTCAGGTGTGGCGATCTACTATTTATTGTCCGATTATCAAAAATACAAAACAAAAGCTTAATGAACTTTACAAGAATAAATCATAAGTAATTATTTTCTACATGTTTATATATGATTCAAAAGTAAATCATATGATATCTTACCAATTATCAAGAACACAATAAAGAAGAGGGCATATAATCTGTTTCTTCTATAAGCAGGTAATGTTACTGGAATAAAGAAACAACAGTTTGTAAATAACATTTGCAGTATTTAAAGTATAAAATTTGCTATTTTCCTCAGTACATGTATATGAAACAATATTTCCTTAGCATGACTGGATTTAAAATAAACAAAATATACATCACTTTCCTTAGAATTTTCTTTACCTTATAATTTATCATAAATGTCATAAAGAAGTAGGTTGGCCAGTAACTAAGGCCTGTAACAGAGACCTATAACACAGGCCAATAACATAGGCCAATAACACAGGCCAAAAACATAGGCCTATAATATATGCCTATAACATAGGCCTATAATACATGCCTATAACACAGGCCTATAACATAGGCCTATAATACATGCCTATAACACAGGCCTATAACACAGGCCAATAACATAGGCCTATAATACATGCCTATAACACAGGCCAATAACATAGGCCTATAATACATGCCTATAACACAGGCCAATAACATAGACCTATAATACATGTCTATAACACAGGCCAATAACACAGGCCTATAATACATGCCTATAACACAGGCCATTAACATAGACCTATAATACATGCCTATAACACAGGCCAATAACATAGGCCTGTAATACATGCCTATAACACAGGCCAATAACATAGGCCTGTAATACATGCCTATAACACAGGCCAATAACATAGGCCTGTAATACATGCCTATTACACAGGCCAATAACATAGGCCTGTAATACATGCCTATAACACAGGCCAATAACATAGGCCTGTAATACATGCCTATAACACGGGCCAATAACATAGGTCTATAATACATGCCTATAACACAGGCCAATCAATATTGCAGGAAGTATACAACCTTAAAAGCAATGGAATCACCCTTCTTTGAATTTGGGACAGTTCATTCAAATTTTAGTTCATTTCAACATCAAAATACAAACAGTATAGAGCCTGGTCAGACTGCACAGATGTCTGACTCTATAATGGTGGCAAAAGCTTAATAATTACATTTCCTTGCAGAACAGGGGTTTTAAAGATTCATTGTTAATACTGAAACCATAAATCATAAAGATAAAAATATTTACCATCTGGATTGTTAGCAGTTGTAAGTAGCACCAATAAACTCATGAAGGAATCTGTTAATGTTCTAAAATAATCTGACTCGGAATTACCCTGAAAATAAAGTAATACCATTTGAAAATTAATCATTAAATAAACAAGATAATATAATTAACTTAGGTATTTTTTACAAATATTCTTTCACTTATCTTGCTCCATTTTCAATCACTTTAAAGCAATAATTATATTGTACTTATTTGTGAAAGAAGAAACGCAATAACAGTTATAAAGACATCTAGAACAATTGCAGACACCAGGGTATGCTCACCAGTATTAAACAAACATGATATAACATACTTGCATTGATCAACTTTTTCTTAATCTCTATGTATTTTATACCAGTTTAGAAAGGAAAGAAATATTCTTCAAGGAACACTTCAAAGCAATGGTGCTGTAAAATACTAGTCCTCAATATGGCAAAAAATACAAAGCTATTTTACCTGTGTGCTGTTTGATGTACTATTGGCAAGGTCACCTTCAATGTCAAGGCCATCTACTATAGTAGAAGCAGCTGTTGATCCTTGCTTCGGGAATAACAGCATTCCAAATAATGTAAATATATAGAGATGTAATGCCATCAGTAACAGCACACTGGAATACAACAAAATAATGTAAATATAATTAGATGTAACTGGACATGTTAATATTTCAGGATCACAAAAAGGAGCAAAGTATATATCAATTTGAACATTGTAGTCTTAATGTGCAGGCTTTTTAATAAGTAAGGTTTGATGCATTTTTATTTACAATTAATTAAAAGGACTTTTAATAATTTTGAGTAGAGATTTATGAAACATATGATCTAAGGATTTGTATTCCTACAGTGCATTTAAATTTCACACACAGATACAACATGTATATACTAGTGGTGAATAACTCACTGTTGTATCATTTTATTTTCATATCACAGTTTATGAAAATATAATTGACTTTTTCATTGAAATTTTCACAAAATATGTTACTTATGAATCACACTTACCCTAATATTTGTGACAAAGTTTTGCTCAGTGACTTGAGAATTTTCTTCATAAGAGATGAGTTTTGTATTATAAATATTGGTCTCAGCATGCGTCTAACTCTTACAACCTGTAAACATCACATACATGTATATACTTGAACGGATGAAAGGGTATTCACTTAAAAATTATATTAATAATCAGATAACTTTAATATGAAATTTTGATAAAATTTAGGAAGATTGAGGAAGGACTTAGACTGTATTTTAATAAATTTTAGAAACAGACCGTATTTTGATAAAAAAAATTAGTGTGTAAATACAGAACAACTTCTTCCATGCTTAAGTAAAATGTTAAAATGTTGTCTTAACCATAAATGTATTTGTTTCACAAGTAAATAAGTATGAACACCAGTCAACATTTTCAAAACACCATTTAACACTTTCCATATTCCACATAACATTTTCCTTTAACATAGTACATGTATCAGCGTAAAAAAAACAAAAAACATTTCATTCTTTAAATGTAAGTGCAATATTATAACAAAAATTTTTCTGTTTCAATGATGAAAATTTTCATCACTTTTAATTGACAAGTTTCAATACTATCTGGTGAGATGAACAACAATTACCTCTTTACAGCCTATAGATAATGACACTGACCAATCAATCAGAGAAATAGCCAAAACAACTCCAGAAACAACCAACCATTTGTTGGTACGTAGATGATGAATTCCATAGATACGACCCTGAAAATATCAATCAAGTTGATCTAATAACAAAATTCCCTTCAAATCAAATTCCAAACAGAAATAAAAATGTAAATACAAAATTCACAAAAAATTATTCAAAAAGAAAAACATAGCAAGCTTTATTGCATCAATTGTATCATGAATAAAAGCCATGGTTAGATTAAAAACTCATTTGACCAAGTCTTGTCTTTTCTAAGTACTAGACTTATAATATATAGAATTTACTAGTATTTGACAAAAATTTAACTCCATATTGATGTTTATTATGAAATTTGACAAAATCAATTGAAGTACAAACATATTTCCTACTCAATATATAAGCTTACCTTCAAAGCAATATCTGCTATCAAAAGTAGTAGACAAAGTAATTCTAATGTCTCAGTTACTCCACATGGAAATTGTACTCTATCTTCTCGTGTACGTATATCTGATGTCCAACTCAGAGAGGAAGGAAACTCAAAAAATGCCAACATATGTAGGAAAAGAATCACAAAATTTCTAAACCTGAAATGAGAATTTTTTTTTAATTGAGACCACACTGATGTATTGATAAGATGCTTTAACATTTGAATTTTATCTGTCACAGTGCAGAACTATTCAATAATCAGAGGAGAAAGTATGACAAGATGGCTCAGTTGGATGAGCAGCAAATTCTAGCAATGCAGTATTCACAGGGTCCTGGGTTTGGGTCACACTCAGCCTTCACATTTTTCTCACCCTGTGACATACATTGTCAAATCTATAAAACTAAACAACTGATTTAAATGAGTCAAAGCAAAGTTCTAGTGTAAAATATGGACCACATCTTACGATGTATAATTGAATTATTTTAAAAGTAAATAAAGCAATAAAAGAAGCTAATTTAGATCAGTTTTTCAAATAAAAACTAAAGTAAAAAGTTGTCTCCATAACTGTTAATATAGAATTTCAACATACCAAGAGCATGGTTTTGAGTGGTAAAACTGGTATATCTTCAGTGATTTGAAGTCCACTTTATGATCTATAGAACGATACTGGAATATAAATAAACTTATTAGCATTTTAATTCTGAAAAAGAATAATACAAGAGGGCCATGATGGCCCTGAGTCGCTCGCCAGAAACAACTGCTTTTCAGTGTTGGAAATAATCCATTGTCAATATTTTCTTATATTAAATTTGAGCATAGAATATGTTTAACCTTTTACCACATGAGCATATTGTGAAAAATGGCCGTTTTCATTGAAAAGCCTCCTGTTACAAGTTCAAACTGCTCTGAAACTATGAAAAATGCTTAAATACTGATAAAAACTTGCCACAAATGTTGACTGAACGCTAATCTCTGTAACAGCATGTTCAATCTTAAATTTCATCTTACCATGGCAACTGGGGAACGTCTTAAAAATTGCGAAAAATCACTATTTTGCATTGTTTTTTTTCATCAAAACTGATTTCTAAGTGCTGCAACTTCTCAATGCATTGAGATAGAGTAAAAGGCTTTTCAGCGTTGGTTACACATTACCTTAAGATTGACCTGAGGCTATTTTTAGCCCGTCACATGTCCAAAATTTCTTAGCGATGATGGGGACTGTCAAACCCCCCAAACAAAAGGGGGCACATCCCCCTTATGGCAACTCCCAGATGTATTTTTTTGATGGGGGGGGGGGGGGCCGTGCCAAAAAAGTGATCACTTTTTTTAAACAACATTTCTCAAACGAAAAACAGTGTTTGAGGCCTAAATAGGGCATTTTTTTTACTGTCTGAGGCCTCAAAAGGGGTCAAAAAGCCGCCAAAACACGCTTGTATGAGGGAAAAGGTTAAGCAATAATTTGAAGAAATGCCATGACCTGGGGCATTTAAGCTTTAGCTTAAATGGGGCCAATCAAATTAATATGAGCAACGTTGATAAAAGACTACCTAAGAATGCTACAAAGTTTGGTGATCATCTATCAATTAAAAGGGGCTTTAGCGGCCCCTTAAAGGGGCCAATCAAATTAATATGAGCAAACTTCATAAAAGACTACCCAAGAATGCTACAGACAATGTTTGGTGATCATCTATCAATTAGTTCTGTAGTAGATGTTTAGTTTAACTATTTTTAGCTCTGTTGACCCCTAAAAGGGGCCAATTGAAATGACATGAGCAAATTCAAGTGTGACTGTCACAAGGATGCTACTGACCAAATTTGAAGTAAATCTGCCCAGCAGTTTCAGTGAAGAAGACGATTGTTGACGCATGACGACGGACACTGGAGCATCCCCCTTTAATACTAATAGCTCACCCTGAACCTTTAGTTCTGGTGAGCTAAAAATGCAGATTGATGAAGTAACAGTTGGAGGTTTTTTAAAAAAAACATCTCTTTACAATTTTTTCTTGATTATTAATGAAAAATTTACCTTTCTGAAATGTTACTATCTAATTCTGATATCAAAATTTTAATTTACTTGGAATGATGATGATAGTGAATATTGTATAGATTTAAAAAAGATTTCAGCTGAAGACTGAAGCATTGAAAGTGCTTAAGTATAAGAAACTATTGAAAATGATGGACTTTATTGTGCTTAGTATTGATAGTGATGGAATTTGTTATATTTTTTTTTTAACTTTTCTTTCTTTCTTAGTTGTTATTAGTTCTATAGTTTAACTTTAAATTAGTTATATAGTTCCTTGAAAAATATAACGCTTGTAGAAATGACTTTTCACTTACCATTGCAGCATCTTCAAGAAAAACTTGAGCTTGTAAAAGGCTCAAATTCTCTGAAACAAAAATGAGTTTTGGTGTGTATGATTTAAAATTCAATTTATAATATTTGAGCACCAATAACATACTGAAATAGGTACAAAATTTTCTTATTTCAACTACTATTGTGATTTGAACAGTGAACACCAAATACATGTACTAATTTAACTAGGGTTAATTTTCAAATTGACAAAACCTGACACTGTTTGAACATAGGAAAATTGGACAGTTATTTTTTTGTACTTGCAAATTACTTGTGTGAATTTAATGTCTCAGTGTAGGCTCGGACAAACATTTTTATAATCAAAGAAATTCACTTAGACATTAAATTCACATATCTGCTACAAAACTATTAATTGATGTACTTAATTAAACGAAGTTGAAATGATCCCTTTAATTTGAAATTTTTTGAACAATTTGCTATCTTGAATTTATCAAAAATGAACGATCAGCACTAGCTCAACTATACTTCTATTGTGAATTGAAAGTGGGAGGTACATTATAATATAAATACATAATTGAATATGCACATAGTGTCAAAGTAATGAAAATGAACATTATAATATACAGCGAACAAGGCAGTGAACTATTTGGCAATTTATTTTTAATGTTACACTGATGCATTTATATGTAAATTCTATGTAAAAATAGATCTATTTCATCACCTTACCATGATTTTATCTACAAAATGTATTTAATTTTATCACTCCCTTACGTACCACCCCTTACCATGATTTGAGTCTGTAGTTGTATTGACAGAACTTGTTGACTCTCTGTCTTCTCCCGCCTGAATAGATCCATACTGACTGACAGGTACTGGACAGTCATATGAGATACCAGTATTTTGCTCAGGGTTTGGAATAAGGAACTGCTTGTCCCCATTCCCAATGTCATAATCTGTTTCCGAGTTGCTGTCATACACTGAAACCAGGACTGAATTATCTGCATCAGTGCCTTTAAGCTTATTTTCTGCAGGATTCGCACTGTTCACTCCCAAATCATTCTGACCTTTTGGTTCAAAGGAGGGTATTGGAGATGTTTCAATTCCTGAATCCATTTTATCAAAACTTTTTCTTTTCTTTTTTTTCTCTTTACTTTTTCACACCTAGATCTGTGTCTTATACAGTATATTTCTCAACTTTTGAAATAATTGCACTTATTTAATCATAATTTTGTCTGTTTTACAGTTTACATCAGCAACATAAACACTTTTAACACTTCTATGACTTACAAATCTATTTATCAGTTTTTATTCTTTTTTCTATTTCTTGGCAGAGTGATGTCCCTTGTTGCATTTTGATTGTTATTTAACAAAATTTCTCTCAAAGAACGTAATTCTATGTATCTAAGCCTAATTAGCCTTTAGACTATTTTTATGTCGGCTTTTATAGCCAGACAAGTAAGCCATTCGAACTGACTGATTAAATTCACGTCTTCCAGTTTTAGATTTTGTCTCATAGATTTTTACATACTTAATGTAGTCGGAGTACTGTTCGATTAAATAAAAGTAATGTTATCATGAAAATCAAGCACTTTTTAAAATGGCGGCCCCCGGAGTGGCGGTGAATGCCGGTAATTTTAATTTTAAATATATAATAAAAGTAAATAATGAGCTATATTGTATTGCTTTTACTAAATGAAATAAAATGAAATCGTTATTTAGATATTCAGAACAATTTGAAGCACATGTTGGTGAAATTTTCTTTGTTTTTGCAATAGGCCTATTTGTTTTCAAAACGAAAGAAAAAATACGCTAAGATAAGATAAGATAAGATAAGATAAGATAAGTTTTATTTCAAGTCGGCAAGTTTTCAACAATACAACATAAGCTCTAGGAGCTTTTATAACCGACTGTAAATAACATAAAGTATAAGATCAACAAATATAAAACAGCTACAATAAAAAATGATTAGACATGTTAAATATACATCACATGCATAAAATAGACCTTTTAGGATATATTTATAAAAACGAATCATATGCTAAAAAACTAAAAAATGATAGTTTACCCAAATCTACATCACTAGCAAAGTCTAGTATCTAAAAATTTACTTAAAGTTCAATAATATACCGAGTAAACAATTAAAAATTTAATGAATTATTTAAATAAATAAATAAATAAAAATACTAAAAAAACATACATTTTTATATATAATTTAAATATGAAAGACTATGGATTATCCGACTACACAAAGACAGAACGTATTAAACATGTAAGTCATTAGTTGAACTCATTTAACAGCTAGCTTGAGTCATGCTGGAAAAGATAAGCAAAAAAAAACAACAAAACAAAAAGCAAAATCAAAACAAAAGATCACAAAATAAAGCAAAATCCTATCTAGAAACTAAATTAGAAACTAAATGATAATATTAACATAAGCAGGGAAGAATAGCAAAAACACATTTAAAGCAAGCAAGGAAAAAAAAAAAAAAAAAAAAAAAAAAAAAAAAAAAAAAAAAATAAATGTGACCCAAAAGAAAATGTTCATACCCAGAAAAATAAATAAAAAAGTGGAGTAAATCAAGATATAGAAGTTAGCTGCAAGCAATACATTTACACTGTTTACCATTCCAGGATGAAATTAACTTTTTAAACTGAGCAAAATTTGAACATTTTCTAAAATTTTCGGGAAGAGTATTCCATAAAGCAGGTGCAGCATACCTGAAAGATTTTTTACCTGTAGTTGTAGTTCTTACTTGCGGGATCTGCAAAATATTTGAATATTTAAAATTAATACCAGTAGTTTTCTTGACAATAAGGTCAGACAGAACAGCAGGAGACATATCATGAAAAATTTTAAAAGTTTCAATGGCCATAGCCCTCATTCTTCTTATTTTTAGAGTTGGTATATTAACTTTTATCAGCATATCTTCATAACTTGAATTAAAATCATTATAGACAAATCTGAGTGCTCTTTCCTGTAGTTTTTCCATCTTGTTTGTATTATTTTCTGAACAGAAATGCCATGCCATAGGACAAAAATTAAAATTGGACAAAATAAAAGTATGAAAGATTGTTAGCCTATTTGTTTGATTTAAATTGTGACCTATTCTTTTGAGGATGTTTAACTGATTAGCAGCTTTTTTACATATATTGCTTATGTGAAAATTAAAATTTAATTGTTGATCAATGTCGATGCCAAGGAGTTTTACAATTTCGTCACATGTTATTTCACTAGTATTAATTTTGAAAGCTGGGGATTTAGTGAAAGTTTTCTTCCCTACAGCAATAGCTTGAAATTTATCAGGGTTAGCTTGCATTTTATTAAAATGAAACCAATTTATAAGATAGTTACTTTCTTGTTCTAAGGTACATATAAGTTCATCAAAATATTTAGTCCGAAAAGAAAGGGTATTGTCATCTGCATAGTTATATAAAGTACATTTTTTTATAAAGAAAAATATGTCATTTATGAAAATATTGAACAGTAGAGGGCCCAGGATTGATCCTTGAGGGACACCTTTGGATATATTAGCCCATGAACTTACAATATTGCCTATTTTTATTTGCTGTTTCCTGTTTGACAGATAAGATTGCATGAGGTTGGTGGCAGGGCCTGATAAGCCATATGCTTTTAGCTTATCTAAAAGAATGTCATGTGGCAGACAATCAAATGCCTTAGATAAGTCCATCAAAATTGCTGCCACATATTCATTGTTATCCAGGGCCTGTCTCCAGTCCTCAAGCAGTCTTAACAGAGTAGTTTGACACCCATGGCCTTTCCTAAAAGCACATAAATAATTGTCAAATATATCATCAAAAAAAGCAGAGAGCTGATCAAATAATACCTTTTCAAAAAGTTTAGATGGAATAGGTAATAAACTTACTGGTCTATAGTTAGATTTGGTCATAGCGTCATTTTTTTTAAAAAGCCAAAATCAAAAAGAATTCACGAATTCGAAAACCTAGCTAAACGCCGTTTTCCGGTACTTTCTGTACATAGCTCTGGGGAATTCACCCAATGGAGTGTAATAGCGAACTCGATGTTTTCGGCCTTTTTTAAAATCAAATTGAAATAAAGTAATTATTTCTTTATAAGAAAATAATAAGATATCATTGTATGAATAATTCCATACAAAAAATAAAGTAAATACACAAGTTAACGCACAAAATAACCTTATTTATTATGGAAGATTCCACTACGTCTGTTTGAATTTTATTGATTTTCATTATAAACAATTTATTTTTTTGAATAATTTGGAATAGATATTAAAGGAATATTGATAATTTTCAAAAACATCATTTTTTTCACCTTAAACAGTTAAATAATGATAGAAAAATCGAAATATCACGTAACTGTGTTATGTACTTCATTTGATGTAATTCCCCAGAGCTAAAACGGTAACGTACCGGAAAACGGTGTTTAGCTAGGTTTTCGAAAAGGTCAATCAGTAAAATTAATAATAATATGAAAAAGGCAAAGCTTCAAAGCGAGCTCAATTTTCTTTTACCGTAAGATAGTTAAAAATAATCATTTTTGTTTTACATTTTCCGTTTTAAATTGCCATTCGGTATTTTATACACTGCTTCCGTTTATTCTGGTTCCCTCTTTCTATCATGGTTCATATATAAGTGCGCAGGACACCAGTCTACGCTTCCGTTTTCAATCAGAGTACATCGGCTTTTATCGTTATCTTGTAATTCAAAAAGTTGTGATGTGTCCAATTCGGTACTTCGGACTAAAGTTTTCAAAACCATCACGTACCAGGTCCTTGCATTACCGAAAAGCTCACTTTGCGAGCCGGCCCTTTCGGGCCAGCGCATCGAGCTTGCTATGAAAAAGGCGGCAATCTACTGGATTAGACCCCTATGTGTTTTTCAGTAGTAAAACTTGTATATAATACACTAAAGAAAACGGAATGAACCTAATATATACTCCTGGTTGAGACTCCGGGGTCTAATCCAGGATGTAAAGCCTCAAAGCGAGCTGGATTTACTTTTACCATGAAATGGTATAAAATTATTGTTCATTTTTATTTTACATTTTCCGTTTTAAAATCGTCATTCGGTATTTTATACACTTCCGTTTATTCTGGTTCCCTGTCCTCTTATGCTTCCCATACAAGTGCGCAGGACACCAGTCTACGCTTCCGTTTTCAATCAGAATACCTCGGCTTTTATCGTTATCTTGTAATTCGAAAAGTTGTGATCTGTCAATTTAGCGCCTCGGACGTAAGTTTTCAAAACCATCACTATATAGCAGGTATTGGCGTTACCGTAAAGCACGCTTTGCGAGCAGGCCCTTTGAGCCAGCTCTTCGAGCTCGCTATGAAAAAGGCAAAGCCTCAAAGTGAGGTCAATTTACTTTTACCTTGAAATAGAATAAAATAATCGTTCATTTTTATTTTACATTTTCCATTTTAAAATTGTCATTCGGTATATTATACACTGCTTCCATTTATTCTGGTTCACTGTCTTATGATGGTTCCCATATAAGTGCACAGGACACCAGTCTACGCTTCCGTTTTCAATCAGAATACTTTGGCTTTTATCGTTATCTTGTAATTGAAAAGTTGCAATGTGTCAATTCAGTACTTTGGACGAGAGTTTTTAAAACCATCACTTTTAGCAGGTACTCGCGTTATTGAAAGCTCGCTAATAAAATAATTGAGAAATGAAGAAATTATACAGTAGTATTGAAAATGTTGTATGGCTCACTCAGTTTGTTCACAGACAACAGTGTCAAATAAAATTAAAAGAAAGTGAATCCGGGTCAAATCAGTCCTAAAATCAGTCCTAAAACTAACTTGGCTTATGAGTCATCTCAGCCCTTTACCAACTCAGCATGTGTCAACAGTGATTTTTTTTTTAATTTATAAAACTGGCTTTCTGAAGGGGAAAATATAGCACAATAAATCAGTAAAGGGAAAATTAAATTCTAACAACTGAGAATTTCTATTCAATTTAACATGCATGGTACAAAGCAGAGGTTATCTATAGATGATATAAGTCAGATGTAGGGTTGGATATCGTTCTTCACGAAACGGTCCGATACCGATACCGGTACTGACGAAACGATACGGGTATTTTATCGATACTGATACTGATACTTTTACAATACCAAACCCTTTGCTGCAAGTATAAGAACTGAAGAGATAATTATAACATGTAGTAATAGAAAATAAATATGTTGCATTACTGGTCTTTCGGAAATTTCATGCTGTAAAGTATACTTTTCTTTTGTTTTTTGTGTTTACTCTTTTTTACAACATTTACATATGTTAATTGTAAAGTACTTTTACTTTTTCATCAAAAGAGCATGACATAATTTAAACACAGCAAAATATCTTATGCAGGACAGCAGTCTGCAGCTGAAGTCTACAAATTATTGTTTTAATCTCGATATCTATACATCTGAAAGAATTTAAGACAGTTGGTTATCTATTATTTTCTTACAGCTATTATTATTACTGTGCAGCAATGTTATTCTGATGCTGATATTCTTTTTTAAATCACATTATTGTTTACTATAATAAATGAAATCACTGGATTGGTTGGCTTACTTTGCAATTTGGAATTACATGTAAGAAATTTCATTAGATGTTTTTTTCAGTCACTAAAATATGTTTCCAGTCTGTTCTACTGCAACAGCACAAACATATTTTCCACCAACAATTAACTTAGAAATTTTGAAATACATGTATATGCACAGTCAGCACAGACTGTTTCCAAAATGACTTGTTTACATTTTCTTGTTAACCTAATATTAGTCCTTGTAGAAGTCATAAAGCATATACCTATGCTTTACAAATAATAAGGATTTGGTGTTTATTAATATTGAATTTACCTTTCAATTTTATACATCTTTTATTTATCAATAGCATGCACCGTGAACATCTTGCTACAGAAAGAAAGGGTATTGTCCTTACCAAATTGCATAATTCCATACTGCTCAAATACGCAAAAATACTAGCCAACATTTGCAAAAAAATCCTACAAAACACTATATGAAATATGTTTCAGTTGTTTAAAGTATCACAGATCTAAATGTGTAATACACAGAAGTTGACCTGTGACAGGTGCATAATAGGCTATTCAAAAGAATATGCCTCCCTTTGATGTTGTTACTCTATCACCATCAAAGAGCCGCCGACATTCACACTTTTTGATTGAAGTTCTGTCAGCATTCTTTTGTTAAGAAAATGTGTACATGTTTAATAATAGTTCAGTGTTACACCAAAAACAAAAGGAGGCATATTTTGATGGAATATTTCGGCCTCATTTATGTTCAAATCGTAATTCACGTGTGGATTTGTACATGTGGTAATGGATGAAAAGAACCTGGAAACATTAAATATGTATTCATTATGAGTGTTTAGAGACTTAAACTAAAAAAAGGATATAATTATTTTCTAAAAAGCATTGTTTGAATAAACAATTGTCATATGTTGGATTTACATTGTCATTACGGCAAAAGCTGTGGAAGGACTGTGTGCGATGTGTCGATGATTACTCAAGTATTTGATTTGTTTTCTTGTTGTTTCTTTGACATTTAAAACTTACAACTTTTCAGCAAAATCAGTTCAAATAATTATATTTTCCTGCCGAGTACAAAAATATTATTATCTTGAACATAAGCGGCACAATACTTTTACAAAAATATCGCCGCGTCAAAAACTTCAACTTTGCCGCGAAAGCCGTACTCGTCGCATGATAATAGTACACGTAATTCATAGTTTGTTTTACGTGTTTGTAGGCTGTTTTTATTTAAAAATCTTCTTATTTTTTTGACATATTGACTATTAAATTATTTTTTTTTACAAAATTACAAAAGTATCAAATCCAGTACCGGTATTTTACGAAACGGTATATACCGGTAATTTACGAAGTTACTATTCGGTATAGGACCGATACCGGGAACCGGTGTCCAACCCTAGTCAGATGCTGTTAAGTGAAGAATGTGCACAGAGCATTTTAAAGGGAATATGTACCTATTTTAGGGAAAACAGCCTTTATTCGGCTGTAAAATACAGTAAAAAAAATCACTGGTCAACCCGGCCCATAACGATATATTGTTGGTATTAAATGGTTACTTTTTTTTAATAACAGGCTGATTAAAATGCCCTATTGGTCTCTTATCACATAAAAATCATATTTCTGGAAAATGATTAATATAATGTATGTTTTTTTCTAACTTGTTTTGTTTATTAAGCATTATATATGATACAAATCAAAATAAAAATATTTTGGTTACCTTTTATTTTCTTAGAATTATTTCCCTTTTCCCCTTTTCAGGAAACAGAATATTTGAAGTTCATAAAAATGATGCTGTAATGTAAAATTCTTAACAGAAATGTGTCTAACAACTTCATTTTGCTCAAGATTAATATGGAATTAGGCAAAGCCTATGAAGGGTTAAGTCCTTAAAAAAATTCCTTTCATTTTTCCGTTGTAAAGGTGTCATTAGATATTTCATTTTCACTCTGAACATTCAACGATTATTATTTATCTGAAAAGTTGAGATTTGTTCCGTTATCGTTTTTAAATTACCCATCTTTTATCATTGAGTTACATTTTAAATGGCGGCGCCAAACTAAAACTAACACTGAATATTTCATTGTTTGGTATAGAATTCTATATATTTTTTAATTGTTTTTATTTGATTTTCTTTTAAATATACATGTGTAGTCTATAGCCGGGCAAACCAAAGCCCAGGCCCGCATATGCTATTACCTTTATTCTATACTGGTTGGTGACCATCAACTGGACATTTTTCCACACAGATTACATAATTTTAAAGCTAAAAAAGCTAAATGCAATAATTTTAGACTATGACTTATTTATTAATTATGCTTTTTAGTTAATCTAAAAGTACCAATTTGGATTTTTACATTTTTACCCCCAATGTTTGTGGCAGAAAAAAAGTATTATGCCTTATCATATAGTTATGTCACAGATAGGTTTTATTTTGAAATTAAATTGCAATTTGCAAGAAACATCTGAATTTATTTTTGTTGATATATTTTTAGCTGCAAGAGTATGGAGTCCTTACAAAGATTTTCAAAATGTAGTGGAAGCAGCAATCCACAAGAGGCAGACAGATGCTATACATGACCTGGAGGTCATGTTGAAAAGACATAAAAATGACTTTTTAACTTTGCTGAAAAATATTGTAAGTAAGAGTAGAAAAATGGTAGCATTTGAAGATTTGATCCTGCCTTCTATCAAAGTTTCAGTGTGTGCTATTACTGTTTTGAGTTGAAACTGATAAGTGAATACACATTTAATGGTTACACAATATTATGTTGGAAATGTTTAATTTGTATAATTTTGAACTTTAATAAAAATGTATTAAACTTACCAGTAACATATTGACTTAAGGTATTAGCACCCTAATGCATTACCTCTGCTTTGAAGAGTATTCAAATAGGCTAGAACTACTGTTAATAACTACATTGAAAATGAGGGCCATGGGTTCAATCCCCAGAAGGGTCAACTTTTTTTTTCTTTCTTTTTTTCTTTTAACATTATTTATGTATCTCTCATGTCCCATTTGGAAAGAAAAAAGTGTTTAATTTTGATTTTTTAATTTATATAGGTATTTATTGGCTAAATTATGCTAAATCTAGTAATAAATATGGTACCTGATATTTTCAAAGTGTAATATAATCAAAACTAGACGGTAAAAGTATTTCATATTTTACAAGATCAACCAATATACTTTTTTAAAAATTTAGGGAAACTTTGAAAACAGGCACTAATTGGGGTAAATTTTAAGAAATTTTTTAATTAGGCTCCCTAAGTAGAAAAATGGTCAGACACATGGTAAAAATGGGTGGGGTAGGGTAACATTTTTATACAGATTTCATAAATTTTAAGTAGAAACCATAATTTTGCTTATTTGGATTGTTAGCTGAATGGTACTATTTGTTTCTTACCAAAAATTAATGGGAAAACATTTTTCATTAAAATGTTATTGCAGATTATTTAAAGGTTCCTACTTTCTAAAAAAGGGCCCTCATAACATCCTAGCTTGAGTTCAGAAAAGTGGCCATAACTTGATTTCCGTACGGTAAACTTTGTTTAAATTTTGCATACAGGTGTACTTTAAGGTATACATCTGACTTATGATGTCAATTTTTTAGTTCCTGATAGTGCCCATTAGGGTCCTAATACCTTAATCTTCTTTGAAATCGATGTCTATTTGAAAGTTTGAAACACATTTGCAAACTTACTATTTTATTTCAATAATAAAGGATTACTTGAAATAGATGGACATTTTCTAGCTGTGATATAAAGCATAAATGAGCCATGTCATGACAAAACCGACGTAATGCGTTTGCGACCAGCATAGATCCAGACCAGCCTGCGCATCCGCGCAATCTGATCAGGATCCATGCTGTTCGCTATCAGTTTCTCTACTTGTAATAGAGTTTGTAAGCGAACAGCATGGATCCTGATCAGACTGTGCGGAGGCGCAGGCTGGTCTGGATCCATGCTGGTCGCAAACCAATTATGTTGGTTTTGTCATGACACGGCTCAAATTTTCCTGACTTTCAGCCTAAGAATGCCACACATCGTGAAGCAGTAAAGAAGTCAAACACAGTTGGTTTACCAATCCATGGAGAGCAGAGAACACAGACTTTCCCAGACTCCTTTATTGAAGAGGCTATTATTATCAGTGATTTGTTTGATCTGAATGAGTTTGCTGCACTAGAACTGTTGATTGCTGGTAACACTATACTTTTGTACAGTGAAATTTGAGAAAACCGGACGCTGAGAAAATCGGAAATCTCTAAATACCGGACGAATAATTCAGTCCCAAATTTTCCCTTCTTTAAACTATTGTATTAAACATTGACAATACCGGAATCTGTAAAAACCGAATATCGGACTGTTGATAGGGGACAACAAAGTCAAATATATAGATAATTACCCTAACATAACCGGACAACGAAGGTGTGAATAACCTTGTGTACTTATCAATTGGTTGTGCCTAATACGCTAACTGAGCGGGAACGGAACAATGATTATCTGATTTGTTTATTATGTCTCTTTTCACAGTTTGTTTAATTGTAAGGTATAGATGTTACCGTTTTATATGAATGCCAAAATGCACGAGGTATTGATCAGTTTAAATCAGTATGAATAAAAAATAGAGTATTTTTATACTGCATTGCTTTTTGTATATATATTTCCAAAAATGACAACGCAACGGTAACGACATTTATCGGCGCTAAGTTCTATTCAAGGCCGAAAAGAATTCGTCGAGAGGTGTCTATAAGTAACAAAGTTAAATTAATTAAAGACAGTGAAACTTTGCCGATACCTACTTTAAAATTATTTATCTGACAAATATGGTATCGACAATATTTACAATTGCGGCAGTATTATAAACAAACAAAGTAAACTATGCTGTAAACATATGGGGATGTAATCGGACTATATCGCTACGAGATAACTGCTGTTTGTTTAAATCTAAAATTTTATTGTATTTATATGCAATAATGGGACAAAAGCAATTAAAACATATTTTATTGTATTTTTATCATTTCCTTATTTAGTAACATACGTACACATGATCATGAAAATGCAAATATACAGCACCCTTTCTAAGTCATTGATCGGTATATAGGATTCCATGAACAGCTGAAGGGGACATTGAGAATACCGGAACGCTGAGAAAACTGGACTAAACCCTCGGTCCGAAAGCCGTCCAGTTTTCTCAACTTTCACTGTATATGTTCAATGTTATAATTTTGGTTAAAATTAATAGATCAAATGTTTATACTTTATTTTATGACGGTTGAACTGGAAATTGTCAAGAATTTGAAGAAGTCTTTGCTCCAGATAAATTTCAAGTTCATTTAATGATAACAAATGCTCCTTAAAAATCTTTGATAATGTTCAGCCAAGTAGTCTCATAACAACACAGAGATGTTTTATAATGTTTCAAGTTTGTAAACTTCTGCAGGATTTGTATATAAACATGAAGCTTTAAATAATTTGAACTGCAGGATGGTTTAGGAGGATGACATGGCATATTTGTTTGATATTTAATTGTTGTAATGATGCCTTTAGGTGAAGACAATCGGCCAGATTTTCCGGGTTTGACCCGGGGACTTGTAGCTGTGTTGCTGTATTATGATGGCCGTAGAAGTTTGGTCAATGCATTACGGACACTGCTTTTGGCATTGTCAGGAAGGACATGGACCCTTGGTCTATCACCAGATCTCACATACCTTACCAATACTTATGTACAGAAGTTGGTAGAGGAGAATCTTACAAACAAAATTCTTGGTAACTATATGAATACATATTTCTTATTACAATAAACTATGTTACCTAAGAAAAAGTAAAGCTTATTATTTCATAAGCCCTTAAAGAGTATAAGCTGAAAACTACCTCACCACCAAATCTAAATGGGGGGGGGGGGGGGGGGAATTCTCAAAAATATGGGTGAATCCCCCCATCCCCCTTCCTAGAATAGACACTGATATTTTTAAACACATAAACTGTAAAATTGTATTGTTCCAATGATATTATGAAAGATTTGAAATAGTTGTTACATACAGTGACACACATGAATATTGTATGTAAACAGAATGACATGTCCCTGATCATAATATAATGCTGCTGTTTTAAATCTAGGGTTTTAACGCTTAAAGGGACTCCACTGAGGTTAGCACAAAAGCCTAAAAATAACATTTTAATTTCTTACATAAATGAGCTGGGGCACTATATGCAAAGATAGTTAAGAAATATACTTTGAAATAAGTTAAAAGTCATATACATGTATTTATGCTTTTCTTAGCCCGATTTGAGTGAAAAGCGTTTAAAGCTTTTCATTTTAGGTCATTTTTTACAATTTGAATAATTATTATTGAAAAACAAAGTGCACTGATGATCTGAAATTTTGCACAAAGATTAGTGGTCTAAACCTTCATCAAATGGTACATTGATCTGGAAAAATAATTTCAGTCCCATCATGTCAAAAAACCTCAGTGGAGTCCCTTTAAGCAACAATTTCATGCATGTGACATTCACTTTAAAGGAAATCCGAAATATACAAACATATCATTCATACAAATAAGAAGTATTCTTTGTTCAAAATTCAAAATGTTGTGTTATTTTTGCAGTAGACATATACATTTAGCTTTATACACTTTAAAGGAAAGGCTTTATATTGGTTACCATCAGACTTGTGAAAACAGATGTAATGAAACAGTATAATGAGTTGTTTTCTTAATGGATCATTCTGCTGACTTGATGCATTTGATTAGAATAGACCTGTTCATTTATATAACTTATTAATAATTACTCTGTTAATTTTTAGATGTGTTGAAAGGTATGAATGTGACAGCAGAACTTGATAAACTACAGAATAACAGAGCACTAGGACCTCCAAAACATAAAAAACAGGTACTCTAAATATTAGCGTATTATTACAGTTGTACATGTATTAGTAATAGTTCACCTTTATCTTTTATGTAATAGAGCATCATGAAGGAAAACTTTGATATATGTGTTATGATTTGTCATGTTTTTGTGTTTACTAATTCTAAATATTAATAATTGTTTGACATGAATTGACAAATATGTTGCTTGGGAACCAAATGTTTTTAAAGTTTTGATGATTTAAATTAATATCTTAAAATGGTCATCCATGATAAAAAGTATTCACATACCTTGTATCATGAGGACTTTACCAACATGAGTTTAAATTCTTTCTTTGATCATTAAAGACCCGTTGTTTACACATGTGCCCAAATGTGCCTTGTCGATTAATGACTGGAGTTGCAGTTAGGACCTGTCTTTTATCTGTCTGGATATTTACAATAACACTTTAAGTGTTTTTGCAACTTAAAAACCATATCTCTTTAATATCATTCTACCATTCTCTTTTACCTTGTTTTTGTTTAATATTTGAGCCGCGTCATGACAAAACCAACAGAATGGGTTTGCGACCAGCATGGATCCAGACCAGCCTGCGCAGTCTGATCAGGATCCATGCTGTTCGCTTACAAACCCTATAACAAGTAGAGAAACTGATAGCAAACAGCATGGATCCTGATCAGACTGAGCGGATGGGCAGGCTGGTCTGGATCCATGCTGGTCGCAAACCCATTATGTTGGTTTTGTCATGGCACGGCTCATTTATATTGTGTTACATATATTCACACAGATACAGGATATGTATGAAGAGATTCAGGTGACATGTGCTGATTGTTTGTTCTGCCTGTCGTGTCAGAAACCTCTCAGTAAGGATGACACAATACAGCTTATCTCCTATCTGAAGAACGATAACTCCCTGCAGGCCAACGGTTCCCTGTCATCAGTTACGTTAAGTCTACTAATGGCTTTACTCTATTGTTTTGATGTCTCTGTACTAGAGAGAGAGGACGCTGAAGGTTTGTAGGTCTCTTTTAGTAAATCATATACAGCATAACTTTTCGTCAAAAGAAAATTGTGAAATATTCTCATATTCAGTAGTTAAAAACAAGTATGTTACACTGCAAAATTTGTGAATATTTGGAAACATGCTGTTGGCATAAATTTCTTAGGGATACAGGTCTAACTAGCAAAGGTTTTAAGTTATACTGTTAGATAAAATATTTGTAATGATATGTCTTATCTAATTAACTGTTTGTAGAGAAGAAGGGCATAACCCATCATCTGTGTATTTTGACATTGAATGATGGGAGAATGATGTAAAACGTTTATAAATTAATATGTTTCTCTTGCAGAAATCACAGGTTCTATGCCTGTATTTAGTGATCCTAGCTATATTAGTGATGTACACAAGGAGCTGAGAGATGGTGGGGACTGGAAGATACCAGGTCTGAAAGCTATTGTCCAGTTTGCATGGGGTGTCATGCTAAGACAATTATCTCAATATCCACTAGCAGCTGGTGAGTATTTTCCATGCTAGTAGATTAGTATGCGTATTGCCTTTGATACCCTTGAAAATAGAAATGGCTACTATGTTTGCTCACATATTAGACAGATTGCTAATAATTCTTAAATAAGACTCTCTAGGTGTATAGTATAATCCTTGAAATTGAAGGCTGAAAACTAGTCCTATATATTGGCAGATATTTATACATGTTGATAGACTAAACTGATTACTGTCATCCTCACAAACATGCATTAGTTATTCTTAAATAAGTTATACATTTCCAAAAATTAAATGCCTTATGAATAATTATGATACTTCTTAATGTCATTATGAATATGTGTTAGTAAGGACTATATTAAGCATATGATATAAGGGCATATTACAAGCACTTTGGCATTGAATCATAATTGAGCCGCGCCATGACAAAATCAACATAGTGGGTGTGCGACCAGCATGGATCCTTAAAGACTGCGCGGATGCGCAGGCTAGTCTGGGTCCATGCTGGTCGCAAGCGCACTATGTTGGTTTTCTCATGGCGCGGCTCGTATTTTCATAAGATACGAGATATAAGATTTTACTGTAATATATCAGGTGCAGGAGAGTATTATGAAGAAGATGAGAATTTTATGGATCAAGCCATTGACGGTCAGGTGTTCAGCTTTCTACATAAATCAGTTGTTTCAGTAGAGAAACTTCATAAAGAGGTCAGTATTGTATCTGTATATATGTGATATTATACGAGTTTAGGTTCAATACTGATTTAATTGAAAGAATTGAATAAAGTGATATTATGAGAGCCTCTTGCAAGCATAATATTATTTCATCAACAAGTTCAACAAATGTAGTAATAGACCTACAATCTACAGTCAATGAATTTAAGATTTTGAATTTACAAGCCCAAATTCCAGATTTGAAATTATTCTACTATATATTTAACTTAATTTTCTTAAAATTTTCACTGGCTCGAACTAATTTTCACTGGCCATGGGCCACCGGGCAAGTGCTAAATTCGATAACTGAATCTATTTAGCACATAACCAAAACAAGATATGCAGCCAATTAGTCATGTGATCAGGTTATTATGCAGGACTTCTGACCCAGTGAACAAACAATTAATAAGGGTTATCAGTTATCTAGTATCTACTGGTCATGACTAGTCACAAGGTAATAATAATTGTGACCCCATAGGTTGTGTGAAGCAATTAAAGTTATTACAAATCTTACCAAATAATATATGCATAAATTTTATGAATCATGTAGGCCTCATTAATGACAGCCAAGTTGTTATATTACATAAGACATTCAAATGTGAATACCAAAAGCATTTTTAGTTTAATATAAAAATATCAACCAAGGCAACTTGAGTTATTGAGTTATTGGTCAGGAACCGTCATTAAGTACAAGGTCAATATGACATTGACCCCTTGACCCCAAAATCAATAGGGGTCATCTACTGGTCATGACCAATCATCATACCAAGTTTGAAGTTCCTAGGCCTAAGCATTCTTTAGTTATTGATCAGAAACCATTTTTACCTACAAGGTCAATGTGACCTTGACCTTAGACCCCTTGACCCCAAAATCAATAGGGGTCATCTGCTGGCCATGACCAATCATCATACCAAGTTTGAAGTTTCTAGGCCTAAGCGTTCTTTAGTTATTGATTGGAAACCGTTTTTACCTACAAGGTCAATGTGACCTAGACTTTGACACCTTGACCCATAAATCAATAGGAGTCATCTGCTGGTCATGACCAATCATCACACCAAGTTTGAAGTTTCTAGGCCTAAGCGTTCTTTAGTTATTGATCGGAAACCGTTTTTACCTACAAGGTCAATGTGACCTTTGACCCCTTGACCCCAAAATCAATAGGGGTCATTTGCTGGTCATGACCAATCACAATGCCAAGTTTGAAGTTCCTAGGCCGAAGCTTTCTTTAGTTATTGATCAGAAACCGTTTTTACTTACAAGGTCAATGTGACCTTGACCTTTGACCCCTTGATCCCAAAATCAATAGGGGTCATCTGCTGGTCATGACCAAACACCATACCAAGTTTGAAGTTCCTAGGCCTAAGGGTTCTTTAGTTATTGATCGGAAACCGTTTTTACCTACAAGGTCAATGTGACCTTGACCTTTGACCGCAAAATCAATAGGGGTCATCTGCTGGTTATGACCAATCACCATATCAAGTTTGAAGTTCCCAGGCCTAAGGGTTCTTTAGTTATTGATCGGAAACCGTTTTTACCTAAGAGGTCAATGTGACCTTGACCCTTGACCCCTTGACCCCAAAATCAATAGGGGTCATCTACTGATCATGACCAATCACCATGCCAAGTTTGAAGTTCCTAGGCCTAAGGGTTCTTTAGTTATTGATCGGAAACCGTTTTTACCTAAGAGGTCAATGTGACCTTGACCTTTGACCCCTTGACCCCAAAATCAATAGGGGTCATCTACTGATCATGACCAATCACCATACCGAGTTTGAAGTTCCTAGGCCTAAGGGTTCTTTAGTTATTGATCGGAACCGTTTTTGCTTCCATGGTCAATGTGGCCTTGACCTTTGACCCATTGACCCCAAAATCAATAGGGGTCATCTACTGGTCATGACCAATCACCATACCAAGTTTGAAGTTCCTAGGCCTAACGGTTCTTTAGTTATCACTCGGAAACCATTTGGTCGACGGACCGACAGACCGACAAGTGCAAAGCAATATATCCCCTCTTCTTCGAAGTGGGGGCATAATAAGAACTGTAAAAAAATCTTTTATGAATTGACATGCCTACAATGAAACATTAAAATCAAGTGCACATTTATGCTGTTTGTATAACGCAGATGATGTCCATCAAATTATTATCACACCAGTGTAATATCGTTTTTTATTGAATGGCTTATTGTCACTCCTGGGCCATGGTTTATGTGATAAATTATTTTTGAAGTCGGATCTGTAAAATTTCTTTCACCTTTTTATCATAACCATTTTTTTTTTAGACTGAACAGCTGTTCTTGTTGTTTTACTCTGTCTGCCACAAATCGTTTAGATTCATATGAAGTACTTTATTTCATATATTCATGTTTGTTATTTAATGTTTTCAGGAGTTCTATGTAAGGCGACTTCATGGATTATTGACAGACTTCATTTATTACATGCCCTTAAAGGTAATTATCATGTGTTAAAATCTTTCACATTCAGAAAACAACTTCATTGAAAGATATGTTTATCTTTTGGCCAGGATCTTTTGTTCTTGCCCATATTTCTTTTGTCTGCATGCCTTGACAATACTGAAATATGCTTTCAGAGAAGTTAATGATGTAAAAACTAATTTTATGCCCCCACCTGTTGAGTAGGGATGCATATAAATTTGTTTATCCATCACACTGTCACTGTATCCTGCTGTCCATCTGTAGACTGACAGAAGTGGAAAGTGGGGGTATCTGTGTCCATAGTCCTTATATTATAAAATTATTTCTGATTTTGATATTGAATTATTAGTAGATATCTGATAGAAATAACATGAAAGTTTTTTTTAACTGTAAGTGTTATTCTTCTATATTTGTGTTGTTACCTTGCTTTATTTGTGAAGCAGACTTGTGAGACTGTGAATTTAGAGTTTTCCAGATCATTACAAGGGATTTCCCAACATATATACTAGAAGTTTTCAACCATCATTTATCAATATACAGTCGAGACTGTCATATGTGACTTTTCAAGGGAACTTCAGAAAAAGGTCACATATGACAGGGAGTCTCTAAATACAGTCTCAAAGACTTAACATACATAACTGTGTGAAGGAACAATATCTAACCAATTGCAAATAAACATAGGTATTCTTACAAAAATTATGTAAATAAAATAAGAATCCATGTAAAACAAATATATATTTGCATGTATATCATATAAATTTTAATTTTATTTTTTTGTATTAAGATTTACAGTAAATTGAATTTTTAAGGTATAAAATAAACTGGAATTTGATGCATTCAAATCATTGAAATAAATATCATACTTGTAAAAGTTAAACATATCCATATCCAAAGCTTTTTCTGGTTTGGTATCAATATTTTTTCCGTATTAATTATGCAGCCATAGAAAGGTAAATTAAAAAAAATGCTGCCTAAAAAAATCTTCCGTTGGCACTCTTTAATTAAAAAAAAAAAAATCTGACACAAGTCTTAATCCAGTTTACTCAGGTTACTATGTACATTACACACACATCGATTGCATCATGCTTATTTGGCAGTAGGGAACAGATGCTACATCACTCGATACCTGTATACATATTAACTGTGTAACTGAGACAGAGGTGTGTAGACTTTGTTTGCTACTGGATTATAATTGGACTTAATTATTTTGGCCCTCTGGGTGTTAAAATAGGTATCATTTATCTGATTGACGGACAATTAAAAGGTGTCAAAGTCGTTTAAATCAGACCAAACTTTGCATTGGGACCAGACAATTAGGGTCGCTTGTCACATATGACAGGGAGTCGTTTAATTCAGACCATTTATATAGGAAAATACGTTGGGATTACTGAAACAAGGTCGGATAGGACAGGGAGGTGTTTAAATCAGGGGGTCGCTAAGGCAGTCTCGACTGTACAGTTAAATCGGAGTGCATTGATATTCAAGCTACTAGCACTAGCCTGTCATCTACACCTTCTGATGTAAATTTAATATAGTAAGATTAATCTTCATTTCAGGTAAAAGAAATTCGTAACCGTGGTGACGAGGCAGCAAGAATTATAATGGCACATCTACAGGAAGGTCAAGACCCCCCTGCTAACTTGAGGAGAGATTTTGAACATCTTTTACTATTGGTATACATTATTATTACCTTAAAACTTGACAACGTAAGATTTGTTCATTATTTTGTAATACATAAATATGTTTGATCCATACAGTAATATTTTATGATACATTTTAGCTAATAATTTACCTTGACTATTCAACAAAAGTATGTATAATGTTAATTTGTATATTCAGCTGCAGTGATTTTTTTTTGAGTTTCACACACGTCTTGTAAAAACTTTTAGCAATATATTGTACTAAATGAAACCAATTTTAACCATTATATATATTTCAGATTAGTAAGTTATATGAGAAGGACCCACTTGACCTTGACCTATCACTGGATTACTGGTGTCCTGAACCTACAAGTCAACAAGACTCATTCCATCATAGACCTCCACAAAGACAGGTATAACATGATTGTATTATTTGTGTTTGCTTACCTTTCTTTCTTTTCACTGATCCTTTTTAATTACAATTTTTGTCTTATGGTGATTTCACCCCATCTAAATTTTCGTAAATCGACTTGTTTAGCTTCTATAAGTTGAACTGTTCATTACCAATTTTGGGGATCTAAACTTGAAAATGTGTCGCCAATACTGTAATCACTGTATACTGGAAGCATAAACGGTCAATTTGCAAGTTGTAAATTAGAAATGTGACACTATAATTTCAGGTAGCATTATACAAGTTTGTACGTATGGCAGGAGATTTATTACCGGCCTCCCTGTATGTACCGTACATCAAGATGTTGACAGGACTAGCTTCCTCTAAACAGAGTGCTCAACATTGTTACAATCTACTCAAGATAAATGGTATGTAAAGTTTGAAGATTCTCGTAAATTTGAACTCTATGTAAAATGCAATCACTGGTTAGCTGTTAATTATCTTAAATCAAGGTTTCCTTTTTAGCTCGACTATTCGATAAGAATAAGTAGAGCTATTGCAGTCACCCGAGCGTCGGCGTAACCACTTATGTTAAAGTTTTTGTAATAGTTCAAATATTTTCAAAGTCCATAGACATATGGCTTTGAAACTTTGCACACTTGTTCACCATCATGACCCCAACCTGTAGACAGGAGGAGGTAACTCTATCAAGCATTTTGACAGAATTATGCCCCTTTTTCGACTTAGAATTTATGTTAAAGTTTTTGTAATAGTTCAAATATTTTCAAAGTCCATTGACATATGGCTTTGAAACTTTGCACACTTGTTCAACATCATGACCCCAACCTGTAAACAGGAGGAGGTAACTCTATCAAGCATTTTGACAGAATTATGCCCGTTTTTCGACTTAGAATTTATGTTAAAGTTTTTGTAATAGTTCAAATATTTTCAAAGTCCATTGACATATGGCTTTGAAACTTTACACACTTGTTCACCATCATGACGCCAACCTGGAAACAGGAGGAGGTAACTCTATCAAGCATTTTGACAGAATTATGCCCCATTTTCGACTTAGAATTTACGTTAAAGTTTTTGTAATAGTTCAAATATTTTCAAAGTCCATTGACATATGGCTTTGAAACTTTGCACACTTGTTCACCATCATGACGCCAACCTGTAAACAGGAGGAGGTAACTCTATCAAGCATTTTGACAGAATTATGCCCCTTTTTCGACTTAGAATTTACGTTAAAGTTTTTGTAATAGTTCAAATATTTTCAAAGTCCATTGACATATGGCTTTGAAACTTTGCACACTTGTTCACCATCATGACCCCAACCTGTAAACAGGAGGAGGTAACTCTATCAAGCATTTTTTTTACTATCAAGCACTAAGAATAGTCAAGCGTTGCTGTCCTACCGACAGCTCTTGTTTGAAGGCTTTACTTGTTAATTGACTTGATCTAAATTACTTTTTTTGCCCATCGTCAGATACCCACAGCTGAAACATTAGTATTTATCAGCCTTGGGATTTTTGGCCAATATCCAATCGATTAAAGGTGTGTTAAAGACAGCTCTTTCATTGGTTGCCTCAAGATTTTATGAGGTGGTTAAAATCCATTAAAACGCTCTATGTGATGTTTTATCTTACAGACAAACTTGCGGCAGTTTTTGTTAAACACGATTTCATTGGTCGATATTTTATGCACATGTTGGTGTATATCGACGCAAATTGATTCATGTTACCCATGGCTTGATAACGTTAAACAATTGTGGATATTCGAGGATGTTTTTTTGCCCATAATTTTGTATTCATTGCTTATAACCCTATATCCTTTACAGTAACACCTCACATGTAGTTTAGATTACACCGTCAAGTCAAATGAGAGAAAAATGTTGCTTTGCTAAACATGATAAATGTGATACAATAAATAAGTTTGCTTATTGTTCCTATATCATGTTTTTCAAATTATGATGATTTTCTTTACATGTTAAGTAACTGATATTCATTGAAATTTTTTTTTTTTTTTTTTTTTTTTTTTGATAATTAAAAATGCAGACTGACTAATTCACAGGGAGTACATCAAGTACAGTGTCATGGGATCACATTTTCACGTCATTGAATCAGTACTACAGTAGTTTAAGACGCGAGTCTCCACTCACTTCTGATCCCTCTATGTCATATAGACTGCACAGTCGTGTCATCACCCCACAAGAGCTGGAAGGGTTGATCATGGTGTTACAGCTAGTGAGGAGAGTTTGTGAGCAGGTAATGAGTTTTATTTGTGATTGTAGCTTATGCTTAGCATGAACAATGTACAATAACTAATATTCTCTTTCTTTATTTAGCATTATTTGAGATACATGTAAATGATTAAGTATTTTTATTAAGTTTGTATTTTCTTCAAATTATTGCACCCTCTAAAAGAAATAAATAAAATAGTTGAAGTCTACAAGTCAGTTTTCTTTAAAAAAATATATAAATCATTGTATTTAAAAAGTGTTCCCACACAAAAGTTTTTATTCCCTTATGAAATTATTGAAATTACTTGCTTTTATGTTGTGTTTTAGATCCATATAAGAAAAGAGTCTTGTTTGAGTTTGTAGATGTACAGTAAATGAATTTTTTGTCTATGTTTACAGAGTGAGAATTGTTGTATAGCTATATATGAGAATCAGCAATGGTCAGTGGTGATGTTATTGTTTGGACTGGTCAGTTGTAGTGTTCCTCCACAGATGAAGTCTGAGTTATTAAAGGTTCTAGCTTCGCTAGCTAAGATGCCAGAGTATGCTGCTACATTATGGCAGACGCTGGAGGCCTCACAGGTATGTCTTACACCAGAAGTTGTCACACAGGTATATATGTGTGGCTAATGGGAAGCCTTTAAGGGCTGAGGCATCGCAATCACTGCCACCGTTTATCCCTGTGTGATTTTAAGTGGTGACTAAATGAGTTCAAATTACTTAAGTCTATGCATCTCTTAGCTCCAGCAGGTGATGTGGTTTTGACCCCTGGTGTTGCTTTAAGTTTATAACAACCAAGGTTAGCCAAAATTATCTTTCCTGTTTTGGCGCCATATGACCTAAATTGTGTTAATGCGCTGTAAAACCAAACAAATCAAACAAAATATATACCAGAAATTAGACACTTACTTTCTATGTTATAAGATAAAGGTTACAGTATGACTAATACAGATCTTATTTGGACAAAAACCTAATGCTTTAGTTCTAGAGTTTAGGCTGATTGATTGTTAGTACAATATTCAATCACTTATTAGCCTTATAATATAGATAGAAAATAACTTAAAGAAAAATAACTGTTTGCAGTCAAAATACAGTTACTTGAATCACATGACTTGATATTATAGTCTTAAAGCATGAAGCTTGGTTGCAATCAGCTTGAATAAGTTTTATGTGGGAATGAATTTTATTAGATTTTTATTTTAAGTTTAATCAGGCTGTTTAGTAATAGGGTTTCAGTCAATCAATCATTCTTTATTGGTATGCTGAATATGCTGCTATATATCCAGTGTCTATTCTAGGATTCGAAAAACGGGGGATTTTTATCGAAAAGTGAGAATTTATTACATCTGTTGATCTTTTTTGTAAAATTTTCCCCCTGTCTCTGAAAAAAAGGGGGGTGGGGGATTCTCAGAAATATGAGTGAATCCCCCTCCTAGAACAGACACTGATATCTATATACACATAACACTTTATAATTTAATGGTGGAAATGTGTTGCAATCTTGCATATTTTATGAAAATAGGAAAGAAATTGCATGTTTACCATAAAGGTTTTCTTTCTAGGAAACAAGGAATATATATTTATATACAATGTACAACATTTATCAGGTACTGGTAACAGTTCAACAAGGGAATAGTAAACAGTCTGGAGGTATACAGGTAGAACTAGATGAGGTAGAGTCTAGGAATGAAGAATACCCTATAACATGTGCCTTTCTACACTTCCTCACAATGTTAACAGACACACCTATACCTGCAGCACTCGGGGCTGGATCAAGGGCACCAGGATTTGATCCCTACCTACACTATGTCAGAGATGATGTGTTCCTTAAGTTTGGTGCTAGAGCTTACAAAGATCCAAAAGAAAAGGTGTGTGTTTTTTCTTGTCATATGTAGGCTTGTATTAATTTTCTCAACAGGGATAAAAAAGAACTACCTAATTCTGGTATCTGCATGTTTTTGTCATGAAAGAAAATATTTAGAGAGGTTTCAATTTCAGAATTGCAGATTCTGATGATTTTAACTATCATGTAAATTGAATTCATTCTATCATTTGTCAGGATATTCATATTTAAAAAAAGAGATGTAAAAATGGATATGAAATCTTTAATTCAGTTTGACATATCATACAGGGGTATATCAGTATCTTAAAGAACAAGGGTCTCCAAGACCAAATGGTATAGTTACTGACATTAAATCACTTGTTCTGCAGTTGTTTGGGTTCAAATCCTGTGATTCATATTTATACCCCCGCACAACAAAGTTGTAAGGGGGGTATACTGGAATCAGCTTGTCCGTCCGGCCGTCCGTCCGTCGGTTTTTTCTTGTCCGCCCAATAACTTAAGATTCCTTTGACCCTTAGTCTTCATATTTGGCATGGAGACTAGTCATGATTAGTAGATGACCCCTATTGTTTTTGAGGTCACCAGGTCAAAGGTCAAGGTCACAGGGGCCTTGACTTCAAAAAGCTTGTCCGCCCAATAACTTAAGATTCCTTTGACCCACAGTCTTCATATTTGGAATGGAGGTTAGTCATGATTAGTAGATGACCCCTATTGATTTTGAGGTCACCAGGTCAAAGGTCAAGGTCACAGGGACTTTGACTTCAAAAAGTTTGTCTGCCCAATAACTTTAGATTCCTTTGACCCACAGTCTTCATATTTGGCATGGATGTTGATCATGATTAGTAGATGACCCCTTTTGATTTTGAGGTCACTGGATCAAAGGTCAAGGTCATAGGGACTTTGACTTCAAAAAGTTTGTCCACCCATTAACTTAAGATTCCTTTGACCCACAGTCTTCATATTTGGCATGGATGTTGATCATGACTATAAGGTGACCCCTATTGATTTTGAGGTCACTGGGTCAAAGGTCAAGGTCACAGGGACCTTGACAAAAAAAAGCTTTTCTTCTCAATTGCTAAAGAATGTCCTGTCCGCAATGTATTGATTTTGACATTTTCACATTTGAAGCATGTAGAATACATAACTTAGCAATGCACTGGCTTAGTAACCTCAGATTTGGCAGGGAGGTTGTCCTTGAGCTCTAAATGGCCACTGTTGATTCTGACAAAGTGGTATGCGGGGATATTCACGCCATGATAGTGGCAGTTCTAGTTAATTCTGTTTTATCATGTAGCTATCAAACTGACCTAGCATGATTTGTGGTTTAACTACATTTGTTTGTTTGTGCCTTATATTTTTCACCTGTGCACCTGATTAATTAGTATATTAAAAAAATTCTATGTAAACAAGGAACATAACTCCTAAAATATTGCTTTTGGAATTATGCCCCTTACCTTACAACTACATCCTATAATGCAAGGTTAGTTAGTTGCCATGAGACCTTGATAGTGCTTATATGTTTTAAAACTGCACCATAAAAATATTATAAGGACAAAGAATAGATAACTTGTGACATCTATTTGTTAACATAGTTACGTGTATAAATGTAACAACTTGTCTCTAGAATGTGTTTTTCTATGTTTTCTAACAGTGGGAGGTAGCATCACTTTCACTAGGTATCCTCAGAAAGTTACTTCATGACTACGAGATCCAGGGAGATCATTTTATGGATCAAGTGATAGAGATGGGAACTGGTCAAACTATTGTAGCCAATAAACCTGCAGGATTTACACTGATGGTCAACATGTTGAAAGATAGTAGACTTTATCAAATGGTATAACTTTGTTTTTTCGTGTACTTTTTTGTTTGTTTAAAAACCCTTATCAAAATTAATGGTATGAAGACTGGATAACTGGTTTAAGAACTTATACTTTTGATTACATTAATGTAGTAATGAACTGCCAGTTTTATTATACAATCACACTGATTTCATGAAAGGAAACTGAAGGGATTGTGTCTTGTGACCCCCTGTGAATAGTGTCCTTATTTGCTCTCTCCAGTTAAAGGTCACTAAAGACTGTCTCCACTGAACCTGTATTTTTAAAGTGAAATAATGTTAATAATCCAATTTCCTTTGACATATTTATTTCCTCATGAAAGACATATATATGCATGTATAAATGTAAAATTGTAAACATTGTTCTTTTAGATTCTGCGGATCTTAGATGATGCAATGACACATTTTGAAAGTTATACAAACACACCAGGTTAGTAAGTTCATAATAGCTCTATCTCTTCCTGTTTGGAAGAAATTGTCTATTTAGCTTATTAGCTATTTTGATAGCTGAGGCATCGTTGTCTTTCAAAAGCTTTTATGTAGCCCATTTCTCAAACAATTGTTAAGGTATCTACACAAAACTTGCAATACTTAATTATCATGATAGGATGTATGTGTAAGGTAAGGGGCATAATTCCAATAATATTTTAGGAGTTATGCACCTTGTTTACTTAGAATTTTTATCAAGATTGTTACTTATGAAAGAATTATTCTCAAGATTGTTACTTATGAAAGAATGTAACAGTTTCTGCAATACATATATAGTTCTTTACTGCCAAATGTTTGGCAGAATTGAAATGGCTTCAATACTCAAATATTCTTATATTTATATGTATCAGGACAGAAGAATTTAGAGAAATCTGCCTTATTGTGTCTACAAATAATAGAACTCACCCTAGAGAAAGAGGAACTGTTTATTGATATGGTACGTGAGACAGGATCTGCACTCCTTGTCACACCCGTGGAAAGGCTACTTCTTGGTATCAACCCTAGGACAAACCAGGCAGATTATATTGTCACTGTAGCAAAGTAAGTAATAATAATGATTAAAACAATTATCATATCACATCCCAACTGAATTATTATCATAATGTACTAAAAAGTAAAATATGTTCAAGTGAAAAAATAAAATATGTTCAAGTGAAAAAAGAAAGTAAAAATACAGTGTATTGTGCAAAATCCATACAAATTACCAAATGTGGAAATAGCAAAACGAGCACTTTATGTATAGAAATATGGTAATGAATACTGCAAAATCAGCCATTCTTTGCATGTAACATGCAAATTATTACTTGAATTGTAAATATTTTTACTTTTCTTAAAAAAATTTTTTCCTTAAGATTGATTTTCTTATTTTATTTGTTTTGGCTCATCTGGAGGCATGCAGCTTTAAAACTGAAAAAAGAGAGACTAAAATAATATTTCATAACAAATTATTGTTTTTTTAGAATGTCAGGAAATACAGATAGTTTTATAAGTTGTTAGCATATTTGAGCCGCGTCATGACAAAACCAACATAATGGGTTTGCGACCAGCATGGATCCAGACCAGCCTGCGCATCCCCGCAGTCTGATCAGGATCCATGCTGTTCGCTTAAAAACCCTATAACAAGTAGTGAAACTGATAGCGAACACGGATGCGCAGGCTGATCTGGATCCATGCTGGTCGCAAACCATTATGTTGGTTTTGTCATGACGCGGCTCATTTGTGTTATCTTAGTATCCCATGTATTGGAGTAAATAATTTGTAAAATCAAGTTAGCATGCACATCCGAACAGAATAACCTTACTTTAAACTGTTCACTCCTTAAGATTATATCTTAGAAATGTGCATCCATTATACAAATTAAAGTTTATAGATGACAATTTTCTATTTAGGTACATAATGTTCAACAGTACAATGCCTGAACACACTTTGGCAGCTACAAGGATATTATACATGGTGGGAAAATCCAGCACCATACAGTCTGATCTAGTCACACTCTTTAATGAGAACAAGGTAAATTTTTATTATATTCTATATTGTCATGTAACAGTTATCTGTTATAGTTCAGCACTTGTCAGTGCCCAGTATAGGGCAATATGCAATACAAAAGTCATTTTAAAGGTAAAAATCTATTGAATGTTTCAGAGACAAATAAGGTTCTTAAATTTGTCAGGGGCATAAAATGTTAGTTGACTAAGACAGTGCTAATATTGTAAGATTGGTGTAGACATAACTTTTAGAAAGTTGTTGAATAAAGGTCATTGAAGTTTTATAACCTATTCAATTGTTTTGTATAAAGGAGACGAGCGAGCAATTATTACACGGTTTTGTGGATTGTTTGGATACTGATGACATGGAGGAGGAGTTAGGAGACACTCTAGTTGATGATGACACTGATGTGTCCAGCAGTAAAGTTAGAAACTCTACAAGACAATATCTTATCAAACTGATGATAAAGTCATTGGAACAGCCGGCTCCAAATCTAGCCCACTTTCTCCTAGGGTTTGAGTTGAGAAAACCTGTGAACAAAACAAACTTGCAGGATCAAGGTAAGTCTCATGGGTCTTTCTGTATAAAAAATGCTCCATTTTCTTCATGTTTTTGGGAGTTTTTTTTTTTTTTTTTTTTAGTGTCTAACAGCTGAATTTTAATTTGAAGTCATGTTATGTTTAGCTATAGTTTTCCTTGTTAAAAAAGGGGAAGAAAATTATTATTTGAATAATTTTAGTATATGAATTTTTTCAAATTATTACAGACAAGAAGTTGCATTGATTTGAAAGTACATGTATATGTTTTAGGCTTACCAGTAATCTTTATTTGCATTCCTTTCATTAAGGCTGTTTGTTTTGATTGCCAAATAAAATAGTATAAAAGCATAGTCTATGCAATTACCTTGTGTATGGTAAAATTATAGATATCACAGTTTTTCTTTGTTTGTGGAGAGAAAAAAAGCGCTGCAAAGTTGAATGAAGCAGCACAAAGTATTATCATATTAAACTTATTTACAATTTTATTAGGTGTTCTTACGTCACCAAAGACTTGCCTGCATTCAGTTCTGACTATACTAACAAGAGGTATAGGGGCTGGTACTGGGCCTCAGTGTCTAACAGAAACCCCTGTACTTGCTGAGCTCGGATACAGACTAATTTACATGCTGGCTGCAAACAAAGACACATCACTACCAACATTACGTTATCTCAGGACATCACATGATTTCCTCTACAGACAGTTACAACATCTGCCATATGATGCTAAAAACTACAGTAAGTTTGATTTTAATAGAAACAGATATGTGATGGTAAATATTACATAAGAAATAATATATCGCAAACAGTGATTTTATCACTCAATAAAATCACTGTTTGGAGTTGAGATGTGAGGGCGTAGCCTGAGTGATATAATGATACGCATCCAAATGACAAACAGTGATTTTATCAAGCGATAAAATCACCAATTTGGATATATTATTTCGATTCTAACACAACATCATCAAATAAATGCTGCTGTACCTGATATTAACCTAAATTGCGCCTGATTTGTGTCCATACTTGCTTTCAGCGCGTCACATTTTTAGTGGTTATGTCACGTGTGTAATGATTACGTCACATGTCTAAATATAGAACGTCAAACTGTGATTTTATTGTATAATAACACACCATTTCGGTTCTTCTATGTTCAATGGGGAAAAATGCAGGTCATGTTAGAATCATACATAATCTAATACAGTCGACTCTCGTTATCTCGAAGTCATTGGGACCGTCCAAAAAATATCGAGATAACGAAATGTCGAGATAAACATATTAGGGTTAGAACAAGGCGAAACTGATTTTTACAAAAGACATGTGCATACCTTATGTGAAATGAAATATAATATCCCCATGTCTTGTTTTCATAGGCCTAGTCAATATTTAACAAAGTTACATAAGCGGATGTTTACCAGCGGAAATACGGGTGTCTGTGATAAAAACGCATGAGGTTTACTCAGTAATACACCAATATAGTGAATCGGATATGGTTGATCCGGATATCCTCCCAGGTTATTTATCGGGTCTTTCTCAAGATTGTTCCACCGCTGATTGATTTGGTGGTGATGTTGTGAAACAATATTGCAACGATAGCGTTTCTATACTTTCACTTTTTCATTTACATTTAAAGTCATAATGAATTGATACAGTGTTCGAATATTTAAAAAGAATGTAAAATTCACTCATTGTGGACATAAGTCAATCAACACGCTAAATAGATTAACTTTTATAAAAACAGCTAAACTTGTTACAAACATAATCGACATTATGACACGCGCTATTAATTGAGCAATTATCGTCCAGATTGTGTTTTTCACACGTCTGAAGGGAACGGACGAAGTCGAGATAAACAAGGATAATAGTGTGGAAATAACTGTTGGGGCTGAAATTTTACATCGAGATACTGAAAATATCGAAATAGAAATATAGAGATAAACAAATATTTCCAATATAGATAAAGAAGGAAGAAAATCGGGACTTTCAAAATTTCATCGAGATAACGAAATATCGAGAAAAGCGATGTCGAGATAACGATAGTTGACTGTACAAAGCATTGTATATTTTAGTTTTTACGCTTAACCGGCTGTGTTTTTTAAATGGACTTGTACAGTTCCTACTTTTGGAACCACCCATTATCAAATTTAGTATTTTCAACATGAAAATTTAAAGTTAGTCAAGCAATTACTAGTTGGAATCGAAAATTGAAACCATTTTTGTATCATAAGTTTCATAACTTATGCTGATTTTGTTTTTCCCCAGAACATTCTGTAATAAATCATCAGTCGTGGTTGTTGAAGACATTAGCTGTAGAGTTGAGGGTGACATCTTTAAACAGACAGAGGTCACATACACAGAGGTTGATGAAACTTATCCTTGATGACTATGATGAAGATCAGACCTCTGGTATATACATTTCTGTTTATATATCTGTTATATATCTGTAGATCTGTTTATATATCTGTAGAGCTTCAAAATTTTAAAAAAAATTAATATTTAAAAATAAAAGACGGAAAAAGAACAAATAAAGATACATATATGTTTATATATCTGTATAATTGTAGTCTGGATACAATGTTGATATGCTGACATGTTATTGCTATATTTATGTTAATATTGTTTGTATTTGACAGTGTTGCAGCCTGTAGGTCAAGGTCCGGAAGAGTCTGAGTATTTCTCGTCCTCTAGGCTAGGAGATCTGTCATCATCACATTATACCAGGACTGTCAAAGGTAGTACCCTATTGTTACCGTAAGGTTTACATACCTTTTGTTATCATAGCCACTTAAGTATCAATTAATTTACTTTGTATGCAAGAGCTAAGGGTTAATTCAAGCACAGGGTCATACCAAAGACTGATACAGAAATGCTAGCAAGCCTAGCATTAGCTTGATTCTTGCCATTCTGCAAGAATAAATAGATTAAAATCTGGTCATTCAAGTGCCTTCTAATATGCTAGATAGGCAATCTTTACTATTGCATCATCTCTCGTTGAAGCAGACTTATAAGTTGGGCTGTTCCAAATATCGAGCTTGATCTATATGGTTGAGGAAGATACTAAAATCAATTGCTCTCTTGTATTTCTCTATCAATAAATGAAGAGGTTAAAATCATAAATGCTTGTCCAGTTTAGGTGCTTTTGTAAATTTAGGAAGTGATTGTTTTAGGTCGGCAGTATAGAAGAAGAATAATGAGTTTATTGGACACTGTACAGTTTAGTCAACAGTACCCAGCGTCAATACATCTGATTTTTTTGACTTTTCGCCCCCATTCACCCGGGTTTATATCTAGCATAGAGAGGAAAGAGGGAAGAGGGATTTGACGTATTATAAATGTAAAAATCATTTTCATCGTAAAATTGATGAAAGAACTCAACAAAACTACAAGGCACACAAAAGGCTGGTCAAAGACAAATTTATTGTAGAAAGGGATTTCAAATACATTTTTATGGGTTTAATAAAAAAAAAAATAGTTTTTAATATTTTTGGGGGTTAGTTTTAAGATAAATAAAGGAAAATTCATATTTATAACTTTCCAACTTTACCCAAGACCCCGAATGCTAATGTGTACGTTATTTTTGGCAGGTATTTTTTAGACTAAGTATAGCAACCTTTGTATGTTATCAGTTTTAATATAGAAAAATATTACTCAGATCACTCTCAGATTATTGTTTTTATGTAAGAAGATTGCTTTACATTTGTATGAACGATTGTTATGACGATGGGCTGTGATATGTTCTGTCTGTCAGCTAGCACTTTTAGTAGCAGGATAGTTTCTTTGCATTTAGATTGCAACTTACTGCATTGAGAGTTTTTGTAGTTAAACAACAATTATTACATATATTTAGACTATAGTTAAAAGAAACTGAACTGAAAACAGTTATATTTTATTTGACAATGCTGTAAAATGATTCAAAGAAATATTTTCTCTAAAATTTCCAACTGTACTGTTTAATTAAGTAATTTTAACATGTTAGTAAAATGTTTTGTAATTTGTCTGTATTTCTGTCTAGGAAATTGAAGGTATTTTACGAATGGTGATAGAACGTAACAAGGTGTGTCAAAGTATGCACTCTAAACATCAGGCATTTGACTCGTGGAGACAGGTAACAGAGATTATACTAACAGCTTGTCCCGAAGATTTACTACAAGGTGAAACAAGACAAAATGTCCTGTTTGAGATGTTACAAGATCTACTCATGAAGGTAAAAGAATCAGTTCAGTTCAGTTCTCAAGAAATTTGTCTGGATGCCATAGGGCCCTTATTGTTGATAAAAGGAAACCATTTTGATGCTTAAGATCAGTGACTTGATAATTATTTTATGTTACACTTATTATTACAGCATACAGTTGTAAAGAAATATAAGGGAAAGGCTGCATTGTATATTTCCTTTAACTTTAACAGTTGAAAAGAGTGTATTGTACTACAACATGCATTGGTTAAATTGATAAATTATATTTTAAGAACTTGTATATTTAGGTGGCTGATGATGATGCTTTACCAGAGTTAACTGCCCCTGTTTCTGGTGTCATTCTTACATTAATGGCAAACTTGCGTCAGTGTTTTATGTCAGAGGATCAGGACCCGTCGGAGAAAGATCGCCGCGACTGCCACTATATCACCTTGCTAGACAGGTCACAGGCAGCCGCTAAGTCTGTGTCATGGGGTCAAGGGTCATCTGGCTCTAGAACTCTTTTTGCAACATCTCTTCAAATGGTATTGAAAGGTGTCATAGAACATATTCTTAGATCCAGTAAGTATGAATTATGTATTGTCACATGAAATCTATTTTAAGTATTTAATTCATTAAAAGGAGAATATGAATTTTTCTTAATATTGCTTGAGTGTATGTGGTATTGAAAATGTTAAGCTTTATTCGAGAATCAGTTTAATATATGAAAAAAATGTTTTGATTTGAATTGTGTTTATATCTAAAATATATTATTTATTGTGTTTGTTCAATAAGGTGGGGGACAGCAGAGGGTAAGAGCAAAGCTATATGGTGCCTTGTTGTATTACCTTCAAATAGCCAACAAACCAAAAATCTCAAAGACACATTTACAAGGTAAGGTTATATTAACATTTCATGACTGTGTTTATGGTCATGGACATTAAATTACTTGAGATCCTCTTGTGTGACTTCCAGTTTGAGGAAGCTATCCGAATGCTGATCTGATTGTTCCTAAAATCTTATATATAAGATGATCTTTTTTCACATAAAAGCTTGAAAATTGTCACATGATCTTAACAGTGTTGGAAAGATTTAAGATATAGTCAAGGCCACTATGATGGATAAACTGATTAAGGTTCTACACCAGTAGTTCATCATAAGGAAAGTCAGTGATTCTACCCAGGTGCCTTATTGTGACTGAAATAATGCAAGATTTTACACCTGAGGTTTTCCTCTACCAGTAAAGCTAGAAAGTTGCGACATGACCTTTAAATTTAATGTGTCTGTGAGACTTGAAAACAAAATTCAACAAAAAGAGCAATAAAAATTTAAAAAATTTTGTTTACAGATGAAGCTGCAGGTAGTGTAGAGGCGCGTTTACTAGCTGGTAGTGACTCAGAGTACGATCAGTTACGTAAGGAGAATATCTCCTCAATTATCTCCTATGGTGATACCTTCATGGACCTACTGTGTAGAGATGCTTGTGATGGCCTAGATGTGGGACGGGTAAATTTGAGCCGCGTCATGACAAAACCAACATAATGGGTTTACGACCAGCATGGATTCAGACCAGCCTGCACATCCGCGCAGTCTGATCAGGATCCATGCTGTTCGCTTACAAACCCTATAACAAGTAGAGAAACTGATAGCGAACAGCATGGATCCTGATCAAACTGCGCGGATGCGCAGGCTGGTCTGGATCCATGCTGGTCGCAAACCCATTATGTTGGTTTTGTCGTGACGCGGCTCATTTGTAATTTCTTAGTATGTGTTTGGAGTTATAAATAGAATCAAACAACCCTTACATATCATATCTGACTTAAAGTTTAGTCTGATTTGTGCTAAGTTTTGTTGACTAAAACAGATATTTTTGTTATTCTTGCAAATATTTGTTTGTTTTTCCTGTTCTTGTTTTGTACCTAACAGAAATACATATACCGATATTAAATTTATTAGTGCTTTATTGATAATTTGGTATTAATGTAAATTAATTAATTCGTTTGTTTTTCTTCAGATGTTAGCCTTGTCAGTGTTGGACTGTATACTAATGATGGACAAATTTAACCAATGGTTGACTTTCATATCATCTAAAGGATATCTTCAACATTTAGTGGACAGCCTATCTGCAGACGATGATAAATTAATGTCGGTACTGGCAGGCAGTGTGGATAATCTGAAAGTGTTGTATTTATATGAATCTAAATTAGTAAGTATTTATCTGCTAGCAGTGACAGTATAACCAGAATGTTACTTTCGACCATTCATTTCTCTAAGTCTTATATTTTTCAATGTAATATAGATGAATTTGGGGAAGTATGATGATTATACTATATCTCAGAATGTTCAGTGCGTATGCATTAATTCGATTTATCTGATGTAAAAATCCACTATCTCTTTGACTTATTAATCTAAGATGCACATGTATATGTGTAGATATATTACACTTAGTTGGCCTTTGAGTAATCATGTGATACAATATATTAAGTTTGATTATTTCTAATAATATCTGTCTATTCAAACATTACATAAAGTCTCAGTTCATTTCATGTATTAAATACTTTAGCTTTCAATGTAAGCACTATGTCTTACATGCTCTTGTCACAATGATACTGGGGGCGACCGTGGCCGAGTGGTTAAGGTTGTTGACTTCAAACCACTTGCCCCTCACCGCTGTGGGTTCGAATCCCGACAGGGACTTTGGATTCTTTCATGTGAGGAAGCTATTCAGCTAGGTTACGGAACGTCGGTGGTTCTACTCAGGTGCCTGTTCGTCCCTGAAAAAATTGCACGGAAGGATACCTGAGGTCTTCCTCCACCAGTAAAGCTGGAACGTCGCCAAATGACCTATACTGTGTTGGTGTGACGTAAAACCCAAACAAGCAAACACAATGAAACAGCTTTGTCAGCCTGCATTTTGTGCAGCCTTGTTAGACTATTAACTTTTAAAAGTTCAGTAAACTGGTTCTGTGTTGAAATTTCAAAATCAGTTGAAATCTCAAGAGAGATTATGTCAAGTGAGCTTAAACAAAGTTTTTTGATTTCTTTATCATTGATTTCTATGTGTAAGAATTGACTTTTACTTGTAAGGTTCATGTAGTACAATGCTATGTTATATTGATTGTAGAGTTTACTGACTCGTGCTGCAGAGACTGCTGTAGGTGCTTCAACATTACTGAGTTGTGGGGTGATGCAACAGCTTGCTGCTTGTTCCTTCTTTGATATGAGACCAGATATTGACAGGTATATATGAGCCGCACCACAACAAAACCAACATAGTGGTTTTGCGACCAGCATGGATCCAGATCAGCCTGCGCATCAACGCAGGTAGCAAATGCACTACGTTGGTTTTGTCATGGCGCGGCTCATATTATAATGACTTGTCCCAGGGCTTCCTTTAAGTTCCAAATTTGGAAGTCAGAGACTGAAAATGTCTGACACTGGAAATGACATTATATGTAAAGAAGAAAAATTCGAAGGAAATCATAAGCCAAAATTAGGAGTATTTGACTCCCAAACTTATGCTAATGGATGCTCTGTTGTTCATGTAGTTTGAATTTGTTAAAATTGTGATTGTGTGAAAGAAATTTGATTGTCGCCATGGAATACATTTGTCAGTGATAATTAAGTTGATTTTCTTCTTATTGTTTTTTTTAAACTTAGTATAAAGAGGTTTTATATACTTTATTTAATTTGACTTTAAAGAAATGTTAAACAGATGAACAATATCACTCTTTACTTTGTATAAATAAGATAAAAGTACATATGAGTGTTTTTTATGTAGAATATTGTATTATGATTTGAACTTGAAAAATATTCATTTTATTTGTAAAATTGGTTAAAAAATGTTATTTAAAGGATCCAAATCTAATTAAACCCAAACTTCTTGTAATTAGATATAGCTGATAATATTAATGAAAATTTATTTTTTCTCTCATGCATCAGTAATCAAACAATGTTTGGTAGTAACGATGCATTCTTACCAGATCCAGTTTCACGATACAGACATTTGTTGTTCACATCACTCCGGTTCTGTCTAGCCCTTCTTACTTCCCTTGGGGTAGAAAATAGAGATGCTGGTATTCAGGTACAAGAGTAATTATTGTAGTACAGTTGTCTTTATAAAAAAAATATCTTAATTAGTTATTACTTTAACTGCATCACATAGTTTAAAACCTTACTGAAATATTACTGACTGTTTTATCAAATTTATGCTTAAATTATTAGTTTTAACATACACATGTACTGAGTTTCGCTCATGAATATTTAAAAGCTTTCTTTTAATTTATTATTTACATCCTTGAATTAATCAGTGTGTTATCATAGGAACACAACAGTTGAGTAGCAGGTACCTTATCAGTTAACCACAAGGCTACCTTTTCCCTTGCAGCAAGTTTTGTTTCTTGTTTTATGTTTGAAATTATTAACCACAATCGGACACAAGGTCTTCCATCCATTAATGCTTGATAGTCGCCTGGTTACCTTAAAATATGATGATGACACTTGACCTTAAACCTGCGCAATTTGTGTAATAAATCAGCTCTTCTTTAGCCTTGTGCAGTCCATTCAAAGTGTAAGGGGTTTTAATACCAAAATACAAAAATTGAACAACCAACAGTAAAGAGCTTGGTCAGCCTGCACAAATATTCATGCAAGCCTAGCTCTAAAATGGTGCCAAAGGTTGATCACTTAGTTCCAGAAGATTAAAACACTGCAATATTAAAATGTAGTTGTGCTTGTGGTAGGAATTGTTTGCCATTTCAGATGCTTTATTAATTTTTTATAAACATTGCATTTTATATAAATGTAACATGCATTGAAGTTGCATTAAAGTTGCATTTAATGTAAAAATTTAAGTTACATGTATAAAATGTAATGTAACATGCATTAAAGGTGCACTTAATGTAAAATTTTAATTTACATATATAAAATACAACATAACATGCATTAAAGGTGCACTTAATGTAAAAAATTTAGTTACATATATAAAATGTAATGTAACATGCATTAAAGGTGCACTTAATGTAAAAATTTTAGTTACATATATAAAATGTAATGTAACATGCATTAAAGGTTCACTTAATGTAAAAATTTTAGTTACATATATAAAATGTAATGTAACATGCATTAAAGGGGCATTTGATGTAAAAAAATTTAGTTACATATATATAAAATGTAATGTAACATGCATTAAAGGTGCATTTAATGTAAAATGTTTAGTTCCATATATATAATGTAATATGCATTAAAGGTGCACTAAATGTAAAACGTTTAGTTCCATATATATAATGTAATGTAACATGCATTAAAGGTGCATTTAATGTAAAATGTTTAGTTCCATATATATTATGTAATGTAACATGCATTAAAGGTGCATTTAATGTAAAATGTTTAGTTCCATATATATAATGTAATGTAACATGCATTAAAGGTGCACTAAATGTAAAACGTTTAGTTCCATATATATAATGTAATGTAACATGCATTAAAGGTGCACTAAATGTAAAACGTTTAGTTCCATATATATAATGTAATGTAACATGCATTAAAGGTGCATTTAATGTAAAACGTTTAGTTCCATATATATATATATAATGTAATGTAACATGCATTAAAGGTGCATTTAATGTAAAATGTTTAGTTCCATATATATAATTTAATGTAACATGCATTAAAGGTGCATTTAATGTAAAACGTTTAGTTCCATATATATAATGTAATGTAACATGCATTAAAGGTGCACTAAATGTAAAACGTTTAGTTCCATATATATAATGTAATGTAACATGCATTAAAGGTGCAATTAATGTAAAATGTTTAGTTCCATATATATAATGTAATGTAACATGCATTAAAGGTGCATTTAATGTAAAATGTTTAGTTCCATATATATAATGTAATGTAACATGCATTAAAGGTGCACTAAATGTAAAATGTTTAGTTCCATATATATAATGTAATGTAACATGGATTAAAGGTGCATTTAATGTAAAATGTTTAGTTCCATATATATAATGTAATGTAACATGCATTAAAGGTGCACTAAATGTAAAACGTTTAGTTCCATATATATAATGTAATGTAACATGCATTAAAGGTGCACTAAATGTAAAACGTTTAGTTCCATATATATAATGTAATGTAACATGCATTAAAGGTGCATTTAATGTAAAATTTTAATTTACATATATAAAATGAAATATAACATGCATGAAAGTTGCATTTAATGTAAAATGTTTAGTTACATACATAAATTGTAATGAAACATGCATTAAAGGTGTACTAAATGTAAAATGTTTAGTTCCATATATAAAATGTAATGTAACATGCATTAAAGGTGCACTTAATGTAAAATGTTTAGTTCCATATATATAAACTTGAGAAAAACTATAGTATAATTGACACAATTTAATATATTATACAGGTGATGCAGTTTATAGTATCCCATGGCGACATATTTCACTCTATTCTACTGGACAGACAACAGTCCCTGAACTTATACACTCTACAGGAACTAGCCCTTACCACAGCTGTAATCTTGAGAGCAAATTGTCAAGGTCAGTTTTCTCTTGTCAAAGTCAGGTTGTTCCTTATCATGCATGTGTTCATAAATGTTCTTAATATAACTCTATAGATATAGTGTTGAAATAGGAAAAAACATGTGCATGAAATACGATTTTTTCTAAAAACTGAAATTTTATTTGTAAAATCTGTTAAAATTTCAAAGAAATGTTTAGCTTTCATCCTGTGTTGTAAAATAGAATTCATTTTATATAGGAAATATAGTTATTGTTTTTATATATACATTTTTATGATGTTTTAGAAGAGGACCAATATGCCGAGGTTGACTCTGCCGAGATTGAGTTCAGGGGTCATAGGGTTCGTATACAACGACACATGGTCGGACTGCTACCAAAATACTGTGTCTCAGAGAAGCTTAACAAGCAGTTAAAGAACCTTGATTTACAACACGAAGATGATAAACGAGATATCAAGGCAGAGGTGATGCAAGCTTACCTGGAAGTCGCCACCAACGTAACATCATACTGTAGAGCTCTTGTTTCTAATTCAGGTATGACTATAGTGAGATAATTTATTTGATAAGGATTTAAGAGTAGCTATAACATAACTATTAAAGAAACTCCACTATGGTCTGGAGTTACAGCTATAGTAGAAAATAGCATAACATAAAAAAGGTGTATACTATTGACATAAATTAGTGTTAGATATCTAAAAAATGTCAGTTATACTTCCTTTTATTTTATGCTTTTCAGTGGATTACTGATTTATCCGTGAAAATTATATTTGGTAATTTCACAGTGAAAATTATCAAAATATAATTTCACTTTTTTCAATGACGAAACTACTTTTTTAAGATTTTCCCCATGTGGTACCTCAATTTTATTTTTGCTGACAATTCTGACAATGTCAGGCTGTTTAAAGAAAAAGCAAAGCTGAAATTGATAAATACCTTAAACGTCAAAAGTAATAAAAAGAAGAAAACTTACTTCTATTCATTCAAATTCCAATCACCAAATTTCGTCTCTAAATTTTTTGTTTCATTTTTACAGTCTGAAAAATACATTCCTTCCACATGCAAACTGCTCTTGATGACATTTGGGCATATTAAAGTATCCTACGAGTAATAACTGCCGTATGCTTTATGAAAAATTGAAAAGCAATGACAGCTACAGCTCGTAGAACAAGTAAACCACCCAGCATTCCGAGCAAGTTCCAAGTCTTCCATTTTCATAGCTGCTTTTTTCATGTTTTCACATCTGTCAACACTTATTTTTTGTCTGTTTCAATCCTCAAATATGTTTTCTTTCTTTTAAAAAGGTGTATGACTAACAATTCCAAATGATATCCCTCTGAATCAAACACAATTATTTTCCTCCCGTGAAATACACAACTTTAAAAAATGGCTGCCGCTTACATTTAACAAAGCCAGGTCTAATATAAATTCGCAGTAAGTAACAGAAATATGGATGGATGGTTGGAATTTTTCTCCTACACGAATTGTTTGTTTTTATTATTAAAACAAGCGATCATTCATATTTTTTAAACAAAATAAATAATATCACTGTCATTTAATGTTGATTGTCGGACTTATTTTTCAGCTCAAGACTTCTTGTTTTTAATGAGAAATTCGCACGAAATGAGGCTCTCAATGGGGAAACAGATTTTAATATTTATGTTAATATTATGGAAATTTCGTTTAAACTTGTTTTTTAGCATAAAATAAAAAGAAAATTTGTTTGTTTGTTGTGTAAGATGTAATTTTATTTCATCTCGTGAACTTTAAAAACAGTATTCTCACTCGTGGCTACGCCACTCGTGAGAATACTGTTTTTAAAGCCCACTCGATGAAATAAAATTTCATCTTACACACAAACAAACAAATATCCTCTATATATTTTGCAGTTTCATATAAATTGAGAAGATTAGAAGTGTCAATTCTTCTTAAATAACGAGGGGAGTGAACTTTGTTTCTCTCTACCAGTTAAAGCCGAAATGTTGTCATATTGTTTAAGCAGTGTCAGTAACAGACAGTATTCAACATGAAATTGATGTTTATTTGGGAAGTTAAAGCTTTATTTTCATCACATATGACATATATGTTTATAGGACCAGATGTTCAGTACTGTCGTGTGTTGTTCTGGCCAAACCTAGAGGAAGCAATGTCTAGAGATATACATGCTGGTGGAGGTGAGAAGATAAACTTAGAATTTCCATTAAACATTGATCCTGTTTATAGTGATCAACATAATAGAATCTCATACTGCAACTGGTTCTAAATTACTCTTCTTTCTTATTATTTAATTGGAATATTTGAAGAATCATAATGATTTTGTGTGCTTGTTCTATCTGTACAACATGAACTCCTGAATATATTCCTTAAAAATAGTCTTTTGGGTGATTATTGTTGGTCAATGATCAATACTCATTACTCTACAGTGTTCCCACTTCCATTTTTTATTAGGGATATTAATTTTTTACCACTTACCTTTAAAAACTGGGTGTAAAATAAGAAAAATCAGGGGGTACATAAATTTGTACAATAATTATATGAAATATGCTTAATATTAAAGTGCAAAAAAGTGTGAAAAAGAATAGTTTGAGTTCTCACTGTGATTTTCAAAAAAAAAAGAGTGCTGGGAATGCCAAGCCAGAAAAAGTAGGAGCCCCAAATGACCATTAAAATATGCTAAGTCGTCTTTGCTGGTCAAAAGTTTTATTTGGGAAATTTTGTACCTAAAAACGATAGTTGAAATATTTGAAGGATAATTATAAAACCATACATCACACCATTATGCTGTTTCTTCATGATTCACTCTACACCCCTCCCCCTCCCTTTAGGTAAAATTCATTGTGACCAACACATACTGGCATATTTTTCCATCGCCTATTTTCTTGTGTTTGAGAAGTCTATATAAGTAATGAATTATTTTAACATTTTGTTAGCATTGATTTGGTAGATATTAATGCCTCATGTTTTAAGCAGACGATATGTTTATATTGAAGTACTGGAGAAAAGTCTACAAATACACATATATGCAAGTGGCAAGTAGTATTTGCAAAAACAACAGATACTTACATTTAACATCACAAAAAAACCCCAGTAGATTCTGAACATTTGAAGTTTTTATTATTTCGCAGCAGCATTTCATCATTACATGGTAGTAATTATTATATTTTATTACAGATTTTTCTTTGTCAACATTAAGTCCTGCACAAGTACCTAACCTTGGTATCGTAGTGTATCAACTGAAACAATGCACCAATCATTTTATGACAGTGTATGAGAACAGAAAACAACATCTCAGTAAACTAGAGGGACTATCTGACCTCAGTGTGGAGGATTTAAAACAGGTCAGTGTTACTTTCTCAATGTAGAAACACACTAGATTTTATGTTTTTTAAGGCAAATACATAAAATTTGATTTTGTAAAGTTTCTTGCTTAAGGAAACAATGGCTCACCCCTGACCGGGTTTGAACCCACGCAATTTGAAACCAAACTAAATGAAAACTTTTTATTTGAAAAAATAGATAGTTTTCTGGTAGAAGAAATCGTCTTTTTTTTTCAAACATATTCAATAAGATAACATCTGTGGTATATGTTATGAATTTAGATAATTTATTTGCTTGTTTTGTAATAATGGTATATTGTGGGTATTTCAGTTTTCTACAATAACTGGAGAAGAAAAGATGTCATCCCAGGTTAGACAAATGATTGCAAAGAAACGATTGTCACAACTTATAGCGTACAACTACAAGGAACTTCAGGCCTACTCATGTATCCTTTATATAAAACATGTCTTTATCATGTTTTGATCTGCATGATCGTACGAGGCAACTAAATGGGTTCAAATTATTGCAGTCTATGCATCTCTTAGCTCCAGTAGGTGAGGTGGTTTTGACCTATGGTGTTGCTTTAAGTTTGTAACACCCGAGGTTAGTCAAAATCATTTTTCCTGTTTTGGCATCGTATGACCTAAATTGTGTTGGTGCTCCTTAAAAACCAAACAAATCAAGTTTTGTCTATTTGCATTTAGTGTCTTAGGCTCACAGCTAAATCCTGATTGATATAAGACTTTAAGATAAATACTTTGTACATTTGTAAATTATTAAATAAGTAAGTTGCACACATGAGCTAGAATTCCTTAATAAGTGTAAGATATTATAGAGAACAGTTTATTTCTGTTGTGGCGCCACCTGGAGTATTATCTGATACACTGTGTCCCGGCTGATAAAGGCCAATCACAATTCCAATCACAAGCTAGGAGACAGCTTCAGATGAGAAGACTTCAAGGTATGATGTTTTACTTACAGTCCTGTATATTATGAATGAAAACATTGTTAACACCTACCAAGCTAAATGTTCATACTTTCAATCTGGCAAGGCGGTTCATTCTTTAAGGAAAATTTCAGGATAAGTTTGGACTGAAACAGTGCAGACAATGATTGGACGACCAGGGTTGTGCTGCCAGCTGATCTTAGTCTGCACTGGTCACATGGGTATATTCTGTAGCCCCTTGCAGGCTGAACCTTTAACTTAAAGATTTTACATCATGCATCTTATATATATTATATAAATAAATGATTCGGCAATGATATTGTCTTTAATTCTTACATTTACATGTTAAGCAGACAATTTTAATAAATCAGTTTAGTTATGTCTTAAGGCCTCAACAGACGGTAGGATTTTGAAGTACAACACCAATTAAAACTAAGATGTACAGACAAATCTTAATGTGTGAAGGGTACTATTTCTTGATTTCGGAAACCTTATGTCAAGATGTAAGGGATAGGACATGTTCTATTTTGAAAATCTTGTCGTACCGATTTTTATAGACCTCCCACAATGACAAGTAACAGATAACCAAATTATCTCCTGATAATGGGTGTAATGAATGAAATTCCAGAACAATTAGGGCTAAAAGGTAAACATAGTAGTAAGATGGGGTAAAAATGATGTTGAAAAACTCTTCAGGAGACCCAAAGTTGTCTTATGTTTGAATTCTAAATTATTTCGAAAATGATTATGTCACGGTATTGGATTGTTCTCTAAATAGGGGAGGGGAGGTAGTTTGTAGACGACCAGATAGCTTAGTCAGCAGAGCCGCAGTACGGTATTCCGAGGGTCCTAGGTTTGAGTCTCGGTCAGGCTTCACATTAAAAAAAAATATATATATATATTTTTAAATGGAGGTTTTTCAATCATTACTGATGGCGAAAAAAGTATTTAGTGAGTAAAGTATGTAAAGGATCAATGTAAAGGGATCCTTTTTAGGGGAAACCTCAGATGATTCTTACAGTGTAGAATTACCGTCTGAATGCAAGTGTTGTATAGCTTTGAAAATTGTACATCTTATCTCTAATTAGTGCTGTACAGCTAAATCCTACCGTCTGTTGAGGCCTTTAGATAACACTGGCACTTTATGGGTAATGTAGAAGATTTTCAATTTAGTTAATATAGAATTGATAAAAGTCTTGCATATAATTAAGTGATATGATTTAATTAATGGCAGTTTTTTATAATGTTCAGATGCCATAGGTTTACCTCAGTCACCTATAGACAGATCAGCATCAGGTGAGAGTGCTAGTTTTGACCTGGGAGATTCAAGGCAACATGTTAGAAAGCAGGATATAGACACATTGAAACAAGCTGCAGTTACCATACTTAGTGACTCACTCTTCAAGAAAATACAAGAAATTAATGTGGTAAGAATTTTTGGTTATATTATTCTAATCCAGTAACTTTTAGCTTCACTTTACAAAGAAAAGTTAGGGTATCCTGGTCACTCTGTTATAACACTTGGATATTGACCTAGAATTTGATTCTAAATGCATGTTTGAAGCTCCAAGTCCTTGTTTTGAGTAGTCAGCGGATATACAAACTTTAGCATGGATTTTAACTGAATTATGTTTTCTATAAACTTAAATTACTGTTTTACTGTGTGCAAAATCTCCACACCCACTGAAGGTTTTCAGTTTATATACTCACATGATTTTAATAATTGATTCCACAACTATATTGGTGTTTTACCGATCTATTCCTATTTGTGATCTTTAGTGTTCTGCATGACTCAGGCTCATATTTTACTATTCAACACAGAATAATCAAGTGCAGTGTCTGAAATGTAGCTCTGTTTGCACTATACTCCATAAGGAAGATTTGCTTGAATGTGGTGAACAGATTTACATAGTTTCTACCTCATCCATCCATACCTTAGTTCAACTATCTCTCCAGCATCTGTCTGATTTGTTTCTGTTTTCTTGTTAGAATTATGTTCTGTTATGTAATCACATCTATTTAGGTATTTTATGCCGTTTTCTTTAACCTTTATTAGCTTACCAGAACCAAAGGTTCAGGGTGAGCTATTAGTATCAAAGGGGGATGCTCCTGCATCCGTCGTCATGCGTCAACAATCGTCTTCTTCTCTGAAACTGCTGGGCAGATTTACTTCAAATTTGTTCTGTAGCATCCTTGTGGCAGTCACACTTAAATTTGCTTATGTCATTTCAATTTGTCCCTTTTAGGGGTCAACAGAGCTAAAAATAGAAAAAACCTTTAAACATCTTCTACTACAGAACTTATTGATGGATGATCACCAAACTTTGTAGCATTCTTTGGTAGTCTTTTATCAAGTTTGATCATATTAATTTGATTGGCCCCTTTTAGGGGCTGCTTAAGCTAAATATAGAAATACCGTTCAACGTCTCCTGCTACAGAACTTATTTATAGATGATAACCAAATTTTGTCTGTTTCATTCTTAGGTACTCTTTTATAAAGTTTGCTCATATTAATTTGATTCGCCCCTATTAGGGGCCACTAAATAGGGGCCACTAAAGCTAAAAATGGAAAAACCTTTGAAGATCATTTCCTACTGAAATAATTGATAGATGATTACCAAACTTTGTCTGTTGCATTCTTAGGTAGTCTTTTATCAAGTTTGCTTATCTTAATTTGATTGGCCCCGTTTAAGCTAAAGCTTAAATTCCCCAGGTCATAGCATTTCTTCAAATTATTGTTTAAATGTATTCTATGCTCAAATTTAATATGAGAAAATGTTGACAATGGATAATTTCCAACACTGAAAAGCAGTTGTTTCTGGTGAGCGACTCAGGGCCATCATGGCCCTCTTGTTAAAAATTATAACACAATCCCTGATTCTTAGAGGATCACAAACTTTTTGTCAGAATAATCTTATAACTTAACTCAAAAACCCAGTAACTGATCCATGATTATAGTAGTTATGTTTTAAATGATATATTATTATGATTACAATTTTGATGATGATACTGATGTTGTTGAAAATGATGATGATGATGATGATTGTGATGATAATGTTGATAATAATAATGTTGTTGATGACAATGTTGTTGTTGATGTTAAAAAAAATGATGTTGACGTTGTTAATGGCAATAATGATGATACTATAGTTGCTGATAATGATATTGATAATAATGATGGTGATGATACTGTTGTTAGTCCCCTACCGGTTAGTTCCCTACCGGTTTACGGGACTTTAGGTTTACACTCCGTCCGTCCATCCACAAAATTGGATCCCGCGATAACGCAAAAAGTACTGAAAATATTTTAATGAAACTTGATATATGGATAGATGGCAGTATGGAGATTATGCACGTCATTTTCTTTTCTTCCTATGTTGAAAACTCTGGTTGCTATGGCAACAAATAGACTGAAAATATGGCAGACTTTACACATAACCTGGATCCTGCGATAACGCAAAAAGTACTGAAAATATTTTTATGAAACTTGATATATGGATAGATGGCATTATGGAGATTATGCACGTCTTTTTCTTTTTTTCCTATGCTGAAAATTGTGGTTGCTATGGCAACAAATAGACTGAAAATATGGCAAATTTTACACATAACCTGGATCCCGCGATAACGCAAAAAGTACTGAAAATATTTTTATGAAACTTGATATATGGATAGATGGCATTATGGAGATTATGCACGTCTTTTTCTTTTTTTCCTATGCTGAAAATTGTGGTTGCTATGGCAACAAATAGACTGAAAATATGGCAAATTTTACACAAAACCTGGATCCAGTGATAACGCAAAAAGTATTGAAAATATTTTTATGAAACTTGACATATGGGAAGATGTAAGTTGCTAGTCATCAACCACATCATATGTGACAAAGTTTAAAACTCTAGGACAAAATTTATCAGAATTACCTCCCTTGAACTTAAAATTTTCATGAAAAAAATATTGTTTTTTTTAACAACTTCTTTTTTTCTGAATGTATCTACTTCAAACTTCATATAAATGTTTCTTATTATCACTCAACATTTGTGAGAAAGTTCAATACTCTAGCAAGACTATTTCCAGAATTATGCCCCTTTTGAACTTAGACTTTTTTTTGAGAAATTGGTAATTTTTACTCCAACTTCTTCAATCATGATAGGATTTTCTTCAAACTCCCACATAATAATAATTATTATGACAAGGTTTATAAATCTAGCATCCATATTTCCAGAATAATCTCCTCCTTAAACTTTTGATTTTTCCTATTCGTTCTTTTTTCACTTTCATTTACTTCAAATTCAAAATAAACATTCATTATTCATTACCTTCATTACTAATTGTTCTTAATGTTACACTCACATCATGTATGACATCTTGCATCTTAATTGTTATTGTTGTTAATGATGATGATGTTGGTTATAATGATGATGATGATGATGTTAATGTTGTTGATGACCATGATGATGATACTATAGTTAATGATGATGTTGATAATAATGATGATGATGATGTGAATGACCATGATAATTTTGTTGATGATGATGATTATATTGATAATAATGATGATGATGATACTATTGTTGATGATAATGCTGTTTATGATGTTAAAGCAGATAATAAAAATGATGATTATGTTGATGATGATGATTATGTTTGTTATAATGATGATGATGGTGTTGGTGAAGATTTTGCTGATGATATTTTGATGATAATATCAATGATTTGATAATGTTTTTGCCTTGAATATAAGATTTTACATTTGATGTCCAAGAATGGGACAGGGGGTAAAAATTGGAAAATTTTTATAGTAATTCCTTCCCTTGACTTAATGATTTGGTTTATACAGAGTTTATTCTAGTTGGATAGTGTAGAGAGCTTATAGCTTATATAACTTTAAGATGCATGTATCTGTTCATAAAATTATTAAGTAGGGTTTTATTTTAACATTATAGATATGTTTACAATTAATCTTAATTACATAAACTTCCATTTATGAAGTTTATGACCCTCTACAATGTTACAGTAAGTTGATTTAAACAAGTTACTGAAAAGTCTGCATCATTTCAAATTATATTTTATAAACTTTTTAAATCTTTTATTTCAGTTAATGATTATAATACATCATGCAGAATGTCATGTTAAATATTTCAAGCTGTCTGGGTTGTGCAATAAAGATAAATTTTATAGGAATATTTTTTGCATATTAGGATTAGTTGTTTGAATATTCCCATGACCTAGAAAGACATTAAAAAGGCAAATATATTTTTAAATGTGCAGATGGTTAAAATATGAATCAATCCTAGAATAGCTCCTCCTATTGGCCGGGGATCATCAACCAAACACTTTTTAAACATTTTTTCATGCATATTTTATCAATTTAAAGCTAGAAATCTGAAAATTTGACATAGTACAAAAAGGTTCTTCTCCTTTTATTCTGTTTATTTCTGAATTTGTTGACACTAACATCTGAGGTCTGTAAAGGAGGGAATAAATATTTACCTTAATTGACCACACTACAGTACCATGTGTTTGGACAGATATGTAATTAACTTGATTTAATCCAGATAAAAGCTGGGACATTTTAATTTTATACTTTTAACATGATATAAAATATTTCAGGTGCAAATGCTGAAGTTTTTTATATTCTATTGTTTACTCTGCAAATGATTATAGCTCTTGATGTCCAAATTTTCAACATCAAAGATCTTAAAAAAGACATTAAAATATTACCGTTAATGAAAGTTGAAATAAATTAAAATACTTTATTATAGAAGAAACATGCATTTACTGTTGATGTAAAAAGCGACTTATTGATTGACAACCACTGAACAAACAAAAAACTAAAATCTGGCATTTTCTGGGCCTTCCCGGTTTGATAGGTTGTCCGGTTTTGATAGTCCCTGACCAGTAAAGTTTGTTTTACACATAAACTGTCCTTGCCTTATAAGGGTTATGGGAACTGAAAAGTAAATTCATTTGAACAATTTCTACCGTTAACCAAGACTGGGTTTTCTCTGAAAGTTTCTTCTGCCAGCAATAGATGGTTCTTTATCAGATCTAACGTAAATATGTACCTTCAAGTTCATTAAAAAATTTGTTATGAGGTTTTCCACCATCTTGACCCTTAACTGAATAAGTTTGTATATATAATTCATATAACTTCAAGACACGTGTATCTGGTCACAAAATGATTGAAGACAATATATATTTTAAAATTTTTAAAATATTTACAGTTAATCTTAATTGCATTAAGTTCTGAGGTTCAAAGATATGTGTTATTCCTCCTGACAGTGAGGAATAACTGAATGATAATGTTGTCAATTTGTTTTATGATGTTTAATATATATATTTTCAGACATTTTGTAAAAGCCGCAGTCACTATGGCTTTGTGGAAGCTGTGATCAGGAGAATTAAACGTCTGTTGAGACTACATACTGGTAGCTGAACATCGTGACAATTTATACACTAACACAGACATTTGAAATGAGGATTATTATAACATTATACAGACAATTTAAATGAAGATAATATTTTTTCTATATTTGTCATCTTTGTATCAACTTGTTTGTATCAACAAACAGCAGCAAGAGTCAGCTATACATTAGAACAACTTCACATTATTGTACAATAAAACACATCATGCTATCAATATTTGAATTTATTTTGTGTTTATGTATGAGTAACAAGTGTATTTTGACGTTAGTCAATTGATTACAAATTACTTGCGAGTAAGTGTTATAAGAAACATTGATAGATGGCCATGGAGCCAAAATTCATATTTGTGTTGACCATACATTTCAATATAATTTAAAGTCAATGAATTATTTGTTGTTTTTCTTTTTAGCTCTACTTTTTCTAAGAATTTTTTTTTTATAAAAGCTATTGCTACTGTTACGTCATTCGTTGCCTTTCAAAAACTTAAGTTTGGCCATTATTTGTTTATTTCTTAATGGATTGTCTTCATACTAGGACACAACAACTCTTTGGACAAGACTGAATTTGACCTCAACTTATGAATGACCTTGACCTTCTAGATCAAATGTTTGAATTTTGCTTGATTTTTGCTATAATTGACATTACGCTGCCTGTCAATCAAGCAGGCAGGGGTCTTACAGATAAGCCAATTTATGATTGTTATCAGTTTCACGCTAAGATGCCTGCAAGGTCCGCCATTTTCCTTACACAAGCTACTTGTATAAGACAAAAGTGCAAAAATATAGCAGCTTCGAAACATGCATCCTGGTGCATTGAAAAGGGAAATGGTTGAAACAAATACACAAATTTTTTATTACAATTATCTTTATTCATAATCACATATTTTAAGGTCGCACAATATCCAGAAGATATGAAGTTTGTTTTCATTTATAATGTAAAAAATGAAGTTTGTTTTCATTTACAATGTAAAGTGCCATCATTTACAATGTAAAGTGCCAATAAAGTGTCAATAAAAGCGCAGCCGTAGAAAAAAAGTGATTGCAAATATACAGTGTAAATACAATGAATATTTTGGATGAAACTATGTTACTTGAATATTTCTTTAAAAGTTCAATAAATAAAGAAACATCTGTTTAGGAAACTTATACCAATAACATCATATCTGATGTATGCAAAGCTTATTGTCCCCGCCTTTGCGAAGAAAAAAGGGGGATATAGAAATAGGCTCCGTCCATCCGTCACAATTTTGTGTCCGATCCATAACTTTGTCATTTATGAAAGGAATTTGAAATAACTTGGCACAAATGTTTGTTATAATAAGACGATGTGTCATGTGCAACAACTGGATCCCTACCTCCAAGGTCAAGGTCACATTTGCTGATTAAAGGTCAGCATTGTCTGTTGGAGGGTATATGTCGTGTCAGGTCCATAACTTTCTTATCCATGAAGGGATTTTGTAAATACTTGCCATAATTGTTCACAATAATCAGACGATGTGTCATGAGCAAAAACCGGTCACCTACCTCCAAGGTCAAGGTCACATTTGGAGGTCAAATATTAACATAGTCTGTTACAGGGTATATTTTATGTCCAGTCCATAACTTTTTCATAGATCAAAGAATTTTGAAAATACTTGGCACAAATAGTTACTATAATAAGAGGATGTGTCATGCGCAACACCTGCATCCCTACCTCCAAGGTCAAGGTCACACTTAGAGGTCAAAAATTAACATAGTCTGTTATAGGGTATATTTTGTGTCGGATCTAGAACTCCTTCATAGTTCAAGGGATTTTGAAATAACCTGGCACAAATAGTCTCAATGATAAGACATTATGTCATGCACAACACCTGCTCCCCTACCTCCAAGGTCAAGGTCACACTTAGAGGTCAAAGCTTAACATGATAGATTTTTAAATTCCGTGTTTCATTTTATTTTTTTAACAAATTTATTGTTGCATTTGCAGATTTGCATTGATCATAATTTTGGGCTAAATGTCCTGAGATCCATACCTCAATCTTTTAAATAGCACAATTTTATGCTTCATATAAAACTTCCCGAGGCGGGGGACGTTGGTAACTCTGTTACAAATTCTTGTTTTAAAGAGAATAGCATTGCATTTCATCGCAAATCATCAAATGTACAAAAAATTTCATACAAAAAAAAGTTGTGCTAGGGCAATTTTTCAATCAATTTAACATGTGTATTATTCTAACTAAAATTCACACATAAACCCTAAAAATTGTAAATGTTACTGTGACACTGAAATTATTTTATGTTTCGCTATGTCAATCTACATCTACCTATAATCCCTCTTTGAAAATGTAAGATATAATGATACTTTTTCAGTTTAAGATCTTCATACAAGTCAATGAGAAATAATGCAATCTTTGCAAAACGTTTCATGCTCCATTGATACATGAATGCTGTTTTTTATGCCCCCGGGCATATAGTTATTGAACAGTCTGTCAGTCCGTCCGTATGAGGTTAACCTAGAAAGGCAAGTTGGATTTTTCTTAAGATCTATGTGTACCAATGGCTTCTTAGATTACACACTTACTAATCAATACAAAGTACATGATCTGGGGAAGTAACATTACTCTGGCTTTCATATTTACTAAGTTATTGCCCTTTTCAGCACTTAGAAAATGAATAATGGTTAACCTAAAACGGCAAGTTGGAAATATCTTAAGTTCTATCTATACTAATGGCTTTATAATTTCCACACTTATCAATACAAAGCAAATGATATTGCCAAGTTATATAACTGTGTCATCCATATTTCCCAGTTATTTCCCTTTTTTCACTTTGAAAATAGGGCCTTGCCTGGTTAACATATTTCAGCAAGTTGGATTTATCTTAAATTTCTCCTAATTGCTTAATTTCTTTATTGATATTTTTCATTTTTAGTAGGTGGATACCTTTGATGGTCATCTAATTTTTTTGAGAAAGCGGCCCCTATGGTCAAGGTCATTGGTTTAAAAAATAAATATAAACATTTTTGCTCATACAGCCTTTATTTTTTAGTTGATGTCTTAGTTTAATACAAACATGCCAAGGGAGGTCCTCCTTCTTTGGGTGTAGTAAGGGGTCAAGGTCAATGTTACCAATGTCAATGTCACCAATGTTAAAAATAGATTTTTTCAGGTGTATTAACCTTATTCTATAGACAGATGTTATTTATAATTGATAGAAACATAAAATTTGATGGAGTTAGTGGTCAAGTTGGGTCAAGGTCACCAGTGCTTAAAATAGATTTTTACACATTTGCTCATACAGCCCTTTTTTAAGTGACAGAATATATTTTATAATTTGGTAGGGAAGATAACTTGCATGGTATTCATCCTTTTTGAATTGGGGTAAGGATCAGTGGGCGTCAAGGTCACTTGTGCTAAAAATGGATTTTTACAAATTTTTTCGCCCATACAGCTTTTATTTATTGACAGATGTATTTCATATTTTGGTAGGAAGATAAAACTTGCATGGTATTCTTCTTTTGGATGGAGTAAGGTGTCAGTTTGGGTCAAGGGTCACCAGTGCTAAAAATAGATTTTTACACTTTTGCCCATTACAGCCTTTATTTATTGACAGTATTCTGACATATGTATTTTTATATTTGGTAGGAAGATAACTTACATGGTGTTCTTTCCTTTGGATAAGAGTTAGGGGTCAGTTTTGGTCAAGGTCAAACCAGTGCTCAAAATAGATTTTTACATTTTGCCCCATACAGCCTTTATTTAATGACAGATGTATTTCATATTTGGTAGGAAGATAACTTGCATGAAGTTGAATATTTTTCAAACTTCACAAGTCAGAGCAATTATTTTGGCAACTTATATTTTTTCACAACTACAAAATGCAATGACTTTGTCAAGCTATATAACTTGTGTTTACAATTTTTTGGCAATTTTTCTGTCCATAACTGAGTGAATGGGTAAACATTTTTTGAAATATTGCTACTGACAAGAATCTGAGCCGGGGGGGGCATTTGTGTTTAACAAACACATTCTTGTTTTTACTTATACCATTATAATAGTACATTGAACTATTCAAATCATTCATATCATTAATTTTATATATACCAAAATTATATCTGGTAATTTATTAGTCACATTAGTGACAACAGTTTTGCAAAAACACCGGTATCATCTTTTGTCTAAGATACTGAATGACCTGGTCACATGAAACAGTGGACAGAACATTCTGTTCTCTGGCGTAATGTCAGTTGGCTGTAACTTTGTAATTTAGGCGTGGATTGTCTTCATACTTGGACACAACAATCCTTTAGAAAAGAACTTGAAGTAACTTAACTAAAGTGACCGTGACCTTCACTTGTCAATTACCTTGAAGTTCAAGTTGTTGAAAATTGCTTAATTTTTGCTATAATTGGCTAGAACTTTGTTATTTATGAACGAAATATCTTCATACATCAGCACACTACCCTAAGGACAATATCTTAAAGAAGATCAATCTCAATTTGACCTTGACTCATAAATCACTTTTACCTTGAAGGTCAAATTATTGTGATTTCAGTTTTTTGTTGGCCCTGCTTGCAGTGAGCTCGACTTTGTTGTCACTTTTAGCGTATAATTCAGTGTATGTGCCTCCAGATTTGTCCGGTCTAAAACTTGCTCATTCCTTCAAGGATCACAAAATAAATTGGTACAAATGTTCACCATGATGGGGTGGTTTGCTGCACACAAAACCAATGTCTGCCACTCAAAATTCAACATCACACCTGGGGTCAGAGCAAAAACCCGTGTCCGGAGTGTAACTTCCATATGCATGGAATTTTGAAATAACTAAAAATAACTACGTTCTCCATAACATGGCTGAGTGGCCTGCAAAAATTTAGGTGTCTGTTTTCAAGGTCAACATAGGGTTCAAAGGTCCAATAACAGTAAAAAGTTCATTTGCGCGTATTATTTCTATATACATGAATGAATTTTAATATAACTTGGCACAAATATTCTCCATGTTGAGTTATCTCCCGCAAAATGAAGGTCAAGGTCACCAGAGGTCAAATAATTCAGGTGATTCTGGTTCAGGTCAAGGGGTTATAGGTCTAATATCAAAATAAATTCTTTTGTATTACTTAAATATACATGGATGGATTTTAATATAACTTAGCACAAACGTTTTCCATGTTTAGATGCAAAATGAAGGTAAAGGTCACAAGAGGTCAAATGAAATTTTTAAAATTTGTTGGCACTGTATCTTGCTGGCGTTTTGACATATGCTAAGTGGACAGAGGTTTTTTTTTTAAATTGTTAAGCCCACTTGTGGTGAGGTTGGCTTGGTCACCACTTTTTGGGATTTGGTGTATGTACGTCTGTCAGTCCATGAATACATCTAGATTTGTCTATCTATATTTTGCTCATTC